TCTGTCCAACAGTGCCTTCTCCAAAGCTTCGGGGGAGCCGTAGCACTCGTTGAGTCTTTCCCACACTTTGGCTAGTCCTTCAGCGGAATTGTTTATATAAACTGCTCTTAGGCGATTTGCATATTGAACAGAATCTTTTCCGAGCCATTTGATTAACAGATCGAGTTCTTCGCTTGCTGTAAGATTCAAATCGCAAATTGCATTTTCAAAGGAAGATTTCCATCCCCAATAATCTCCAGCCTTGTCAGTAAAGCTCCTGAGACCACCAGTAAGTAGCTCCCGTCTTGCTAGAAACCTGGCAACGTCGGATATGTTGTCTTGTCTTGTGTGAACGCACAGTTCGGATTTCGGTGACTCTCCAGGTACCCATTTTTGATTGGGGCTGCCTTGGGGAATGTTTTTGTGTCCCTTTCCATCCATCCATCCATCCATTTTCTACCCTTTAATCCATTTCTGGGTCAGGGGGGTGGCAGTCAGAGATGCCACCCAAGTCTCATAGCACCAGCCCCTCACTGACCCTCTGCAGGTGGTGAGTCCACAGGAGGACGGCTGCTCTCTGAGTGTGAGCATAGCCTTGATCTTTCAGTGGGGGCTTTGGGCAAAGTGGGGTTAAGTGTCTTGCCCAAGGACACAACGGCAGCAGACATCATGTGTCCCTTTCCAATCTGTGGAAATAGGGCGTATTCTTTTAGTGTGTCTGTTTCATGTTTTAGTGGGTGGAACGATCCCTTACTTGTTTCTTTGAGAGTAATTTGGTCGGTCACATATTTATGGGTGCGTTCTACCACGTTATCGGTCTTTGGCACAATTTTTCTTTCGTCTTCAAGATCAATGACTGCAGTCTCAAACACAATTGCCTCTGCATGTGCAGCTTCTGCGTCACGTTCCTGTTGGAGAGCTTGTAGTGTTGCCTCCAAACGCGTTTCTTCAACTTTAAGCTCCGCCTTCTTAACTTGCATCTCAATTTCCTTTTTTGCATATTCTGCTCTTTTGCGGGCTGCTTGGGCTTTGGCTCGAGCGTTTAAAGCAGCCATACTAGCAGATGACCTACTTGAACTTTTAGATAGATGTGATCTTTGGGAGTGGACTGAGGATGCCTCATCTTCATTTCTTTGAGACATGTTGAGACAAGTTGGGGCTGACGTTACATCCAGTTATTGTCTTGTAGAAAGCATTGCTTTTTCACTGTTCTGCCCTCACTGTTGTATGGGATACAGCTATGCAGATAGATAAACTCCACGACAATTGACAGGTGAAATGTCTTCTTTAATGACGTAGCCTTCAATTACCGACAGAGTGAAACTACAAACAAAAAGAAATAAACAAATTTAGACTCTTAACAGATGTAATACTACACATGGGATGGCCTAAACTAGCTTACACAGGCAAATACTTTATCTGACAAAGTATCCCTTTATACTGTAAATATGATCAAATAACAACACATATAACCAAAAAGACTCTTCATAAACTTATATACTCACAAGCAATGATTTCTGTAAAAGAACAACGAAGGATGGATGAAGATTATATTGAACAACTTTCTCACAGTGTCGTTTCTCAAATGTACTGATATCTAACTCTTAACCAATTAAAGGTAAACAAAGGCACAGAATGGAGCGTAGCGCTCCTGCAGGTGGAGGGTGAAACTACACCACCAGCACACTCTGTTTGCTTTGTGTTTCTGTATCTAATTATTTTGACCTTGCATTATGACTGTTTTTATTGTTTATCATGCTGACTGTGCAGCACTTTGTAAACACTGTTTTTAAAAGTGCTATATAAATAAAGATTATTATTATTATTATTATTAATATGTAGCTGTATGTTAGCATCTGTACATGTTAGCATGTTAGCAACATTATTATATTTAACTCAAATTCTACCAAATAATGTCAAAACTAGAACATTGTAAAAACTTCAGCATGATATTTAGAGCCTGGATATAAATCTGGGGATCATTTTTGATTTGTGCTTCGACGTCTCCCAAAAAAAAGTGTGTTTTTGTTGCTCCACACTGGGCTCTTTGTCCAGGTCTCAGCTTTGACATCAACTGGGTCAGAGCGCAGCTGGAGCCTCGCCTCAATGTCACCCTTGTTGGTCAACTTCATCAATGTCATCCACTGGCGTCACGATTTATTTCTGACTTTACTGTGAGCACTTTCTGAAGATGTCGCCTTCAAGGACTCTCACGACGCTCTGTTGTCTCACAGAGCTACATGCACACAGCAGAAACTGTGCTCTGTGTAATCCAAGCAAACCTAGCATGCTATTTCTGAGTCTTTGACATCTTCACTGTAAGCATTCTCCCTATTAAAGCTAGGGTACTCAACTTAAAAAGAAAAACATAAATATGAGTGCAATTTGTCCCAACAGAAGGAGTGTTATTGCCAGGGGGTGAAGTGATGGAGGACTCAAGTAGCAGGAATGTCAAAGGTTTTAATGACGGTAAAACAAAAGTCCAAAGGTAATAAAACAAAATCTAAATCCAAAATGGAACCAGGAACAAAGTCAGACAAATGAAGAAGATACTATGAACAAACAAAGACAATGGACCAGCAACAAGGGGAGAGGAGCACAGGTACATTTAGACACAGAGAGACACAGGTGAAACCATAGACTCTATATATATATAAACACATCAGGGACCGGGGAAAAGGAAGTCAAAAACAAACAAGTCAAAATAAAACCAAGTAAAATAACACAAAATCCAGACCATGACAGTTATGAATTTTATTTAAAAGACTTTTACGTGTTTGCTGCATTTCATGAGAAAACTTGTTATCTTTTGCATATTTGTCAGGAAGAGCCCTGTGAGTCACAACTTTACACTTTGGGTTGCAAGCTGATTGGATGTCTCACTTTTTGGTCTGAAAAAGCTGTTGCGACAGAGACCAAATATACCTGCAATTAAAAACGAGCACATCATACATATTTTTATTCATTTTTGAAAGTTAGGTACCCCAACTTTATAGAAGGTCATACTTATTGGTCCGAAGGTTCAATCAAATCAATGTATTCTAGTTTAGCAAAAAATACAGATGTCCTCTCAAGGGGCATCACAGAATTGTTAATTTGCCAAAAGCAGATTAGAAAGTAAAACAATTGGGACACAAAGAAATACAAAAAATAAAACAAATACACTGGTCCAGAGGATGAAGGGTTAATCAACGTCAATAAATGTTCATAAATGTCCATACATGACATTATCACAACAAAACCCATTGATATTTCTCTATTCTTTGAACGTGAGTGTCATCGATAACAAAATTGTTTAAAAAAAATAAAACGAACAAAACAGAGAAGGAGACAAAAATGGTAAAAAGTGGGACCGTCCCATCTGAGGCTGCTATAAAAATGTGTGGCAGCTGAAATGGGCCTTTGTGACTTTAAGATGAGACTCGAGGAGATGTGCGCTATTGTTGATGAGACAAAAGCTGGAGCCAGATTCATATAAGAGCCACACAGAATATCTTCTCATATCACCGCCGTCGTCAAGGCATCGGGGGAGAAAGAAAACTCCAATAAGTCTCTCAAACCACCTTTACCGGACATGGGTGAGTGCCGGAATATTTAATAACTCTTATCTTCTGTTCTGAATATGCTTTGGAAGTCTGTGTCAATAACTTTCTGGTGTAACTTTGAAAGAATTTGTCTCCAAGCGATGTAAATGTATTATCTCAGAGCTTCAATGGTGGATTTCAGAACAAAAATACAGATGTTGTTTTCTATGAACAAATTGTCTTGTTTGTGTCTTTGAAATGTTATTGTCTTATATATTGTTTTATTTGTTTGTTTATTGATTTGCATTATTATATTATGATATGATTGTATTTATTTATTATGAGCACACATTTACATGTATTAGTCCTGTTTTTTTAATATCATACAGTTGAAATATTGTTAAAAAGTTATTTCTGTAATTCAACTCGAATGCGACACCAACGATGTAAACATAAGCCGAGCCTTTGATGATTATGACTTAGATTTTCAAGCTGTGAGCCAATTGACACCATTATTACTAATAAAGGCTCGTCATGTCACTTTGTGTAATAATTCTGCCGTAAAGTAGTTTCAATGTGTAAGTTGATTTACAGAGGTAAATTCCCTTTTGAACAAAATTGTAATTTGTTCTCATTTTAAAATTGTTGTTGCTGTATATTCCACTGCTGCATTGAACTACTGCCTTTACCAAGGCCAGGGCCTGCAGAAAAAAAGAAATTGCTATAACCATTTGATTAATAATGCACATATTTTTTCATGGATTAAATCAAATTTCCTTAAACTTTTACTGATTACACATAGATTATTTAAAATTAAACTAAAAGGCACTGGATCTCAATCATGTCCCACTTCCTCTCTCTCGTGAGTGTAAATCGGATGTTGTTGGCTGCTGTGATGGTCAGCTGTCCTCTTCATGCCAAGGCCTTTCCAGGGCACTCATGTGAACGAGGTCACACGAGCTCACATGTGTCCAAACATTTGCATCTATTTATAGGAAAGGAAACAAACTTTCATCACAAGAAAAACAATCAATCTAAAATCAATAATTGAAATACGAAAGATAGAGTTCTGTTTGATTCTCAACTAGATTATATCCGAGGTTTTGTTTTGGTGGAGTTGGAGCATTAGTGTCTGGTCACGGTGGAGGGAGAGTGGCCTGAGAAGTGGTCATGTTCCTGGTGATCCCGAGGGCACCACTCGCTCCTCTGTGTTATGGCGCCATTGTCTCTGTTTGTTTGCCCCTTGTTCCGCTGGAAAAGACAATAGATATTGTGTTCAGATCCACAAAGAACAGCTCTTTCCTCTTGGAGCTGGAGGCCAATGTAGCACTACCATTCTCTTCATGACGCCTGTGACGCCCGAGGGTTGGACGAGCGCAGGCCTTCTCACATGCAGTCAGCATAGAGAGCTCTTTTACTGTAGTACAGGAGCCTGGACACTGGAGTGGTGGGAGCTGGGAGATTTCTTGTTGAGGCGTTCAGGAGCAGAAGCAGCAGATGTTTCCAGTCAGGCAGCCTTGGCTTTGCAAAGCCTTAGGTGCTCTCTATTCTATTTCGGCGTTTGATTATCGTAGGATTGATTGATCTTGGGATACCTCTGATGTTGATTGTGTGGCGTTTGTGGATGTGATGGTTGTGGACGGTCCTCCAGAGCTTATCCACAGATGTGTTGTGTGATTGTGTGTGCGGTGTGTGCCGCCTGTGTGCTTATCTATTATACCCCCTCAGGTTTCTATGATTGCTGTGTGCGCTGCATGGGGGCAATCCCGTACCCCTCCCTGGTGGCCACCTTGCTGTGGTTTGCCGGGGCAGCATTGTTCTGTGGTGCCGGGCACCAAGCTCTGGACCACACAGAAGTCCTGGTTGAGACCCACTTTGCCCGTAACCCTGAGGACTATGTGGTCATGGATTCTTTGTAAGTCACACATTTCACTTTTTAGAGGTTGATTCAATTATTTCTTTTGAAAATTTGCATTCTTTTTGGTTTTACAGCATCAGGTATTTCCAGTATGTCATCTACGGCCTGGCCTCTTTCTTCTTTCTCTATGGTGTTTTTCTTTTGGCTGAGGGCTTCTACAGCACTAGTGCCGTTAAACAGCAGTTTGGGGAGTTCAGGAGCACGCAGTGTGGACGTGGCCTCAGCCTCACGGTGAGAGGAGAGGGGAGGGGCCAAATGTGACTACAAACATAATTTAACATGTGATATTGAGTTATGAAAATGCACTTCAAATACAGTATCATCTTTCTCTAAATTTCTCTATAAATCTGTGATCACATGTAACTCTACTAAATTTGGAGCGCCCTGTTACTGAGTTACTGTTTGTTGACAAATTCTGCTTGTGTAAAGTTTATTATAGTGACATACATCCTGGCTTTCATCTGGCTCGTGGTGTTCGCATTTAGTATCATCCCACTCTTCTTCCTCTTCAACATGGAACAAACCTGTCATAACATCAACATTTTGGCAGAGACCACCCCCAGCATCAATCAGCACAACTGGATATGCATGGACGCCAGGCAGTACGGTATGTGGCCCATCTGCAGGAAATACTGGTGGCAGGTTAAGTCAAGTGGAGATGGAGCTATAGGATGGTCGTGGATAGGGTGGTAATTATGTTATATCTGCTTAATGTTTAACTGCTACTTCATCAGACGTTTTCACCACAATCGTCTTTACACGACAGAATACTAAAGGCACAACAAACAAGTTCTGTAGCTGCTGTTTTAAGTGTTTTGACTCACCAATGCAGATGAACTCTCCCTCTAATGTTTATTGAGTATCTACAGAAAAACATTCGATAATGAATGTCACATTTTCAGCGATTCAAGGTCATTGAACACTGGCAGTTTACTTTTGTTAATTGTATTTATGTCCTTCAAATTGATAAAACTATAGTTATACTTATGAATGGATGACGTATTGTTTATAGTATTAGAAACAACACAACATTTATACAGCCCATATTTTATTTATCCCAAAAATGACAAGAAGAGCTCAGCTTGGCCGAATGATGCCTACAGGTCTCGCTAATGTGACAAATGAAATAGTTGTTCCAAAGTCATGTGCTTGTTGAATCACTTCTTTCAGTGTTCTGCGTGTGGTTTTCGTTCATTTTAGGTCTTCTTCCGTGGAACGCAATGCCAGGCAAATCGTGTGGGATGACCCTGGCGTCAATTTGCAAAACCAGTGAAGTAAGTCCATTCATTCACCACTCAATTTTGATTTTTGCTTTGTATTTGTCCTTGTGAAAGTAAAGAAGTGACATTTCTGAGGGTTAACATGTGGTTACTGAAGCCAAAATGTCCCTTTGGCTGACGTGTCCACAATTTGATACAGAAATCAGACAAAAAGATTCTCAAAGGTTAACATCTGTATTTAATTATCTTTACAATCAGATACAGGATATTCAACAAAAGAGTGCTCCTAAAACTAATATGTCCCTCTCCTGGCCCTCGGCTGATCCTCTTGTGTCTCCCCAAGCCAGAGCATATATAAAGAACAGGAAGGAGGGGAGTGTCCTATCAGCCAGCTTCCGGTCTAGGGTCCAGCCTTTTCCTCCGTCTGCCAGACTCCTGATGGAGTGAGGTTGAAAAGTGCAGAAGTCAGCAGGCCAAGACTAGGGGGTTGAAATCCAAACAGGAGAATCCATCTGTTGTCCAGTTGCTGGCACAAGAAGACACCTAAAATAAAATAAGAAGGACTGGCCTCCCACTTAGAGGTTAGCTAGGTCATAAAACACATGGTTTTAGAATGTCACGTATTTATAAATACAACATTACCATGGAGACGGTGTGAATGAACTGAACTGTACGATGATGTTGTGTTTGTGCCTTTAGTTCCACGTGGTCTACGACCTCTACATCGCTGCATTTGCAGGAGCAGGAGTCATGCTGTTAGCACTGGTGAGATGTGATTTATTTTCTTTATTTAATATGCTTTTCACACATTCTTCAACATTCACTCATTTACATTTAGTCAATGTGAGATTCAAATATAAATATTTATATTCACATATAAATAAAGTCTGTGGGCAGGGTTTCAAAGGACATTGTAGGACAATAATAATGATATATCATTGTTCTAGTCACTATTATTAGAAAACACATGTATTTTAAGCAGGAACATGTGTAGTGGACATGGCATGTATTTTTGTGTAACTGTTATAACAATAGTATCTGCTTTTAACATATTATCTTCCCTTTACAGTTTGTGTATCTTGTGGCCACCACCTACAACTACGCTGTCCTGCGGTTTCTTGGCAGGAAAGGTATCCGCTAACTGCACGCCTCCATCCATCCACAGTCCGTTCCACGGTTGGGTGTGAGATGGACAGTCTCTGCACACTTCACCACGTCCCATTCATCTCTGTGTCACAACAGCTTCCACAAGGATCTCCTGCATTTTCTCTATAACGCTCAAATAACTGCCACGAGCAACAGGGAGAGAAGAAGTATTGTGTTTTTACTTTACTTTAGGCTCTGCTGATTCTCATGAGGTTATTCAGTTCCATCCAGCTGTTTGTATAATTTTGTAAAGTTGTTTTTGCTAAGTATATTGATCAATTATTAAGATTCATGAGAGCTTTCACATATCGCAAAAGACGCATTGTTCTAATAACTTTTAAAAGGTGAACTACAAGAACTGTTGATGTAGATAAATGAACATAAGGGCGACAGAGCCTGTGCCAAGGCAGTGGTCTCACAGCATTAGTCTAACAGTGCCCTCATACATCATTTAAAAGGTTAATAATTGTTTAAGGGGATATCGACAACTTCAATTGTATTTCATTTTTTAAATGATTTATATTGATGGGGCGCATTGTACTATTAATATAAGTATTATCCTTACTCCTTATAAAGGGTTATCCAGGGGTCATTTATTGAGGTTCATTCAGTCCCTGTGTGACCACAGTCAGAGCTGGTAGTAAGTCAGACCTGTTCTCAGTGAATGTTCATGGACAGAATTTCTAGGCGCAGCCAGGACCCGGTCCTAGAGAGTCCAGTTTGGGGAACCACAGGATTTCCTCTCTGCTGTTTACAGACAATGTTGTCCTGTCGTTCAACAAACTATGACCTTCAACATGCACTGGGATGGTTTGCTGAGTGTGATGCGGCTGGGAAGGGAATCAGCTTCTCCAAATCTGAGGCCATGGTGCTCTACCGCAAAAAGATAATTTGCCCTCTGCAGTTCGTGGAGAGGTCCTTCCTCAAGTGAAGGAGTTCAAGTATCTTGTTCATGAGTGAGGGAAGGATGGAGCCTGAGATTGACAGGTGGGGTGCAGTGATGCGGCTGCGGTAAAGAAGGAGTTGAAAGGTTTAACTCTCAATTTACCTGCCAGTTTTTGTTTCCATCCTCACTTATGGTCATGAGCTTTGGGTAATGGCCAGAAGGACATACTTGTGGATACAAGCGGTCAAAATAAGTTTATGTGACTGGCTACAATAAGAAAGATTTGATAGAGGAGAATAGTTGAACCAAGGACGAGGGGAATCTCGGATCGTAATTAATTTTGACCAATCAGGAAGCTGCGGGGGGGAGACAGCAGACCCGCTGTCTAACCAGTGCTTGTCTTCAAAAAGTCTTCACAACTTGAGGAGTATCTGACATTCACTACAAAGACTCTATTCTTAGATCTTTACATAAACCATATATTCAATTCCAGTGCATTTCCACACAGCCAAATATAACAAAATCAATTTTTTTATTAAAATAAAAAATAAAACTGTATATAGATTAAAGCACTTTGTGAATGTATCAAAGTTTTTCAGGAAGAATGATAAAATCCAGCTTTAATGTTTCCCTCCAATGCATGTACACACTGCATTGCTCACATAAGCTTTTTGCTTTGTTAAAACTCCAGTGTGTGGGAGGACAAGATGAAAGACGCTCTCTGGCGCTTGTGCTGCTTTCAGTGCTTTATGTAATACTTCAAGACTGTCACTTATAGATCGTTGCATATTTTGTTGATTAAAACTATTAAAACATTTGTATTTGTTCAATTATTGCCATTGCCAATAGTATAGAAACAGCGTTTACATATTCAATCCTGTCACAACACATCATTTTAATAGCACTTATTATGCAATCATGTAATCACAGATGGAGAGATAATATGTTACACTCCGTACTTGACAATCTCATCCTCTCATGTGCCATATTATGAGCTAGTAAATATATAATTACACAAATGGCGGTTCTTGCAGCTTGATATAAAAGTAAAGACATCAGAGAGTGTAGACCACGTCGTAGCAGTCGCTGCAGTAGATCAAGTGGTTGTGCTCAAACATGGGGATCAGCAGGTTCCCCAGGTTTTGTGTGCACTTTCCGCACTAAAATCAGAGATAATGATAAGAAATGTAAAAATGGAAAATAATACTACAGCACTGTTTGATTAAAATGGGCGTACTAACCGTCAGACACTCAGGGTGGAGGTACATGGGAGGATATTCAACTGTGAGCTTTACTGGTCCAATAAACTGGTCACAATGGGAACACACTTCTTGCCCATCTCTGAAATAATAAAGAAGGGTTAGTATAGATACAAATCATTAAAGTCATATTATTATTATTTTTAAGTACCGCATAATAAAGGACTTGGGACTTGTTTCCGTAGACCTCGGTGAACTTCTACAAAATACAAAATTCATCAAAAGATTTGTATTGTACATAATTATATCCTGCACAGACATATATTTTAACCTTTAACATGTTTGCACACTTCAGTCTTTTGCACAATCTGACTGATTCTATCCATGCCAAATGTTCATTCATTCATTCATCATATAGCATAAGGCTAATTAAATGTAGCAAGGAAACAAAGTTATTCACAAAACTTTAACATAGGATGAACATGGGAGATTAATGAAACCAGTAGGACCTTTCCGTATTTATGGCCATTCAAAAACAATCTCAAAGGAATAATATAAATAACAGTCACATACCCGTTATTGTTAGCAGGCTCTTCGGACTCTTTCACAGTTTTGACATCGGTTGCTTCATCATTTGCACGAGTAATTTCCATCTTCCCAACCTCTTCATTGCTCTCGCTGGTTGGAACTATTTCAAGAGCATTACTTAAATCAAAAACAGCCTGATTTTCACCGGCAACAGAAGGAACCAGAGGTATCGGCTCAATCTCAGTGGCTTCTTCAGATATATTTTCCTCTGTGACTTCCTTCTCCAGGGGACCACTTTCCTCCGCTTCACATGTGGAAGGCATGACCACCACAGGCTCTGCTTTGAAAATCTCCTCTGGATTAATATCTACCATGGCAGGTTGATCGTCACCGGCAGATTGAACAGCAATTTCTACATTTTCTTGGATCACTTCTGGAGTCTCAATTGGAGTCTGGACATCCACCTTGTCTAAGCTTACAACAATGTCCTTGGGTGTTACATCTACTGTCTCAATCATTACAGTTCCACACTCTTTCGTCGACTGGTTTGTATTGGTAGCTGTGTCGTCTTGTGGCTCATCAATGACAGCAGGAATATCTGGTATTTTTTGCGTTTCAACAGCATCTAAATGTATGGGGTTTATTGGCTCTACTAAAGAGTTATATAAGTTATCAAATGCATTTTCCTTTGACAAATCATTGCCATTCTCTGGAGGTGAAGATTTGGGTGAAGAAACAGACTCTGCTATTATGTCTGGAACCATATTGGCTACAGACCGCTCTACTGCTGTGGGATCATTCACAATAACTGTTTCCAATTTAGCCTCTTCACTATTCTCTTTCACATCCACCCTGGAGACTTCTGGGGAATCATTTGACTTGAGATCAACATCATTTGCTGCTGTTGGCTCAGATGATGCGGGCTCTGAATGCTTTCCAATCATTGACCCATTATTTGTATCTGTTTGAGATTTTGTTTCAATACTTTCACTAACTACCCCTTCCGCTGCTGATTTAGCATCTACCATTTCATTTTCAAGCATTAGATCAGCTTCATCTGACTTGTCTGGATCAACCACAGCAGTAGCAGTTTCTGACACTACGTCCCCTGCTTTGATGGTGGATTCTTCCTCTGTGGATGTAGGGAGAGCAACAACGACAACTTCAACACTTTTTGACTCCTGCCCTGTTGAAATTTCTTCCACAATGGCCTCTTTGGTTCGGGACAATGCCTCTTCAGTGTGACTTGGATTGACATTGTCTTGGGCATCGGCATCGTCAACAATCATGCTTGTGTCGCCATTTATAGAAGGCGGGTCCTGTGATTGAGGTTGTGAGCCTGCAAGAGGTGCATCAGAGGGAACATCATTTAAATCTGATGTTTTTTGTTCAGTAACTTCACCGTTTGTGGTTTCACATTCTTCAATAGCAAGTTTTGCTGATGTTGATTGAGTTTCTGTTGTTTCTAAGCTATCTTCAGGCATTTCTGTGAACGTGGTAGAGACATCTTGTTCTTTTGGTCGCTCTTTTTCCTTCTCTTCAGATTTGACAGCTTCTTCATCATTTTGAACATGTACGTCGACATTTACAGTTCCACACTCTTTCGTCGACTGGTTTGTATTAGTGGCTGTGTCGTCTTGTGGCTCATCAATAACAGCAGGAATATCTGGTGTTTTTTGTGCTTCAACGGCATCTAAATGTATGGGGTTTATTGGCTCTACTAAAGAGTTATATAAGTTATCAAATGCATTTTCCTTTGACAAATCATTGCCATTCTCTTGAGGTGAAGATTTGGGTGAAGAAACAGACCCCTCTACTGCTGTGGGATCATTCACAATAACTCTTTCCAATTTAGTCTCTTCACTTTTCTCTTTCACATCAACCCTGGAGACTTCTGCAGAATCATTTGACTTGAGATCAACATAATTTGCTGCTGTTGGCTCAGATGATACCGAATGCTTTCCAATTTGTACTTCCTTTTCTGGAGAAGTAGCCGGCCTGAGAAACAGCGCAATCAAGGAACAAAAGGTTACAACAACAAAAATAATCAATATAATAATAATCATGTTATCATTATTATTAATATTTTAAGTATTATAAATGCATACAAGATAGAATCCAGTCAACTAGTCAATTTGACAGCCTAGTCCTAGTGTTGATTAAACTAAACTATGCAACCAAAAAATTACTATGTGATCAAATCTATGCCTCATCGTTAGAGAGAACCAGCCAGCTCAGGTTATTTAAAAGATTACATGTTTAACAAAAACACAAAGAAAAACATCATGCTGTGGTCTGAATTGTCCACACAATGTTGTAAATGACTTTCATTTGGGCCAAACCAAAAAGGCGGTGTAAGAAGAAGGTGTCGAACCGGTCCTGAAAGGTCCGGTGTGGCTGCCGTTTTGGGATGATAACCTGAAGCCACACTGGCCCTTTCTGGAACCAAGAGAACAGAACTAAGAGAACAGCGTAAACACCAACAGAAGTCAGGGAGAAAAAAGAGAAACGCCACCAGAACTAGGCGCAAAACTCCAAGCATTTTATTTTGAAGGGTCACAGACAGACTCCATGTTGTTTCCGCTACTTCCTGTCAAGACATCCACGTTACAACCGCAGGAGATCCATGGATCTACAATAATAACATAAACTATACTCATGCAGAGGAAACAGGATGGTCGTTTCAAGATTTAAGATCGAGTTAAATTAACTTCTCTGCTGTAAATGAACTGAAAAAGAAGAACAGAGAACTGCTGGCAAATAGTAAGTGTTGTGTTTCAGTGAGTTGTAAATATGAGCTACACATCAGAAAAGTTTAGTTAATCCTTTAGTTTAATCATCATCACCACACCAATCTCCAAATGCTGGTTTTGCATCAGTGATATGACCAAGAAAAACAAATACATTAAAGTCCTGAGAATTGAATGACCAAGAGCCATTATGGTAACAGTTCATTGTTGACGTTATAAATGTGACGTCCGTGTGCACGTGTCTCCCGAGGGTTATAGGACTTACAACAATTAAAGCGGTTACTGTTTCTATCCAACATCATTTGTGAAGAAGAGTTCTACACACACATTTCTCTAGTGCAAAATGAATAGTTGTGCAGATAAATCATTCTAAATGTATTCACATCCATTATTCATGTGTGCCTGATCTCTGTCGCCCCAGACAAAAATATGCCATCCAGAAACCATTTGGACAAAATTGGTAGAACAAAGAAGAAGAGATGGACAGAAGAGGCCATGGAGCGAGCGCTGATTGAGGTGAAGTCGGGGCGCTGTACTGTGAGACAGGCTGCAAAGCAGTTTGGGGTGCCTAAGTCGTCACTCGGGGACAGAGTGAGCGGGCGAGTGACCCCAGGGAGCCGCAGTGGACCTGCCCAGCTCATGGCCTCTGCTGATGAGGAGCTGCTTGTCGAGTTTTCCTCATACATGGCCCGACATGGATTCCCACTCACCAAGCAACAGCTTGTGTCTTTTGCTTCATCGATTTATAGGCGACAGCACCGGAGGGTGGCCTTCTCCAAATTAGGCCAAACCTGGTGGCTTAACTTCAGAAAACGGCAAGAAAAAAACCTAAGCATTCAGCCAGCAGAGAGCATGGTCCGTGGGAGGACCATGTGTGTGAGGAAAGAGGCAGTAGATCAATTTTATCAATTACTGAGTTCTGTGATGACGTCTCATGGACTAATAGACAAACCACATCTAATTTTTAACTGCAGTGAAATGACTTTTGAGCTATGCAGGAAAAGGCTGTCTCTCCCTAAATCCATGGTGGGCTCCAGGGACCACATTTCAGTCCTGGCTTGTTTTAGTGCAGCTGGAGAGGACGTCCCACCATTTGTTATCTACTCAAAGGCCTATCCCAGTGGTGTCTGTTATAAGAGCCAGGGACCTCCTGGTGCCCTGTATGGATGGTCTGAATCTGGTTGCATCAGCACTGAACTCTTCAGGAGATGGTTTCTCAAACACTTCCTGATTCAGGGACCAAAGGAACGCCCCCTTGTTCTGATTTTTGATGGACACAAGTCTCCTGTGAGTTTGGAGGTGGTAGAAGCGGCTCGTAAAGAGGGTGTCATACTGCTGTGTCTTCCACCTCACTGCTCTCACATCTTACAGCCTCTTGACGTGGGACTCTTTGTGTTACTAAAGCAGCGGTTTTCTACACTCCTGGGCAGCACTAATACAAATGATATTCATTTTAATGTTAGTAAAAAGGAATTCTCATGTGTTTTTCAAAGCACATATCAAATTGCCAAGGAAGAGGCTGGAATCAGGATTGTTAAGGAAGGTTTTCAAAGCTGTGGACTATTCCCTCTTCTAAGCCACTATGCAGTCAGAGAGAGCCCTGATTTGTCAGAGCACAACTTGGTAACTGATTGTGACGTCTTGTCCGTGTCTCCACATGAGGAGGTAGTAGAGGCCATAACAGAGACTGGGTCCCCATCTTAGCTCCTCGCTACTCTCTCCATTTACTCTGTAATTTAATAAGAGCCAAGCTGAGTGAACAGAGCGAGTTGATTTACTTTGAAATAGTGAATGGGGTACACTCCTACTTGTGTATGTATCCCACGTCCCCAACCTCCCCGCAGCATGTTCTGTTTGTCAGCTGGCCAGAGAGGCGACTGTGTTAATATTAATTGCATGCCAACACAGCTTTGCATTAGTAAGTAAGGCTGTACCATTCTTTTAAATGCTGTTTCTACTGGCCTCTGGCCTCAAAGCCCTGAATCATTGAGGAGGATTCATTTTTTAATCATTATATGTATTCTTACTGGATAAACTCTAGTGACCTTCTCTGGCAGTTTGAGTAGAGGAACCTTCATGTTGTTTTGCTAAAGCTACGCAGTACGCACTAATCGATAAAGTTAATAAGCACCTGCCCCCTGTCTTATTTTTAAGCCAGCTTCTAGTTAGAATAGAATTTAAAACTAATGTAATTGATACATTTCTCAAACAAATTATTTCATCCCTAATCAGATCACAATGATAAACAATATCGTAAATGGCATCAGCCTTCTGTGGTGTTCTCCCATACAATTATATGTACTTAATTCTTATGTGATGGGGCTTAAGAACTGTATTTTGACTTTTTGGACACTGACTGATCTATAAAGAGGACATCGAGTCTGTAATTCTCCAATAAATTACAGTCAGAAAGGGTCATTCATTTGCAGACTTCTCCACACGACCATCTGCAGGTAGATTTTGTCCATGAATGATGTTACAATATGTATGTGTCACTCAAACTCTCAGTGAAAGCAGGCTTGAAATTATGCATCTGTATTTCATCATTTTGGCGTATTGATTTAATTGTCTATTTCAAAAGTCATATATAGTCAGTAGTATTTGTTGCATTCAGATTAAGCACAGAGGCAGGGCCTGCAGCGTCTCCCCTCTGCTGCTGCTGGTTGGTTTTATGAATAAAGGTATTGGATTTTTACCGCTCAGAAGTGTCTGTAATGTTGAATAATTTATTATGTGAGTCTCTTTATCATATACTGAGTCTGTGATGTAATGCTGGTGCAACAACTCTGGTGAGAAAACTACTATGGTCTTCATGAACTAAGTATTTACATATCAATCTTGTTTAGTTTCATCAAATCTAAACAGTCCAAATTCAGTATTCCTTTTTGTCAGTTAAAACTATTCTTGGTATTTTTCTTTAGAATTCAGTTCCTTTTTGGAGGCAATTACACAGATGTTGAAGGAGCAGTGTGAGACCCGAGGGAGAAACTCCAAAAGGTTTGTATTCAGACAGTGGAGCACCTGTTAAAGCACAGGTCAGCCCGCAGCACTGAAGCCTGTTAAGAATGCAGCAAAGACAGCCTTGAATTAACTTAATGTGATGCAAGCAACAACCGCACGTACAGGAATTTGTACCTGCAGGAAGTGCGTGACGGTCATCACCCTATGCTGACTTTTTAAAGGTTCGCTATGCAACCTTTCTTATAGAGGGTCCATGACTTGCACTGTTACATGTAGATTATGTAAAGATAGGACCCAGCAGAAAGAGAACACCTATTTTTGTTTTTAAGATAGACGTTTTTTGTGACACAAACAAGTGGCATATGGCATACGCCCACAAGAAAAACAGTACTGTGACAAGTATCAAAAGATCACCATCTCAAGTTTGGTAGATGGTGACTATCGACACCTGAATTAAAATTGACCTCTACCTAGATCCATGACCTCTACTCTCTCACCTCTCACTGTGATGGGCTTAAATCATGTGTCAAACGCAAGTCCTTGTATAGTGGCCCCTGGAAGGATTTTCAATTAATGATTGACTTACAGCATTGATGGCAAGAGGCACAATGGCTTGTTATACCTAATTTTAGAGGGTATTTCAAGAAAACAACTACATTTTAAACTAATAACATTTTAAATAAAAAACCTAAATTATTAGTCTGTAAGTGTACAATTACAAGCCCTCTATTACCCCTGGTTATGTTTTGGGTCGATCCAACAGTAACTACCAGAAAACTAAATGACAAACTCATGTTCAATAACAATAATCTTGTCAAAATACCTTCATAATCTTAAGTATATAAACGTGAAAAACTATCCACTGATTCAAAAGAGGGTAATAAGTCCTCTGCGTTTGATCTTGCTGCTAGGGCAGCCTGTCAGGAGCCGTGGTCCAATGCAGCGCCCAGGGACCCATCTCAGATGTTGGTGCTCAGCTTTGTCAGGACTGACAAACTACTGTGGGACATTATTGGCTAAGAGTCTAAACAAACCTGTTGTGAAACTATTCTGAAACTATCTTGAAAAGAACTGGTTTCTCTTCATTTCTGTTTGTAAAAATGATGACTATCTAAACTACAGAGTACACTGACAGCAACAAATGATTTATTTTGTCAGCTTTAAATATTTTGACACAGGCTAGAAATATAAACATTGCATATGATCATTTTAACCCTTCAGCGCTAGAGTTGGAACCCTGAAACCTGAGAGATAGAGGACTACCAAAATTGATAATAAATTAAGTATTGAATTTTTACGACATTTGTGTGAAATAGAAAAAAGGTGGAGCCCTGAAGGGAGGAATACTAAAATCACCAACAGAAAAGAGAAATATGGAGAAATATTTGTGGGAAGCCAGATTGCTGCCTCATCGGTGCTTAATTTTCTGCATCTTTGTTTAATTTTATTCACCACATTTTGATACAGTGTAGGCTCGTCAAACATTTCATTCATTTTGATAAAACTATAGATGTTCTGGAATTGTGTGCAATCCCAACAACAAAATCAACAACTTTCCATCTGTCCTCAGCACTTACTCAAACTTCTTGGCTGTCATCAACACGTATGAAAGCTGTCTTGATAAAGTGGGTGTGCGTTCTTCTGGGGGATCTCTGCTGTAAATGCCAATTAAGATAAGTGTAAGTGCTTTGCTCAAAAACATCAGGGTAGCTACAATTCCCAACAGACCTGTCTTTTATGTTTTCTGCCTCCTTCATTTTCTGGATCCAGCTCAGATCACTTTTGATTGATGTTCGAACTTTAGTGGTTTGAAACACCTTCTCTCTCCCAGCATCTATTTGTTCATTTCATTTCATACAAAGTGAAACAATAAACAAGATATAAAATAAACATCTGCATTCATAGTTGTTGCATATCATTGAATCTGGTTTAGATTTGATTGATTTGAATTTACCTTGTGACATGATGCCTTCTTTTAATCTGGTCTAGCAAAAAAGAAAAAGAAATAGTTTTTTTTCATTCTTCAATAGCAAATATATTAGTTGTTTCGAACCTTCTATAAGTTATATTTTAATATTCTGTGATCAACAACCTGTTTCTATACACACATCTCATACATGATGCACAACTCTATCCATTTCTCTTATAAACTTGATGCTGCTGTGTTCTGAACATATCAACACATTGAATACAGTAATAACATGTGTTTGTTGTTTTAACTATACTTGGATATCTTCATTATGAAATGTTGCCTTCTGTCATATGACCTGAGCAGGGTGTTTACTTGCTGACCATTTTCATATGTGATGTGGTTTTTAACATTCTGACCCGCATTTAGCATATTAATCTTTTTGGAACTCAGCCAGCACCAATTAACCGGGTCATATTCGTTATGCTCAGTAGATGAAAGCCATTCCTGCTTGATAATGAGCCCTCAGCTTGCATAGCAGCTGAACATAAACTCTAAAGAGAAGTATTTTCATGTCTCTCCAGTGTGATCTCACCTAGTCAGCTGTTTTGGCGCTGGCAGGTCCTCAGTGTCTCCTCTGCAGCCCTGAAATAGCTCAGCTGAGATGTGTGAATGTTTGGAGGCTTTAACCAAAAATCTTCCTCCTCCGCCCCCTCCTCCTGTCGGCCTACTCCCTGTAAGGTGCTGTGCCGGTCGGTGAAGTGTGTGGGTGCCCTGTTCACAGACAGAGTGGGCAGACAGGTGCCACTGATACAGAGTTAATGTCTTAAGTGCGAAATGACACATTCAGAGATTGGGTTTCAGCCAATCTCACAAATTATTTCCTTCATTCTTTGTCAGTGTGTGACAAGTGACAACATTCCACTGTTCAAGTGAACATTGTAATCTACTTAGTTTCTTACTCATTTAAAAAATGATCATCATATGTCTGTTAGTTTATTTCTTCTAAATTCTTTTAATGAGCATCTGTGTGTAAACCCCTAATGTTAATTTAATAAAACAAACACACACTTTTCTTCATGTTAATCTATGAAAATCGTTTGATAAGTGAAATTTTATTTGAACCAAAGTAATGATGCTGTAGCAAAAATCATCTCTGCTACATCCTGATATTGCTGCATTACAGTCTTTAACACTTGTTTAGGTGAAATATGTGGATGCATTTTCTCACCAGGAATTGTACAGCATAATATTAATAATAATAATAATGTACTTGTAGATTAGCCCTGAGGTCAGGAAGTGACATCATTGCATGTAGCTATTGTTCCGGTTCTCGTAAAGAGCAGCTCGGTATGTCTTCTATATTTACAGTCTATGCTTCTAACTTGTAAATACAAATTCAACATTCTCCACGTGCTAATAAAACACGGATTGTTGTTCCTAACTTTGCTTATCAATCTTGCTTCTGTTCATTGGGATCTGAGGTGATTTTCTACACTGTAGCGTTGGTTAGCAGCTTAGCCTGTTAGCCTGTTAGCTTTTTTGTCTTTTCGCACACTTGGTTCATGCAAAAACTACGTAACAAATTATTAACATATGGTTTCATGGAGATTACAATACACACAGTAGCGTGAGGGTTGTATGATTTATGTCGCATTAGATTTCGACAACGGTGTAATATATTGTATGCTTACTAGCTTTACTTGTTTTGTTTTCCAGAGCCATCCACGATGACAACAGCGGCAAGGCCCACGTTTGAGCCAGCCCGTGGAGGAAGGGGCAAAGGAGAGGGGGATTTAAGTGCTCTGTCCAAGCAATACTCCAGCAGAGATCTACCAGGACATACCAAGATAAAATACAGGTATGTTGAGGACTGTGAAAACGTGAAAATGTGATTACTCTTACTGTGTGCTTTTAACACTTACTGCCGTAGTATTCAATATTGAAATTGCAACAATTAGTTCCTTGCTCTTAGTAGTTTTTAACATGTATGGATTTTGGCATGTGTCACATGTTTTTAGACCTGCTTTTTCAGTGTAAACAATTGTAAAGGAGACAATATTTTCTAGTATTGAGATATAGGCAGCATGTTGTTTGATTTGTTCACTTCACTTATGTGCCAACAGAAAATCTTGTTTTAAATAACAAACAACATGTATTAATTAAACAAAATAGTTATGTACTCCAGCAATTAATTTGCAACCTGTTTTAATGCAGACAACCTACTCAGGATGCCCCCGAGGAGGTCCGTGCCCGCGACTTCCGCAGGGAACTGGAAGAAAGGGAGCGTGTGGCAGTACGTGAGAAAACCAGGGAGAGAGGACCAAGAGGTTAGATTCTTTTCATGTAAAATAAAGTCAATTAATCATAGTAAAAAAGCCTGTCTTGTAATAACATTTCTACATTTTCTTTAAGAGCACACAACTTCATCTTCATCTTCCAAGCGGCTGAGGCTAGATCAAATCCCTGCAGCTAACCTTGACGCTGATGACCCGTTGACAGATGTAAGACTTTTCATATGTGATCAAAACAATATTCGTATACATTTTTTAAAACAGTTTTCTTTATTTTGAAATAGGATGATGAAGATGAGAATTCTGATGAGGACAGTGATGATGATGACACTGCTGCACTTCTGGCAGAGTTGGAGAAAATTAAGAAAGAACGTGCTGAGGAACAAGAGCGCAAGGTCAGGCAATGTTTAGTTGAACTAAAATTGAGCATGAGTTTTGTGTTTTGAACGTGTTTGATTTGTAGGAGCGTGAGCAAAAGGCTGAAGAAGAGAGGATCCGAATGGAGAACATCTTGAGCGGGAATCCACTGATTAATTTAGCGGGACAGCAGCAGCAACAGCAACAGCAACAACAACAGAACATTCAGACGCAGAGCGCATTCAAAGTCAAAAGAAGGTAAAATGTCTTGTTTCGGAGATTTCCCTGTGTTTTTATCGACGTATTTCCTGTGTTTGAATGTTTGATTCTCTCATCTGTATTGGCAACTTTGTATCGTCTTCTGAGACCAGTTGTGATTTAGGGCAATGAAAAAATAAATGTAATTGAATTTTTCATAATTTGAGTCGATTTGTCTTTCAGGTGGGATGATGATGTTGTTTTCAAGAATTGCGCCAAAGGAGTGGACGAGGCTCGAAAGGAAAAACGTTTTGTCAATGACACCCTGCGTTCAGAGTTTCACAAAAAGTTTATGGAGAAGTATGTTAAATAAACTTAGATTCAACATTTGTCTTTTTTGCTTTAAGCCTTGCATAAAACTGGTTTGTTGTAAATACATGTGAAATATGTCCTCTTTTCCATTTGTTAAAGCTCTAATAAAAATTGGCTCATGTTTAAATGACCTGTCTTGTATTTATAATAAAACATGTTTCACACCTATTCAAATCAACAACATAGATTTTTATTTTTCAGCTGTTTTTCCAGATTGTTTTTCATTTTAAACTGTTCAAAAGTTTTTATACCTCATGGTGATTTTACCCAATTGCATGGAATAAATGTTTTTATTTTTTATGTAATTTATGTTTACTACTAGTCATAATCAGGAGAGGAAATAATCAGGTTGGCATGGCAACTACACACCGTAGACCTAGCGAGATGATTAGCGTGAATGTGGCCAGTAGGGGGCGCCACACTGAACAATCACTCCCTTGTTTGAGGGATAGGGAGGCTGCTGGGAAAAGATGGCAGCTCCGTTGTGTTTGTACGGATTTTCTTTACTCCATGTTGGTCTTTAAGTGGATTAATCTGCGGCCACACTTCTCTTGAGGCTGTGTGGGAGGGTGCAGGTTCACTAGACTGACTTTTTAACCACAAAAACATGGAGAAAAGTGGCAGTATTGACAGTTTAGGTTCCAGGCGCTCCTCGTCTCGTCAGCCCAGCGTTGATTCATTATCCAGGTATATATTCTTACTCAGTTATTACAGCAGTGTGTTGATTAAAATATGCATATATATATATATATATATATATATATATATATATATATATATATATATTGACAGTCTTAGAACTTCGTGCCAATACTGTTTTGTTCCGTATGGATTTGTGGTTTTATGATAAGCGAGGTGGCGTACTTCGAAGTTGCAGCGGTGTGGTTATGACAGTGCTCATAAAGTTGTCACAAGTCTACACAATGTCTACACAAGCTCGATATAATCATCTTTATATTTGTGATTTGTCAAGAGTTTTATTGGTTATAATCTGCCCGTAGTTCTTCCACGTCCCGCTCTGACCGCTCTGCTCAGGTCAAGCCCCCCTTGTCCTCAGAGTCCACCTCCAATGAGTTTTCCCCGGAGCTAAGGGTAAGTAGCCCAGGCCAGAATTATAAGTACAATAATGAACAATTAAGTCAAAATCTTTGTATGTTTCTGACGCAGGTGAAACCCAAAGCGTTTACAAAGGTTGGGACTGCTTTGAGTACATTTCAATAGATACGTGCTTTGTTCTTTAAAATATGATTCTGATCCTTTTAGCAAATCTGCAGAGAGACAGACAAACAGGAACCACAACTACTTCCAAATGAAATTGTACAAGATTTAGGTAAGTTATCTTTGCTCCAATACATCAAGCGTTACAGTCATTAAAATGTGTATTTTTGTAGCGAAAGATGTCACCTACTTCTGCCCGTTCATTGGAGCCATAAGGGGATCTGTGATCATCACAAACTACAGATTATTCTTTAAATGCATGGACAGAGTGTGTTTGATTAATTATTTCTTGCAATTGTTCATAACTTTGTATATGGAATCTCCTTGGCTTATTTTGGGCCCTATTTCCAGGAACCTGCATTTGTGTTGGACATTCCACTTGGTGTAGTGAGTCGTGTGGAGAAGATTGGTAATGCCTCGATCCGGGGGGATGTTTCATATGGGATTGTATGCAAGGTGTGAATAGTAAAAAAAGAAACATATACAATCTATATAGACTCATACATCATGATTATCAGTATTATTGACATGATATTGCTATGTTTTGCCAACTGTTTTGCCTCTAATGTGTGTTTTCTCTCTTTGTAGGATATGCGTAATCTCCGATTTGCACACAAGCAGATAGACGACACTCTCAGGAAGTCCATTTTTGAGGGGCTAACGAAATTTGCGTTTCCTGTTTCCAATGGACTGGTTAGTGTTTTTAGCCACCGTAACTAGATTCTTACATTTTTCCCATACAAGAAATAAAGATAGTTTCTTTTGGTTTTCATAGCAAATTTTTGCTCTTCATTATGGACAAGTGTTCCCTGAAAATGGTTGGAAAGTCTATGATGCTGTCGCTGAGTACAAAAGACAGGTTATATAGAATAAATTTAATGACATTTCCTTTGACATTTTGATTACCAATGTTCAACCTTCTTTATTGATGATGTTGTTGTGTAACTGTAGAGTATTCCTAATGAAAGCTGGAGAGTAACTAAAGTAAATGATCACTATGAACTCTGCGACACTTATCCATCAACACTTGCGGTGCCTGTCAACATGCCAGATGAGGATCTAAAGAGGGTGGTGACCTTCAGGGCTAAAGGAAGGATTCCTGTAAAAAAGATTCTTGTTTTATACATTTGTTTTTGATTTTGTGAGTCATTCTGATAATTGTGTATGTAATATTTGCAGGTTTTGTCTTGGATTCATCCAGAAAGTCAGGCTACAATCACACGTTGCAGTCAGCCTATGGTTGGTGTGAATGGCAAACGCAGTAAAGAGGATGAGAAGTACCTCCAAGCAATAATGGATGCAAATGCTCAGTCTCATAAGCTTATCATTTTTGACGCCCGGCCCAGTGTCAATGCTGCAGCCAACAAGGTTTGTATATTCAAATACAGATCTCATTGATTTGGCATTGAAACATTTTGCAATATAGCTGAGAACAACTGAGATAACTGATTTGAAATGTTGATATTCTACAGATGAAAGGTGGTGGATATGAAAGTGAGGATGCTTATCAGAACGCAGAACTTGTCTTTTTAGACATTCACAATATTCATGTTATGAGAGAGTCTCTTCGTAAACTTAAGGAAGTAGTTTATCCGAACATCGAGGACTCTAATTGGCTTTCCAACCTGGAGTCTACTCACTGGCTAGAACACATCAAAGTAATACATAACTCCACAAATCCTAACATTATTTTGTATCATGGTTTCTACTTGTACATGTACTCTGTTTTCAGCTCATAATGGCCGGAGCATTGCGAATTGCTGACAAAGTTGAATCTGGCAAAACATCCGTTGTGGTTCACTGCAGTGATGGTTGGGACCGCACGTGTCAGCTCACATCTTTGGCCATGCTGATGCTTGATGGCTATTACCGCACTATCCGTGGATTTGAGGTACTGATTGAAAAAGAGTGGCTCAGCTTCGGTCATCGTTTCCAGACGGTAAATAATGGATTTATGAAATAGCTCTGTTGTTATGTCATTAGATTGACTTATGGTTGATAAATCCCCTCAGCGTATTGGTCATGGAGATAAAAACCACACTGATGCTGACCGCTCACCTGTTTTTATCCAGTTCATTGACTGTGTCTGGCAGCTCACACGTCAGGTACTTTTTAATGTTTAAATTAGACTATGATCATTGTCGTAATTGTCAACATGCAATTGTTACATGTTATTTTTTTAGTTTCCTGCAGCTTTTGAATTTAATGAATATTTCCTGGTGACTATCTTGGATCATCTGTACAGCTGTCTTTTTGGTACATTTTTGTGTAACAGTGAACAACAGCGGATGAAGGAAGTACGTTTATTTATTTGAATGTGTTGTTTTAACTTGCTCTCAACAGATGAAGTAATGACTTAACTTTTATATCACAGGACATTCCCAAGAAAACTGTGTCCTTGTGGTCATATGTAAACAGCCAACTGGACGATTTCACTAACCCTCTGTATGTGAACTACTCCAATCATGTATTGTTCCCTGTTGTCAGCCTGCGCCACTTAGAGCTTTGGCTTGGTTACTACATCCGCTGGAATCCCCGGATGAGACCTCAGGTATGTGTGGGCAAAAAATACCTTTGGTCTTAATAAATCATAGTATGTTTTTGTTGTTGTTGTCAGGAACCAGTCCACCAGCGCTACAAGGAGCTGTTAGCAAAGCGCGCTGAATTGCAACGGCGAGTGGAGGAGCTTCAGCGAGAAGTGGCCAGAAGTCGCTCTGCTTCATCCTCATCAGAACAAGCAGGGTCTCCAACACGCTCCATCACACCTGTGCAAACCTTTGTTTGACACAGGATTGAATTTCATTCTACATGTAGATGGTTCAACACGACACGCCATGATGGACACAGGAATAAACTGCATTAAACCCAAACAGGATTTCAACCACGGGTGGATTTTGAAGATCACTGTGTAATGGGAGATTACTTGCTTGTAGCAGTGTTCTAATTTACTTATAGATGCTATTCATAATCAAATTAATCTGCTCACCTCGACAGAATCTTACTGTAACATGAAAGTGGTTGGTATAGGAATTTGTAAGTTCTGAATGATGCCACAAGCAATAGTGAAATGACCAAATACTGTGTGCCTAGAGTCAGTTAGAACATGACATTTGTGTTTTTTTTGTATTTGTTGCTTCTGTATAACTTTTTTTTGTTAAACTATGCAATAACAAATAAAAGTAAAATGAATGTAGATGACCCATGCCTAAAGTTAAAATCATATTGAGTAAGTCAATTATGGAATCATCTCATGTGTAGGCCTTCAATGTACATCTGAACTAACGGACATGCACATGATAGCGGCATATTGTTAAACTGTTAATGAAGTGACACAACACAATGGTGTGATTTATTTGACGACAAAAACAATTGGGAAATTGACAGACCCCAGTTTGTAAGAACCAGGGACTGCGTGTCTGAGGTCCTGACCTGCAGTGTGGGGGCCCCCCAGGGGACTGTCCTCGCACCGTTCACCCTCTACACTGCGGACTTCAGACACAACACGGACGGTTGTGTCCTACTGAAGTTCTCAGAGGACTCTGCCATCATCGGACTCTGAGGACGATGACACAGAGTACAGAGGAGTTATACAGAACTTTGTGGACTGGTGTCAGCGGAACCACCTCCTCATCAACGCGGGGAAGACCAAAGAGATGGTGGTGGATTTCCGCAGACGTCACTCTGCCACTCCAGCCCCAGTGAACATCCAGGGAAAGGACATTGAGAGAGTGGACTCTTACAAGTACCTGGGTGTTCATCTGAACCACAAACTGGACTGGACTCATAACACAGACGCCCTCTTCAAGAAGGGCTAGAGCCGCCTCTACCTGCTGAGGAGGCTCAGATCTTTTGGAGTGCAGGGGCCACTCCTAAAGACCTTCTATGACTCTGTGGTGGCATCAGCCATCTTGTACGGTGTGGTCTGCTGGAACAGGAGCATCACAGAGAGGGACAGGAAGAAGCTGGACAAGGTCATCAGGAAGTCCAGCTCAGTCCTGGGCTGTTCCCTGGACACAGTGCAGCAGGTGCGGGACAGGAGGGTCCTGAGCAAACTAACATCTATGCTGGACCATGACTGTCACCCCCTGCAGGACACTCTGCTCTAGAGAGCAGCTTCAGTGACAGACTAATTCACCCTCGCTGTGTGAAGGAGAGGTTCCGTAGGTCTTTCCTTCCTGCTGCTGTCAGACTGTACAACGAGAATGTGTAACAGGAACTGCTAATCAATCACTGATAATTCACTAGTAACTTTGTCACTTGTCACTTTACCTGTTATCAGTACTACTGCATTATTACATATCTGATATTTCTGCCTTTCACCAGTCACTTTACCTGTTGATATCTTACTGTATTATTCATATCCATCTGATAATTCTCCCATTCAAGTCACTTTACCTGTTGATATTATTTCTTATGTTTATTCTGCTCATATTCATATTCTCTTATTCTCCGCGGCTAATATATATATATAATATAGACATCTGTAAATACTTCCGAACCAAGTGCAATTATAGCCCAGAGTCTATCTAATGTTTTATTTTATTCTTATCTTAATTTTATTGTCTATTACCTTAAAGCAGCAGTAAGCGATTTTTGGGTGTTAATATACGTCTTAAATATTGATATATTCCAATAGCCATCACTTATATAGAGTGTTTGTACCTAAACACGGATCTCTCAGTCCTTCCAGTCTTCTCCCACCTATATGATAAAAAAACCTCACATCCTATGCGCTTATCCAATGACGAGAGAGCACGCCTTATAAGGGGTTTCTCCCGTGTGTGCACGCGCACTCTTCAAAACAAACATGGCGGAGAAGGAAAAGCCGCCTCCAGCGCTGCTGCAGACGAAATACCATGGATCTATTAAATACAGGCAAAACGCCAGAAACAGAGGAACGACAAAAAGTAGTAGCAAAATGGTGACCAGCTGCATTCATGTTGGCGACCTCTAGCTCCGTGGATTCCTCTCTCCGACTGAACAGGTGAGCATGTTACTCAGTAGTGGCAGTAGTAGTTGTATTATTTATACATATTGTTGCCTGAGACTGTAATGCGGGTTTTCACCAAGTTAGCTAGTTAAAAATACCCAGCTGTTGTAGAAATACGGCCGCATTTTGTGGCAATAACTGCGCATTACCTTGGCTTAGCTTTGAGAAACAACAACAGACAACACAACATCGAAGCCTTAGCCCAGCCTCAGCCATCCATAAACTCCGGTCAATTATTAGTTCCCCACATGTACAACATTAAATGATCATATCACTAGAGTTCCCCCGTGAAGTGGTGTTAGCATTAGCGTTCGCTGTTAGCATTAGCGTTCGCTGTTAGCATTAGCGTTAGCTGTTAGCATTAGCGTTCGCTGTTAGCATTAGCGTTAGCTGTTAGCATTAGCGTTTGCTGTTAGCATTAGCGTTGGCTGTTAGCATTAGCGTTCGCTGTTAGCATTAGCGTTAGCTGTTAGCATTAGCGTTTGCTGTTAGCATTAGCGTTGGCTGTTAGCATTAGCGTTCGCTGTTAGCATTAGCGTTCGCTGTTAGCATTAGCGTTCGCTGTTAGCATTAGCTGTCTGTAGTTGTGAATATGATGTGGCTGCTACGATCACTTCTGATCTGTATGAATCGTTTGTTTTTGCCAATAAACATAGTTGCTTGCACTATATATATATATATATGTAGGTCTGCATTTCATTCTTCAATGACTAAGTTTTGCAACTTGCACTCTGTATATTAGTTTTATTGTTATAAAAACAATATCTCTTTACCTCAAATCTAACTTCCGTGACCACTACATACATTTTTATTATTATGTATTGAGAATAAGTAAGAAAAGTCTTGCTGACTACTACCAAATAAATTATGAGCATGATATAATATAGACATTATAATAATTTACATGTCTTCATTGCATTCTTTTCTCTGTATCTTTTCCAGTATGGCCTAAATCAATTGGAATGAGGTCTTCAATGTACAAGAGTTCAAAAGCCTCCATAATGCAAGTTAAATAACTATTAAAAAAAAAAACAATGCCATAACGACTAGATACTTTTCTGCTGACCTCTTCTTTCTCTAGTATTGACTGGGAAGACAAGACTTTGCTTCCAGAATTAGAAGATCGGCCATTGTCATCTCCTGAGGAAGACTTTACACCCCACATTTGTCATGTAGGTTGTTGTGAATGCATATATGGGACGCAGTGATTATGATAATGTTGTGATGTGTGTGTCGTTCATCCCTACAGTTGTGTTGCTGCCCTGAGGTCCAAAATGAATATCGATCATGTTCCAGGAGTCAGTGTTGAACAAAACTGTCGCTGAGTTTCTTCAACAATCAAGAGGAGTGAGATAATCACTCGACTCCCAAAACAGCCGATGTAAGTGTCTTTCTCTCACAGTCCAAATAAACATGTTCAAGGATCCTGTGGATCAGGGGCCACTCCTGGTGATCAATAAATACTGATGTTGATGATGAATATATCAAAGTCATATCTGAGTAGATAAAACTGATGTCTCTTCTATTATGTTTCAAAGGAAAATCTCTGCCAGAGGAAGACTCCAGTTCCTTCAACCTGGGCCCCTGAAGCGTGGCTGTGTGTGCGTGTGAATGTGTGTGCTTGTGACTGTGTGTGCGTGTGACTGTGTGCTTGTGGCTGTGTGTGCTTGTGACTGTGTGTGCGTGTGACTGTGTGTGCTTGTGGCTGTGTGTGCGTGTGACTGTGTGTGCTTGTGGCTGTGTGTGCTTGTGACTGTGTGTGCTTGTGACTGTGTGTGCGTGTGACTGTGTGTGCTTGTGACTGTGTGTGCGTGTGACTGTGTGCTTGTGGCTGTGTGTGCTTGTGACTGTGTGTGCGTGTGACTGTGTGTGCTTGTGGCTGTGTGTGCGTGTGACTGTGTGTGCGTGTGACTGTGTGTGCTTGTGGCTGTGTGTGCTTGTGACTGTGTGTGCTTGTGACTGTGTGTGACTGTGTGTGCTTGTGACTGTGTGTGACTGTGTGTGCGTGTGACTGTGTGTGCTTGTGGCTGCTTATGAATTATTTTGAGGAAATGTGTTCAAACAAGCTACAACATAAAGATTAACATTTTGTTAGATATCTCTGATAGTGTTCGCTGCAGCAGCGATGGATAAGGACCTGGATAATAACAGTGTTATTCATTTGAGCAAAAAGTGATAACACAAACGTTGCCTTACCATCACTTGTAATTATTTGTCTTAGTAGGGACATTGTGTATATTTTTCCGGCTATAACTTCAAATCTTCTTTTACATAATAAAGTTTCTTAGACTCGTTACAGACTGTATTTGTTTTCCTACTATAAAACAAAGCACATTGAAAGAGGTGTATGTATTTTTTTAAATTTTGAAATAGTACAACTACAAACATATTTCAGAACTGCAGAGTGGACGTGCACCATGGGGGCCACTGAGGACGTGCACCATGGGGGCCGCTGAGGACGTGCACCATGGGGGCCGCTGAGGAAAGCACGTTTTCAATGTCTGTTGGCACCTTTCACAGATCAGGGAAAGGATCTGGTCATCAGCTTCTCTGGACAGAGGGCGTTCAGTGCTTCCTGAAAGAACCGTTATGACAAATGACTTTATATATTGTTACTTGTAGCTTTTCTTTCAAAGTGGTTTCCTTACAGTGTAATAGTGTAACGTAATTAGTTATGACAGTACTTTTGCGTTTCGGACAAGCTTTACTGGAATTGTTTTTCAGTCCCACATCTCACTGTACAGCTCTGATACACTTTGATTTTGTCTTCATTCTCTGAACAATAAGCACATAATACAGATGTTGATTACATCAATAAATGTATCTTTATTTTGTGACATTGAGAAGGCAGCTTCCAGTGAGATGCAGCTTTACTTTCACACAATACATTACTACAGTGTTGTCTATAAAGAACTCCAAATATACAAATTGTGAGGAAATAAGTAGCAGTAATGTATTACTTTAAATAACCTTCGTGTAAAGCTTTGTTGTTATGTATATGCATTACATTCATCTAATACATATGCACTGTAACAGATTAACATCTGTGCATAATGTTGAGACACGTCACACTGCAATCTGCAACATTATGTTTATCACATCAGTTATCAGTGTACCAACTATAAAAGCAGTATTATTCTATAAAAGACTGGATTGTTTTTATCTCTTTCTTAGTGATGCTATCCTAGCTAACACCAAGCTGCTTCCAGTGTTATAGCTAGGTTACAACTAAGCTATTCTATGCTAATATTTCACTCCCAGAGTTTGTTGTTAATATACTTAAGGGTAGACCTGACGGAGATGAATCTGCTGCTGCCATCACCAACACGATGCGCGTTCATGTGGTGTGACGAGGAGACGGGGGCGGGGCTACTAACTCGCTCAGGCAGAAGAAACTGCCGGAAACGACCAAATCGCTTACTGCTGCTTTAAATAATAGACTATTTGATGTGTGCAATCTGAGTCCTCTTATTTCCTCTCTCTGCTGTAATGTGCGCAACGATTACACTGAAATTTCGCCACTGTGAGACTAATAAAGGTTTATCTTATCTTATCAAACAGAAAACAAAAAGGCTGTGAAATCTTGTTTTAACCAAATTTTAAGAAGAACTTTTGTCAATTAAACGTTTTGTTCACTTTGGACCTGAGAGCAGATATACTGTAAGGCTCTGGTGTTGGGAAGTGTTAATTTAGACCAGGCATGACCAAACCAAGGCCCACTGGCCAATTGTGGTCCTCTGTCATGTTATGTTGCCCACAGCCTTGTTAACAAAAGTTATCTTTGAGATCATTTACGTCAGTTCACAGCCTCATCTGTCATGGGACACTATCTGGGGAGGTTGCAAAATTGAATCGCACAACAATTGATAAATCTGGTGCAGCAACTGTACATTGTCCTTAATAAAAAAAATTGCCCAACACAAAATTATGTATCTAGAAAAAAGATATTGCATGTTTTATTGCAATCTTTACATTTAATAATCCATACTTCCAATTTTAATCGTGCCATGCAAATGCAATTCTTGCAAAACATAATTTCGCTGCATGCCGTTTTTGTGAAAAACTGTTTTGCCTCACTCCAAGCTATTTGGAAAGTCTACCTATAACCGTTTGATTGTAAATCACAAGAATGTCTCAGACCCTACTTAATGTGATTCAATTATAATCCTTGCATTTCAAAAGCAAAACAAAAATGAGAATAGAGCAGTGTTCTCTCTGATGGTTTTTGAAGCTATAAGTCCAGAAGCAAAGTTGTTGCAGGATTATCGTACATGTTGTTCACCTCGGGACCAACGCAAAAACTGAATAACCGACTAGACTTTATTGGACCTTATAAAAATTCCACACATTTATTTTCACTATCATGTATTGCACTAGCCTAGCCATCCGTACACTCCGCTCAAATGTAATTTGTACTATGGTGTGGTACGACCAGGCTAGGATTGCACTGATCCATGGTTTGCACTAAAGCACAGGTTCCCTATGGCCTAGACCGAGTCCTCTGTTGTTTACAAACAGGTCGTTACAAATCACGTCGTTGATTGGCTGCTGAATTTAAACCTCCACGTCCCGCGTCGTTTTGAGATATCGCGATATTATTTTGTTCTAATTGAAAGCTTTGGCCACTTCCGGTTACATGACGAAGACACCGATACAAATAGAAGGAAAACAGAAAAATACCGTCAAGACTAGACTATAACCAGAGCTACCTCGAGTGTTTGTGATCTAATAAAAGGAATCATGTCGTATATGTACCGCTTATTTTGTGGTACATTGTGAAATACCGTAGAGGTCATAGATATTTGGAGTTTATTGTTCTCCCGACTGCCTCCACCGCCGTTCAGAGCTAACACTAGCTAAAGTTAGCCTTGGCTACTAGTACCGCTCTTGTAGTTTTGGTCTTGAATTGGCGAAGAAAAGTGGGACGGAAGAAAGCTGCGTTATAATCTTTCCTGTGGGACCTGTAAACTCGGACATATTAGCGGTGACATCGGTGTGAGAGGATGGCAACATCGGCGCTGTACGCCTGCACCAAGTGTAACCAGCGGTATCCCTTTGAGGAGCTTTCGCAAGGCCAGCAACTGTGCAAGGTTTGAGACTGTGATTTTATAATGTGTCCTGTGTCTTTTAGAATATCCTCAAAGTCTATGTCAATCTCGAGTGCGCAGTTTTCTCTCTGATATCCGTAATTAAGGTGTGTTAGCTTCGCTGCTATTATTATGTAACCGCTAACGTTAACGCCAATAACTATGTTTCCTGTTAACATTACACAACATTAAAGCTACAAGAGTGGATCTGTTGCTTAATTTACGTATTGACTGTGATATTACTAACTCAGACTCTCGTTACAACTTGTTGAAGACCAGGAGGCATTCTTAAAACACAATTATGGTTTTTCCCTACAGGAGTGCCGCATTGCACATCCAATTGTCAAATGCACCTACTGCAGATCAGAGTTTCAACAAGAAAGGTAAGATGATATTTCTATATTTCATGTTTTTTTAAGCCAACTTGCAGGCAACTAATTATATTTATTTTTTCTTTAGCAAAACAAACACCATATGTAAGAAGTGTGCTCAGAATGTCAAACAATTTGGAACTGTAAGTTTTTGGCATTAATATCCTTTATTTTCTGTAAAGACTGGAATTGAGTTAATTCTGTCCTTTTTTACCCAGCCAAAACCCTGCCAGTACTGTAATATTATTGCAGCCTTTATTGGGACCAAGTGTCAGCGATGTACAAACTCAGAAAAGAAATATGGACCTCCTCAAACTTGTGAGCAGTGCAAACAACAATGTGCATTTGATCGTAAAGAGGAAGGCCGAAGGAAGGTGATAACTTCATGTCATTCATCAGTGTAACTCAATGTATTGGACGCAATCAAATGTAACTTATGTGCTGCACTTTCTTTTGAAGGTGGATGGTAAGCTGCTGTGCTGGTTATGTACTCTGTCGTACCGACGTGTCCTTCAGAAGACTAAAGAACAAAGAAAAGGGTTTGGCTCAAATTCTTCTTCCCTCAATGAGAAGGACCACCACTCCAGATCACATCATCACCACCATCACCAACAACACAGGCACAGCAGCTCCCACCACAAGTATGTCTATACATTTCTATGTATTTAGCTTGGAAAACTGCGAATCATAGAGCTCATAAATGTTCCATGTTTCTACTCAGGTTGAGTGGGAGCTTGAGCCCTGAACAGGAGCAGGGACTGTGGAAGCAGAGGTAAATTTGTATTTCATTTCATTCAAACAATGGACATGAATTTTTGGGGTTGCCAGTTTTTGGATTTCCATTATTGAAATCAGTATAAGTAAAAAGTATACTCTTCCTTTTTATCAGAAAGTACCATAGAGTTGTACTGACTGTAGCAAATTATAAATTAATGTAATTATATTTGTATTCTAATTTATTGAATGTGTGTATATGTCTGGAGTATGAAGTTTGTTTCTTTTTCAGCCATAAATCATCTTCAATCCAAAAAGAGACTCCAAAGAAGAAACCAAAGCTTGAGCTAAAGCCATCTAATGGAGACAGGTAACTTATTTTTAATTGTCTGTTATGGTGTGGTGTTATCCTTATGTGTCAAATGTTTTATTTATTCTATAGCAGTTCAATCACTCAGTCGATGGATTCTGGGGGAACGGACAACTTCATTCTCATCAGCCAGCTCAAAGAGGAAGTGATGTCCCTGAAAAGACTTTTACAGCAAAAGGATCAAACTATTCTGGAAAAAGATAGAAAGGCAAGGATTATAAAACAGCAAATGCATCAGCAATTCATTAAACATAACAACAATTGGATAAACATTTCTCTTCTGTTTAAGCTGACGGAAATTAAGGCCGACTTTCAGTATCAAGAGTCCAACATGAGAGTGAAGATGAACCAAATGGAGAAATCGCACAAAGAGTCAATGGAACAGCAACAGGTGATTTGACATCCAAGACAATGCATTGTACACTGATATGTATTTTAATGTCTGTGCCTGTTTTCCCTAGTCCAAAAACAGAGAGCTCATGAAGCAGGTTGCAGCCCTTTCAAAAGGAAAGAAGTTTGATCGTACAGGAAGCTCACTGCTGCTGCCCTAACACCTGAGGAGCAGTGGTTAACAGAGAGCTACTTTGTTTCCACATTGCTCCCACAATTGTTTTTACTTGGTAAAACCATGTTGTACATGGATCATGAATTGTCATCAAATGTCATCTTATTTTGGTAATGTATGGTGAGTTGTCCACTGGATTATGGATTGCAACTTAAAGCGGAGGGGAGGATTGCTCTCATTTTCAACACTGCCGAATACCAGGGTCAAAAATGCATGATTTGCATATGTGGATGGCATTTTAACTCTTGTGTATCCACTTAATTTTTATGGATGTCAGGCTACATTATTTATTCAAATGTATTTCCTAGCTTTTTTATTTTATATTAAGAGAAGATCCCACTTTTTGGGGAGTTCATAAATTGTCATTTAGTTATATTTTTTTAAATGGGACATGATTGTGAATGACAAGTTGTTAACTTATTGTACAACTTTTCAATGTATGCAAATTTGGTTATTCAGTAGCTGCTGCTCTACTGTGGAAAACATTCAAACTAAAGGACATTTACAACGGTTGCAGAAGCGGTGGCCCCATCTCTCTATGTGACCGCTGTGGTGCATTGCTGTTTCCCTTTTAATGGAACGATTGTCATATTGCATGATTTACTTACTGCCAGATACCGGTTGGCATTGATGTCGCTCTTTTACTTTTCCTTTTTATTTAGTATTTCTAATCACAATGTAAACATATGGGGTCAAACATTGCATTAACCTATTACTTGTAAATGTTTTAGTGAGTAAAAGTATATGGTAAGGCCAGTTGAAATTAACATGTATGTAGATAATGCTGTTACAAAAGCAACTTTCACCTACATAATTGGACTGGTTTCATACTGTGGTTTCCAGGATACGTTTTGTACTTTTTCCAAAACTGTTGTTTTACAAATTAATAAAAAAAACTGGCTAAACATTGTTCCCTTGGTCCTCAGGTCAAGATTTACCAGAAAACGCTCGATATTATAATATACATACAAATTTTCTCCCCTTTTTACATGTAGGCTGCATATCAGTTTGACGCTACAGCAATGTGTGTATGTTGGGAGTAACTATTTGGTATAAAAATGTATTGGTGAAGTAGCACATAACATAATATAAAACTGATTATGTAGCACTCATCAACCAAAGTAACTTAAGTAATCTCCCAATGTTTAGAATCCATTTGACAAAAGCTTTACAGTTAATAGCTAGCATAAAAGCTTTCTACAAACGTTTGAAACTGATTGCTGTCAATTAAATGATCACATTTTAAAGTTAGTAGTGTGAAACCCATACTTAATATTTTTGTTAAATTAACTAGTAATATATGAATAATTTACTGTACATTTCTATGATATATTCACTGTGTGAATACATATGCACTGTACTTTACCGTAGAGATCCATGTTTAGTGGCTGCATTCGAATAAATAAAATCCCTCGTTCCATTTTCCTTTGTCCTTATGTCTCCTTTTGAATTTCCTTTCTAGTATTATATGACTTAAATAGCACTAAAATGAGTTAAACAGGTCTCATATCTAATTTGACCAAGTCAGAAGTCACCCGTCTCAGAAAGTTTTATTATAATTACAAGAACCAGGAGTTACATGTAGCGTTACGGCTGCGAGCATTAACCTTTTGTCGCCTTGTACATCCGGGTTAGTCGTGTTTTCCGGTAGCCATTGAAGCCTTATCTGAAAAATAAAAACAGCGCTGGGAAAGTTATTGCATTTACAGGCAAGTTTATAGTTCTCTTTGTGCTTGAACACAACACATACATAATAAATATAGATGCTAACTACAGTAATTTATGTTTGGCAGCTTTTCATTATGATGCTTGTGGCTAAGTGGCTAACGTCTTCAGAATCTTTCCCCTGAATGATTGTGCTCTTAGTTTGTGTATGTTTCTGCAATAATTGTTTTGTGTCTACAATATAAAATAAAAAATGTTAGAGTCGAACAGCTGTATTTTATGGTTTTACTGATTGCAAAGAAATTGTGAAACATAATCCTCGCCATGCCGTGTACTTGTTATTGTACTAAATCATTCTACTTTTTTAACAGGATGTCAGATTCAGACAGCGATGAGGACCAGGATCGTCCTTTTTCAATAACTGGATTTTTATTTGGAAATATTAACGAAGATGGACAACTGGAAGGTGACAGTGTGTTGGACAATGTAAGTGTTGATTGTTCTCTATACGTTGTTTCTTATGATCTATTAAGGGGTAAACTAGCTATTATTTTTTTATTGCAGGAGTCAAAGAAACATCTGGCTGGCCTAGGCAATCTTGGGCTTGGATCACTTATTACAGAAATAACTGCAAACGAAGAAGACAGCCCAGAGGATCCCAAAGGCTCAAGTGTTGTAGATGCAGAAGGTGGGATTTAAGTATACGGTAAAATGGGATATTCTTGACTGTATTTTTCTCATGTTGTGTTATCATTAGGCTGGGTGAAAAGCACTGAAGATGCTGTGGATTACTCTGACATCAGTGAAGTTGCAGAGGATGAAACAAGAAAGTATCGGCAGGCAATGGGCTCATTGCAACCAAGCAAGAAGATTGGTAAATAATGACCAGTAACATGAATTGTGCAGTCTGTTGCTGCTAGGGCTGGAATTAGAACATACAAATGAATTTTAACAACAGCATTTCCTTGGTAAACCTTTGCCTGTAGGCTTTCTCTGTCATCAAATTGATATGGACATAATATTTTGTCATCACATCAAACTTATCACAGTATTTAACTTCATAATTTTGCACTCCCCTTTGTACACAATTTATGTATCATTTATACTTCTGAATATATCTATGTCTTTGTTTGAAGATGATGGAGATGACTATGATGCTGACTGTGAAGATATTGACTCTAAGCTGATGCCACCTCCTCCTCCACCAACTCTTACCACATCAGTTAAAAAAGATGAAGCTGGTCAAAGCACAAATAGTATGTTATAGGTTGCACATTCTATTTATATATCATAAATAATTGTAAACCGTTAATATTAGGTCAACAAAATTAAATGCATATCTGTTAACAGTTCCAGAAGAGGGTGATGGTATTATATTACCATCTATCATTGCACCATCTTCTTCTGGAGACAAGGTCGACTTCAGTAGTTCTTCAGATTCAGAATCGGAAACTGATCGTCCTTCACAAAAGTCTGGTTCAGGTGGGGCCCCAGATCGGCTCACCCTACCTCTTGCTGGAATTATGCAGAAAGATGCTGCCAAAGCCTTGCCAAAAGTCACGGAGCTTTTCCCAGAGTTTAGACCTGGAAAGGTAAAGTACTTGATTTTGAAAGCTTTTAACTATGTATGTTTCTCACTTTATTATTTCTGTTTTAATACCTTACCAGGTTCTCAGATTCTTAAGATTGTTCGGACCCGGAAAGAACATGCCGTCTGTTTGGAGAAGCGCCAGAAGGAAAAAAAAGAGAAAACACAGAGACCATCAGCCTGGAACACCTCCACCTGAGGGCGAAAGCTCAGAGCAAAGTCAAGAGAAGTCTGGGTGGGTGTATGAGTACGCACTAGCTCCGCCTCCAGAACAATGTCTCTCTGATGATGAGGTAAAGTTATACAATATGTTGTTTTGTTGTGCACAATAATTACCTCCAAAATTATTGTTGGCCTAAATGTGTTTATGTGACAATACTACTGCTTTTAGTTTATTACTGTTCATAGTCTATAGAATACATATTTATTTCTATGTGGCACTGTTAAACTTGAACTTAATTAAAGACTATGCATTTATCCTTTTTAGATTACTATGATGGCTCCAGTAGAATCCAAGTTTTCACAGTTGTGTGGTGATGGAGATAAAGAAACAGAGTCTCGACCTAAAGTAGCAGAATGGAGATATGGGCCGGCTCAGCTGTGGTATGACATGCTTGGTGTCCCTGAAGATGGAAGCAACTTCAACTATGGTTTCAAACTAAAGGAGAAAAATGATGAGCTGGAGACTGAAGAACCCTCCAAGGATGTAACAGACATGGCTTTGGTAGTGTGTAAACTCAATATTTGTTTTGTCAAAAAGGCATATATATATATATTTATATATATATTTCTTTATATATATATATATGCCTATATATGCCTATATATATATATATATATATATATATATATATAAAAAAAAATTATACATATATATGTGTGTATAATTATATGTGAGTATATGTTTATTGTTGATTACTATATTTAAGAATGTGCTGAATATTTTCATAAATGTCATAATTTTACTTCCTGTTTGTGAATGATGTTACCAAACTGGGCCAATCCATCTAATTTAGTATTTTTTATTTAGTGGCTATAGCCAAAAATAGCTTTAGAATAATAAATGAAATAATAAAAAACCTTTTATTAATTTGGCCTAAAATATTTGTTTTCCCTCCTCAGCCTCAAGAACTTGAAGACTGTGAAGAAGACGGTGACAAAGAGCCAAAACACCTTGAGAATGAGCTGTTTCTGATGGTCACTCAGCTGCAGTGGGAGGATGATATCATCTGGAATGGAGAGGATGTGAAACACAAGGGGACTAAGACTCAAAGAGCCAGCCTGGCAGGATGGCTCCCCTCCAGCATGACACGCAACGCCAATGCATATAATGCCCAACAAGGTGTGCACAGGTGGAACACCTGTTGTTAGAAATCCTGTATTGTAAAATATTTGCTTTTTAAAAATTCCACAGGTCTTACAAGAAGTAATTCACAACTTGGCCCACCCCCATTGCCCCCTCCACCAAAAGTGTCGATGATCTCTGGCTCTAAACGGGACAAAAATTGTTTGGATAATTCAGGTACGTCACTTTTATCATTTTTATTTGTATTCTGTGTCTTATTTGTGTTTCTGTCATTTCTCAACAGTGTCTCACGAAGATGATAATCATTGGTACTCAATTTTCCCCATTGACAATGAGGAGCTGGTGTATGGGCGCTGGGAAGACAATATTATTTGGGATGACCAGGAGATGGATTACTTTCTTGCTCCACCTGTTCTTACACTTGACCCAAATGATGAGAACATTATTCTAGGTATATAGTACTATCTGTTAGCTTAACAGCAGCCTTCTGTAGTATATATATCATTGATATTATTTTTAAAAACGGCTGCATTGTGTCCTCTAGAAATTCCAGATGAAAAGGAGGAAATTACATCTCATTCGCCATCAAAAGAAAACAAAAAGGAAACTGCACTCAAGAAAAGTCGAATCCTGCTGGGGAAGACAGGCGTAATAAAAGATGAACCTCAGCAGGTAGGAGGGGATAAGATCAACCTTTATTTGTCCCACAGTGGGGAAATTTCAATGTCATTATTGCGTACATTACAGCAGACTTAAAGGAGGAATTATGAGCTTTCCATAGTAAAAGATTGACAAACTATGATTTTTATGTAGAACATGTCCCAACCTGAGATAAAAGACCCATGGAACCTCTCAAACGATGAATTCTACTATCCCAAACAACAAGGTCTACGAGGCACCTTTGGAGGAAACATTATTCAGGTGAGTAAATCATATTTCTTCTCTGGGCTGGAATTCCACTAACATTTTCATTTATATGAATGGCCTTTTTTGAACAGCACTCTATCCCTGCCTTGGAGTTGAGGCAGCCTTTCTTTCCGACACACATGGGACCCATGAAACTACGTCAATTCCATCGACCGGCTTTGAAAAAGTACTCATTTGGTGCTTTGGCACAGCCAGGACCACATCCAGTTCAACCTCTTCTTAAGCACATCAAGAAAAAAGCTAAGGTCTGTATCTGTATAACCATATCAACCACAGATTTTCTGAAGTTTGTGCAAGCTTTTAGACAGTATTTTTTTGTTTTCTCAGATGAGAGAACAAGAGCGGCAGGCATCTGGAGGTGGAGATATGTTTTTTATGCGAACTCCTCAAGATCTCACAGGCAAAGATGGAGATCTGATTTTAGCAGAGTACAGCGAAGAATATGCACCGACGATAATGCAAGTGGGCATGGCCACCAAAATCAAGAACTACTACAAACGTGTATGTTTCAGATTCACTACATGTGCAGTTTATATTTTGTGAACAGCTTTAAAAACACATTTGTATTTACTTTAGAAACCTGGTAAAGACCCAGGAGCACCTGACTGTAAATATGGAGAAACTGTGTATTGCCACACGTCACCCTTCCTTGGATCTCTACACCCCGGGCAGCTGTTGCAGGTCGGTTTATTCCGGTGCTGATCACAAAAACACATGGTCTTGGTGTGCATTAGTAGTTATTAGCATTAGTAAGTAGCACTCTGAAGTCTTTGTCAAGAGGCGTTATTTATGGCCCATATTGTTGCTAACGTTGAAAAACCCTAACCTTGTATTCTCGCGGTATTTGTGAGTTCACAAACACTCGAGAATACATCTTGTCCCGCTCCCGCCAACCCTTTTCGAGTAGAACATCTAGGTGTTATGGCCAATCACGCGCCAGTCTGGGGGTTTAGGGCGGGATATCCGGGTTTGACGAAAGCAAGAAGTGCCGGGCCGAAGCAAAACAAACATGGCTACGCAGGAGGACGGACGCGTAGCTGAGGCTATCAAGTCAGTTTTAGCAGAATCTCCAATTTCTTTTTTGAAAGATGAACAGTGAGAGGCGCTTTGTGCATTTCTGGACGGCAACCTTGGTAGGCGGGCACACAGCGTCACTTCGCCCAATCAGCTTGAAGTATTTTGCTGCTTATCCCTCCTTTCCCCGAAAGGATTCTCCTGCAGAAGTCCCAGATTGATATTGTGGAGAACGCATTAGAGTTCTACACAATCATCAATCTGGCTCTTGCCAGGTTAGAAAAATCCCTTTTATGGGCTAAACTGAATGTTGCATCAGAATACTGAGTCTCTCTTCTCTATATCAGATCTAAAATAGCCTGAGCTTTTAGTTTTTGTTGTCAATTTTACATAAACATTTTTTTTCAAAAGGAAGCAATCATAAAAACACACATACGCACACCGATCTAGGGTAGAAACAGCCAAAATAGAATATGAAAATCTGCACAACTCGGGTAAAATTTGACTTACAAATAAACTCGTCCTGTGGGGAGTTCCAAATAGGCAATGTTAGCAAAAGTCCTGACCTGTCAACGTGACGGCGAGTGTAGGGGTAACTTGTAACAACCGTCTTTTTGGTGACTTTAATACCCGCCAAGAGAACATTTTGTTAAACTTGTAAGGCTGAGCCCAGAGAAGTCATTAAAAAGAACAGGGAACCAGGCATACAGAAGGAAGGATAGAATTACCAGCCACCGTCTACTCAAAAAAACAACCCCTGCACACTCCCAGACCATGTGGAAGTAGCTCTCGAAGCGTTTTCATTACTTAAATTTCTTCTGTTTAGGCATTTGAGAACAACCTTTTCCGTGCACCTATTTACCTGCACAAAATGCCAGAGACCGATTTTCTGGTTTTGCGAACACGTCATGGATACTACATTCGAGAGCTCGTGGATATATTTGTGGTTGGCCAGGAGTGTCCACTGTCTGAGGTTCCGGGACCGAACTCCAAAAGAGCCAATACACACATCAGAGACTTCCTACAAGTGAGTGATTGCTGTTTGCAGTCATTTAACCCAAACCTCTTGTGTGCATCTTGTTTACTATTGTTTTCTGTAGGTATTTATTTACAGGTTGTTCTGGAAGAGCAAGGACCGACCCAGAAGAATCCGAATGGAAGACATTAAAAAAGCTTTTCCATCACATTCAGAAAGCAGCATTAGGAAACGTCTTAAACTTTGTGCTGACTTTAAACGCACAGGTACAATGAATCCCGTTATCTGTTCACATCGCCATGCGCCTTTGGCCTCCATGTCATAGTTATCAGGGATATGTTGAGGTTATGTCGAGAATGTATTTTTTGAGAGCTGTTTGAGATTCCCAGTGTGTGTGCCCAATGCCTAGAATGGACAGGCAGGAATTTGAGAAGGCAAAGAGGTTTTAACTTCTACAAGTATGGAGCTTATACTGAAGGTATACTACATTAAGGACAGTACAGTTCACAGGAATATTATGGTTATCTTTGTGAAACATAAGCTTTGTATATATATCTTAAAGCTGGAGTACCTAACTTTGAACCCACAAATAATAACTAATACAACCTTTGTAACCAGTTCTATCATCAGTATTCACATGCATGTATTTTTAGTATCCACCTCATTTTAGATAATCTTTTTTCACTAAAAAGATTGAGTACTAGCCCTCTCTCAGCCATCAGCTCTCAGTATATAAAAGATCAAAATTAATGTTTATAAAATAAAGGCAGGATGTTGGAGTCTTAATTTGTTCACAAACTTTAACAAGACTATATTTGGCAATCAAAATGTATATATAAAACAAACAAAAAGTTAGGTACTACAGAATTAAGTGTTGTCTCAAGTTTAAAGAATGCAATTTTACCATTTCACCTTTACCTTTCATCAGGAATGGACTCCAACTGGTGGGTTTTAAAGCCTGACTTCCGATTACCAACTGAAGAGGAGATCAGAGCCATGGTGTCTCCAGAGCAGTGCTGTGCGTACTACAGCATGCTGGTGGCAGAGCAGAGACTGAAGGTAATCACATTTGACTGACATGGTACAATATAAATCTACTTGACATAACTCAATTCTAATTATACTATTAGGATGCTGGTTATGGAGAGAAATCATTCTTTGCACCGGAGGAGGAGAATGAAGAGGACTTTCAAATGAAAATTGATGATGAGGTAAAACTGCGTTACATTTTGGTTTGTAGGCAAGTAATCGAAGCTTCATCCATACAAAAAATGCCCTTCTTTCAGGTTAGGACTGCCCCCTGGAATACCACAAGAGCCTTCATTTCAGCCATGAAGGGGAAATGTCTGCTGGAGGTCACTGGTGTTGCTGATCCGACTGGCTGTGGAGAGGGGTTTTCCTATGTTAAGGTGCCAAACAAGCCCACACAGCAGAAGGTTTGTTTGATATTCAGCATGCTTAGCTGTCTCTATTTGTTTACTTTCCAATTGATAACTTGATTGATGGTCTTGGGTTTGTAGGATGACAAAGAACCCCAGCCTGTCAAAAAGACTGTGACAGGAACTGATGCTGATTTGAGAAGACTTTCTTTAAAAAATGCCAAGCAACTTCTACGCAAATTTGGTGTACCAGAGGAAGAAGTAAGAATTCAAATTATTGTTTGAAAACTAATATTCATTATCTAGGTGTTTGACAGTGATTTAATTTGTGTGCATTAGATTAAGAAGCTGTCTCGATGGGAGGTGATCGATGTAGTGAGAACCATGTCCACAGAGCAGGCCCGCTCTGGTGAAGGACCCATGAGTAAGTTTGCCCGAGGTTCACGCTTCTCTGTGGCTGAGCATCAGGAGCGCTACAAGGAGGAGTGCCAGAGGATCTTTGATCTGCAGAACAAGTGAGAAACCTCTGTTTTTTATGTACTCCATATTTTATCAGTTATTAATCTTCTAATTTGTACCAGGGTGTTGGAGTCAACGGAGGTGCTGTCCACAGACACAGACAGCAGCTCTGCAGAGGACAGTGACTTTGAGGAGATGGGGAAGAATATTGAGAACATGCTGCAGAACAAAAAGACCAGCTCACAGCTTTCCAGAGAGCGTGAAGAGCAGGAGAGGAAGGAGCTCCAGAGAATGTTAATGGGAGAAGAAAGTGATCGAGACCACAAGGGCCGGAAGGACAGGCGGAAAGGCTTATGTATGTTGACATATGACATACTACTGTAGTTAATTTGTGTTTTTACTTCTGCTATCCTAATGTGGATTGAATTGTTGTTGTTTTTCAGCAAGCTCTTTGTCCACCAGCTCCCACAAAGATGACGACACTTGCTCTGTCACCAGTCTGAACTCAGCCTCAGGGCGCAGGCTCAAGATTTACCGCACATTCAGAGATGAGGACGGGAAAGAGTATGTTCGCTGTGAAACTGTGCGCAAAGCCTCTGTCATAGATGCATACCTGAGGATCAGAACCACAAAGGATGATGATTTCATGTAAGTGAATTCACGGTAACTTGCCTCTTGTGAAGTAAAAGTGCAATCGTCTTTTAAAGTGATAAAGTAAACTGAAGGGTTTTGTTAGTCAATATACTTATAGGCCTATTGTGTGGGTAACCTTCGGGGTCCCCCTACAATGCCTCTGAGTTTAGGCGTCACAAACAAACCAGGGCACTAAAAATACCAATATTTTATTTTTTTGTAGTCGAAAATTTGCCGTTTATGACGAGCAACACAGAGAGGAGATGCGGAAGGAGCGGCGGCGTATTCAGGAGCAGCTGCGCAGACTCAAGCGCAACCAAGAAAAGGACAAGTTCAAAGGGCCTCCAGAGAAGAAGGCCAAAAAGGCCAAGGACAGGCCAGACCTCAAGGTAAAAGTAAGCTTGCAGACTTTCTTTTATTCTTGGTCAAACCTGCTTTTGCATAATTGATTCTGATAAAAATTGCCAGATAGTTTTATTCGTGTTCCTCAATTTTGACTTCTATTCCCTAGCTTAAATGTGGTGCTTGTGGAGCTATTGGACACATGAGGACGAACAAGTTCTGCCCACTATACTATCAAACGAACGCTCCACCCTCTAACCCGGTGGCAATGACCGAGGAACAAGAGGAGGAACTGGAGAAGACTGTTATTCACAATGACAATGAGGAGCTGATCAAAGTGGAAGGCACCAAAATAGTTCTGGGAAAACAGCTCATTGAGAGGTATCATGGACGCCCAATAATAATGTATTTATGTTGTGCACATGACTGACAAATGTTCTTTCAGTGCGGACGAAGTGCGAAGAAAGTCTTTGGTGTTAAAGTTCCCCAAGCAACAGCTCCCAGCAAAGAAGAAGAGACGTGTTGGCAGCGCTGTGCATTGTGACTATCTCAATGTAATTGACGACCAGATATATAATGCAGGGATGAGAATTGGGGCGACAGTAGCTCAGTTGGTAGAGCATTGGCCTTAAGACACAGAAGGTCGTGGGTTCAATTCCCACCTCTGCACCTTCTCCACCGACTCCCACTGATGACTGCTGTCGTTGTGTCCTTGGGCAAGACACTTAACCCCACTTTGCCCAAAGCCCCCACTGAAAGATCAAGGCTATGCTCACACTCAGAGAGCAGCCGTCCTCCTGTGGACTCACCACCTGCAGAGGGTCAGTGAGGGGCTGGTGCTATGAGACTTGGGTGGCATCTCTGACTGCCACCCCCCTGACCCAGAAATGGATTAAAGGGAAGAAAATGGATGGATGGATGGATGAGAATTGTCCGTCTATTGGCGGATTTTTCACCAAAAGTGATTTGTAAAAAGGCGGGAGCGAGGGCGGCTATGTACGCAATGGGATCCTTTAGAGACTTTACGAAGCTGTCAAATAACTCGTTCTCTAAATCTCTGTTCTCTGAGTCAGATGCATGGATTTAGCTCAGATAGGAGGAAAGAGACGGAAGCACACATTCACCTGCTCATACTGTGCGAGATAAGAGCGCGTTGTGTGTGAGGGGAGGAGCAGACAAGTGTGTGCGCTGATACTGCCACAGTGAATAAGAATGAATCAGAAGTCACCATTTCTTACTGCATTTTATAAAAAAATGTCCATTCTGAAGGGGGCGCTTTGCGTGCATTGGCTGACATTTCAGACTTTTTTGAAATGTCCAATTCTCATCCCTGATGATGTACAAGATTGTTGTCAAATGTTTCGTTCAGACTTTAAAAATATGTCTTCACCTTTCTTTTTTAAACTCCAGAAACCACACAAGTCCATCCATCGCAGACGTACTGACCCCATGGTGACTTTGTCTTCAGTGCTGGAGAGCATCATCAATGACATGCGGGACCACCCAAACGTAACGCATAAACAGAAGACAAAAATCAATGATTGATTGTATAATTATATTTTTGGCTTTAATTATGTGAATTATTCCTACAGACATATCCTTTCCACACACCTGTGAATGCCAAGGTTGTAAAGGACTATTACAAGATTATTAATCGTCCAATGGATCTTCAAACACTGAGAGAAAATGTGCGGAAACGTCTCTACCCGTCTAGAGATGAGTTTCGAGAAGCTGTAGAGCTAATTGTGAAGAACAGCGCCACTTACAATGGTACAATATAATATCTGATTCTTTCCTCAAACAGTTCATCATGTTACTTATACTGTTGTTTTATTCAATCACAGGAGCAAAACATCCTATTACACAAGTAGCACAGTCGATGCTAGATTTGTGTGATGCAAAACTGAAAGAGGTCGGGATTATAATTTAAGTCTATACTATAAAAGAACATTGTATTAATATTTGAAACTATTTATTTGTTTATTTATGGTTGTGCAGAAAGAAGACCGATTAGTGAGGCTGGAAAAAGCCATAAACCCTTTGCTGGATGATGATGATCAAGTTGCCTTTTCTTTTATTTTGGACAACATTGTGACTCAGAAAATGATGGCAGTGCCTGATGTAAGTTTATTGTACTAATTTCTTTCATGAAGGTCAAAAATCATTAAAACGTCAGGGACATTTTACATTATGCTGATGACTTGGTCCATTTTCCTCTGTGTAGTCATGGCCGTTCCATCATCCTGTCAACAAGAAGTTTGTGCCAGACTATCACAAGGTCATCGCAATCCCCATGGACCTAGAGACTGTCCGGAAGGTGCCGGAGAAAGCAAAGCTATTCATAGGTTTCGCAACAAAAATAACTTGTCACTTACAGGACTTTGTGCCTCTTTCAGAACATTTCCAAGCACAAATATCAAAACAGAGAGTACTTCCTCTCAGACATCAGTCTTATCCATGCAAATAGCAACAAGTACAATGGTAAATTTGTATATTTAATCATTACTAATCCTAAAGATCTGTGTGGCCATGTATTAATAATGACTTTTACAGGTCCAGACAGCCCATACACCAAAACAGCTTTGGACATAGTCAACGTGTGCAAACAGACTTTGGCAGATGTGTGTTATCTTTAATATATATATATATATATATATATATAATTTGTATTTCCTTTTGTCTTCATTTATCTTTTGTTTACTGTACATTCTTTTATGGTGTATCAGTACGACGAGCATTTGACCCAGTTGGAGAAGGACATCTCCACTGCTAAAGAGGCTGCTTTGGATGCAGCTGATCTGGAGAGTTTTGACTCAATGACTCCGGGGCCCTACACACCTCAGGTAAAACTTTTCATTGACTCTTTGACCACAACCTGCAGATCACAACTCTTAGCATCATTTCCTCTTTAATCCTGATTGCACTAACCCTCTCTTCCTTATCTGTAATCATCTGTAGTTGCCTGACTGTAGTCTCCCCTTTATCCAACCTTGTGTCTTTCTCCTTTGCTCCAATTTGGTTCTGTTGGACTTTTTGTTTGGTGGTGCTCCTCTCCTCTATTCCACGTGGGCCAGCCTGTTGACCTGTTTGACAGTGCCGCCTCAGGAAGCATGCCAAGAGAGACCAGCAGTCTTTTCTCTGAAGGACCTCTAGTGGTTGCTCCAGAGAAGAGAGGTGGTCAGGTATGAGTGAGTTAAGCACATTGGCATGCAGCCACACTGCCTCATCCTTAACAAATTAGCTGTGTTTCCAGTCCTTTGTCCTTAACATAGATAATATGCAGACGCCAATAGAACACTTGACAACGGTACCACCTTTAAGAACTCAAAACACATCTGAAATATGATAAGATTGCTCAGATACCAAATAGATTTTAACTGTATTTTAAGAAAGGCAGCATGATGATCGTTAACTAGTTTTTGCAATGGTCTGTCCCAATTATTGGGCACTGATGCAACAGTTGTTGTTATGTGTATATTAAAAAAACAAAAACAACTTACATTATAATTGAGCGGTCCTTTCAGGAAAGTGGGCAGGAATGATTAATTCACTCTACACATGGGGGTGATAAAATAGAACTCAAGCCAGAGTTGTCCTGGGGGAGATTGACCCGACTATCCACCCACCACCAGCCATCTCCTGTGGCACCTGGTATTCCCAGTGGTCTCCCATTCAGATCCGATACTGCTTAGCTTCTGATTTCTGAGAAGAACAGGCTTTGAAAAGCAAGTGTGGTCACATTCTCTGACATGTCTTGAACAGTATCTCGATAAGAGCAGCTGCAAGGCTGTTGCTGCTCTGTGAAAGTACATGCTCAAATGTACATGTTGAACAGTACCGTAATATAGATTACAATACTTGTATTGTGACAGGGTCAACTTTACAGACCAGAAGGCCAAAAGACCATTTTATGACTTTCAGCAGCTCATAAAAAACTGTCTTTGTTGAAGAAAGAAGTATGTAGGAGCCTAAAGATTACTTATTTACTTACTTACTAGTATGACGTCAGGAAAATGGCCTGGTTTATCATTCATACAAACTCTGAAAACATACAATTATTCTATTCTTGGGGTTTTTCAGCAATTTGCTCTGCACTTTGAAGTAACTGCAAATAAGCAGCTTTATTTAACAGAATGATAACTTTACGGGTTCTTCTCAACCTGAATTTGTATGTAACTGCATATCCTAAACAAGCAGTGTAAATTTGCATGTCATTTATAGGGTCGTCACAGCAGAAGACTTGGAGAAGAAGAGTCAGACGTGGACATTGAAGGCTTTGAAGAGGATGACGACGGAAAGCCCAAAACCCCTGCTCCTGTAAGAATATGATGCTGAATGTCTGTTATGTTCATTCAGAAAAGACTCAACATGATAAAAGGAAATTGTTCCAATTCAAACCTTGCCCATGACTGAAATCTCTGCATGTGTGTCCAGGCAGAGGATGCAGAGGGAGACTTGGAGGATGATGATGATGAAGATGATATGTTGCTGATGCCGCCTCGCAGGCGACTGCACAATGAAGACGATGATGAAGACGATGAGGACAGCAGGTCGAACCGCCCAGCTCAGTCCAGTGTTCTGTACCAGGACCTGCTCATGTCCGATGGAGAGGATGATGCGAGCGAGGAAGAAGGAGACAATCCATTCTCTTGTGTGTTATTACTTTTTCATCTCTTTTACTATGGACGGTTTCGGTTACATTACAGTAAATAATTCAACTATTCAAAATGCAGTTTTTAGGTAATCTAGGATCTTGGATTATCAGCGATTTAGCAGGAAAATTCACTACACCCTTTCAATACCGCCATTACAGACACATAGAAAAAAATACATTGACAAATACATCCTAATGCAGGTGTACTGCATTTGAAAATGTCTCTCTAGAAAATGCAGTTACTATCGTACTGCACAAGACTTTTGTGCTTGTACAGTAGTATTTTAACGGATAAAAAACAGTCGAAAACAGCTAAATACACTCTTGTGTGCTCGCTTTAGTCCATCAATTGTTTACTTCTCTGAAAATTCAAACAAAATAACTAATTCAATGTCTAAAAACCAATTATTGTTTAGATTAGGAACATTTTTTTAAATCAATCAAAAAACGTACTGCTTCAATATGTCAAAAATTCATGACAACTATTTTTGGAGTCCTTATTCACAACAGCAGTCGTCCCGGAGGACTTCTAATGTTCTATTCACCAACTACAGCTTAGAAAATGGAAGAGGATTGGGTCACAGGAAATACAATGACAAAAGCAACACATAAAAGCTATTGGTCCATAGGGATGACCAATGTCGGTAAATAGTAATATATGTACATGGATCATCAGTCAAGCTGCACTCACAAGTCACAATATGTACAAACTTTGATGGGGCCTACTTTAATACAGTAGGTATAGAAAAAAATAAACGTATCAGTAGAAAAGTTCAGCTTACACTTGATGCTGTTTGAATTTTGTTTTTATTAAAGTACCGTATGTTTACATTTTCAGCCATTCAATTGTCTGAGAGCGGCAGTGACTCGGACAGAGAGCTGGATGTGAGACCGCAGCCCCCGCGCAGGACCCAGGAGACGGCCCGCATGGGAATGGAGCAGGACGAGAGTATGATGTCATATGAAGGGGCCGATGAACCTCATTTGGAAGACAGCAATGTCAGGTATAGTACAACACCTGGAGGTTTCGTTATGTTATGTGGACCTTTTTAGTTATTATTATTATTTTCTCTGAAGCTATGGGAGTTACGAGGACCCAGAGAGCCGCAGTCAGATGCCCCCGTCGAGCCTGGGCAACGGCGATGAGTACAGCGTCAGTGAGGAAGAGGAGGATGAGGAGGATGAAGCTCGCAGGAGGGGCCCTGCTGTGCTGTCCCAAGTGCAGCTCAGTGAGGATGAGGAGAGCGAGGAGTTCAGGTCCATTGGAGGAGACAGCGGCATGGACTCTGATAATTAGTGTACAAAAAACAGACTCTTTTACTTGAACTTATGTAAATTCAATGTTTTGTAAATATGTGTCTTTTTATTTTGTGCGCCATTTGTTTTCAGTTTTGTACAGTTTGATAATGAAAATGCATCTGAGAATTCTATGTGTAGATAAAGCAAATAAACACGTTTGCAATGGAAGTTTATTTTGTAAGTGACCACTAGAGGGAAATCCAACAAAACCATAGCTCTTAACAAGAATACCAATATTTTCAACCACAAAAGTTATACTAAACACGTTCTTACAAAATAATTACAGCGTGCCATGTTTAAAATCTAAAATAAAACCCTTCATAAAGCATTGCACCCGATCAGAAAACCACAAACTTCCTGATCACAAGCTGAAATGAAGAAGTTTTATTATAAACGTCTGCTGCTTCCTGTTGCAGACAATATCTTCCATAAAGTCAAAGCTATAGTCATCCTTGCTTTGGTACAATAGAGTTCTCATGACAATCAACATTATAGAAATCCTATGAAAACAATTGAATGGGTTCCTTTCCTTCATTGTCAGACTTCCGATTTGTTCACCCACTTCTTTGTAATCACTGGCCCAAAACAAATACATTTCAACATTTGTGAACTGTGGGTTTTGATCCTACAAAATTAAAACATAAATACAAGCTGCAATTTCAAAAAGATTCATATTTGTAGGCGTCTTCCACTTCGAGGCGTGACTGCACCGTTTATTTTAATTAAAGAAGTCACGTTTCTGTCGATGGAGGAAGTGTGGGCTGGGTGTGGAATCCTACATGGGCTCAGTGAGTAGGACCTTTGGCATCTTCTTATGGCTGTGGACTGGACTGGTTCATCTGAGGCTGGTTGGTGATGGGATAGATATCTGTTTACTGATGTCATCCCTAGAATATGAAAACACCGGTTTGCATTCAAAGTGATTTTCAGATTCATTTTATTTGCCATTTGCAGTAAAACCACATTGGAATAGATTTGCAAAAGCCCCCAGAGTGCACAAGACAAGTACATACAGGAGATAAAACAAAAAGCGTGATTTTTATTGATGATATATGAATGACAACTTAACTGTTATGCACTTACTCTCAAACTCATCAGGACTAGGGAGAAGAATCTGGTCCAGACTGTTGTCGTCAATGTCTAAACTCCTGCTGCTCCTCACGGCCTGCAGAGAGCGAAGACTGGTGCGCATGGGTGAGCTGGATCTGCCGGGTGAACCTAAAGACAACAGGTTAGTTTTACACTGAACAATATCTCTTTAATTTATCTACTTATTATCCTATATAGATACAATTTAAACCCATATTGGAATATCTGCAAAAATTCCCGATGTGCACCAGAAACAGCAAATTTAAAAGACAATGTGAAAAAGGACTTTAACATGTGGAGACTATCGACAGTGTGTAACAGGACCTTTGTTCAGACTATTTCTCTATTATTTATCTGGCTTTTAACACTGCCAGAGTTGTGTGGTCCTCTGTTTTATCTGTTTTATTTATTCATCTACTTAAATATTTTTTTGAATTGGATAGCTGGTATATTTACAGTATATATATATATATTTTTTTTGAAAATTCAATTTGTATTGCTTTTACTTCATACATCAAAATAGTTTTACCACTTCTATTTTTTTATATATATAAATCTGGCAAACCTGTATCTCTGTGCAGCACTTTGCAAACTTGTTTATATAAAATGTGCTGTATACTCCTGTAGATAAAGTGTATTGGCTATTGTTCTTGTATATTATTATTGAAATAATAGACCTTGATTCTGTGCCCGCCTGAGCATCTTGTACTGATGAAGTCTTGTTACTTTTGGACTTAGACAGGTCTTCTCCACACTTCTTGCTGAGTGACTGCATAAAGCCTTTGCACCGTTTTCTTTGGTGACATCACTTGTTGCATTGGGCTTTGAGCAGAGAGTCTGGGGGGACTCAAAACGTCTGTGTGTGAAGACATTCCCCTGCCGCAAACCTATAACAGACCACATGTTTACGGTGCAATGAGCAGTGCACCAAAAACAAATCCAAACAGTAATGTTACACACTTGCTTCTTGTATACGGGCAATGTCATAAACATCTGACATGTTCTGAAACGTATAGTTTGAGTCACTGTGGTCTGAAATAATCAAAACAAACATAGTCAGGAAATCAATCAGGGAATGGTTGCTGATAACCACAAATATTACCAAAACTGCCCGAAGAAAAGGTGGAACTAAAGGAGGCATGGTCCATTGGTGCTTCATGAAAAAAGGTCTGCTGTAGACGTGGATGCTGGAATTCACAACTCAACTCTGAAAGAATTGGATGATAAACATGCAGGTAAAACAAGGGTGAACAAGTAAACTAAAGCCACTTACTTAAATTCAGCCTGTTTATCAGCTTTGAGCAGGCCGTCTCCATCTCTGGACTGCGATTATCCAAAACGTGTCTGCACCATCTGAGAGCAGACTCGGTTTTCTTCACAAATGCACATTGTTTTGGTGAAACATACAACCTGTCAAGAGCACAGACATTCACACAAAGATCACACCAAGACACGTTTTTTGTCACCTACCAACTCTCTTCATCCTCCTCATCTCCCTCTACATCAATCAGATCCACTGAATCCAGAGCCGAAAGTTCATTCTGCCCAATTTGCCAAATGTCTTTAGAAAAATCATAGTTGTACATCAGTTCCATCTTTGCACCAGTGGGAACAGGTGAACTGGACCCAGACTTGAGACTTTCCAGTCTCATGCGAGCGTCTGTGGCATACGAGCCGCTGTAACTGTGCATCCAGAAGTTGCAGAAGTTTCCATCTATTGTTTGAGGCAATGTTTCAAAATCACTGTTTCCATCATTTGTGTCATATTCCTTGTTGCAAAAGTACTGGTTGCAGCCACCATTCCGTTGACTTTGAAGATCCATTTTCCAAGTCTATTCTAAAAAAGACAACAAATCCTTGGGCATTCCAAAAAAAGTTAAGAATAGGGCTACAGTATGTCTCACTGTGTTGCACCTTGAATACTACTATATATTTACCCGGATCCTAGAGTTGCATTAGCTGTGGCAACAGATTGGATGGATTTAAAGAAGCACCACAAGCTTATGTGATTAAACCGTTTGTAGGGTGCGGTGAAGAGGCGGAAACTCTCCTTTATCCCTGGGAACAGGACTCTCCTGAAGAAGACATTCTGATATCTTAGCAAAATTATCCTAGTTAAAATAAATGTATATCCATATGATACAGAGCTCATTGTTGAATGGATTCTGACAGTTGATCAACTGAATTGTAATTTCTGTCTGATAAGGATGGTCATATCCATCTACTTTAGTTTTACTGTTTTACAACAACCTGCCAAGACTACAGCAATCCTTCAACAACCTGGCAGAATCTCTCCTTTTGGCTAATGCCTATTGTACACTGTCCCTGTAAAAACACGATTTTGTTGTGTGCCTTGTGAAAGTAAAATCTTGTGAATAAACCTCACATATGAACCAGACTCTGAGGAGCACAGGGACTGGCCTCCTGCTGGTGCCCAGAGTCAGAACTAAACTTTGGGACTCTGCATTTCAGATCCAGGCAGCTAGAATATCGAACAGTCTTCCTGGAAATGTGAGACAGGCTTCTTCTCTGACCATGTTGAAATGTAGGTTAAAAACAGTTCTGTTTAGCTGTGCACACAACTGAGGGATTCAAACTTTACTTTTTTTTTTTTTTATATTCCGTGATTATTTATGACTTGTTGTTTCCATCTTGTTTTGTGCAGCACTTTGAGTTCCCTTGTGTATAAACTGTGCAATTCAAATAATAATGCATTGGTTTTACATAGCGTTTTTTTAGACACTGGAATACACTTTACTTGTCATTATTTATTTACTCCATACACAGTGGTGATAAACTATTGTAACCACAACTGCCCTGGGGGCACACTGACAGAAGCAAGGAAACCAGTATGTGCCATTGGCCCCTCTAAATGGTGGGTGAAGTGTCTTCCCTACAACAATAGTTTGGAAATTATACATTCGTGACCACCCCACTTTGTGCTTTGTGCTTTGTGCTCCCAGAGGTCTCTCCCTGCATTGCTAAGCTTCAGAGGTCTGACAAGATCTGGCTTTCACATGTATGGCCAACAACATACATGCCTTGCCTTTTTATTAAAAGATAAGACTTTAACTAACAAGTCTTCATCTTTTATAGTTATTTATTTTCTTTTATTGTATTATTTTGTTTCTTTGCTTTGTTGTAACTATAGTTTATGACTATTTATGACATATATTTTTTCCTTTGGCATAAGGGGAGTATAGTGGAAAAAAGGATGTCTTACTATGCTTTATATAGTACGTAGCATGAAAAAAGTGTGAAGTAAGTATGATACAAACAAAAAAACATAGACGCACGCGATGTGTGATGAAAGGGGGCGGGCTCCTCCTCCGGTGCACCTGCCTCTTCCGCCTCTGCCCCAGCCCCAGGTCGCCTCCGAAAACACCAACATCCTGATGGCCGGCTCCTGTTTCACGCCACATCACCGCTAACAACTACAGCTTTTCTGGATTATACTCACGGGCGTCTACAAACCACTTCCAATGTGGGAAAATTGGACAAAACCGCAAAGAACAGCACAATAGAAGGCCACCTGTGCGTGACGTGTGGCAATGCAGGACGCCACCGGGAAAGACAGCTTCGGGATCCCCGCTGTGCAGGTACGAGACTGAGACTGAGAGAGAGAGCAGTGGGATTCTATGTGTTTGTGCTGTTTCGGGAGAATGTACCTATAGATCCATGATGTACCCGGTGAATATTGGATCCATGATAGTCATCGCCGAAGTGGTTTGACCTGTTTGTCCACATTGCTCCGTGGTCTTTCACTGGAGCTGTATACAGAGGAGATAATGTGATTCAGCAGATGTTTTTAGCCACATTTTTCTCAAAGCACCAGACACATAAGTAGCCGGTATGCCTATGAATGTACGTATACTGTTTGGACCTGTTCTGTTATTGTGTTATGTTATGTTAATAAAGTTTAACTCATTAGTTTTGATTACACGTAAAATAATCTTGGCTAAAAGTTGTGACCCAAAACAACAGATATGCTTGCTACCTGGGTCTAACATGCTTACAACACAACATCACACAATCAGCTTATTACTACAATAGACAAACAGTCACTAACTTCCTCATATAAAATGGCATAGCTCTATTAGAGTAGGGAAAGCAACAGGAAGGTGTACTAATTTTGATCATTTATTTTGTAGAATTTCGAACACAAGAATGGTCATGCTGTTACTCAGAATGGTGGGGCACATACGCCAGGACTCCAGACGCCGGTGGACTCCAGGCCCCCCAGTCCTGCGCCCAGTCTCGCCCCGACCATCCCCAGGGAACAGTGGGGTGGGAAATATGAGTTCCTGCTCTCATGTATTGGATACTGTGTGGGACTCGCAAATGTGTGGAGATTCCCATATCTCTGTTATCGCAACGGAGGAGGCAAGTATCTGGTCCCTGCGCTGCTGTGCCCTTGGGTGTGCTCAGATCTGGGTTTGATTCACACTTATATGAGACATAGCAGACTACAAGAAGGACTGTGACGTTCTAGATTACACTGTGCACATCTGATTGCCCGAGTGATGTTAGATCTATAAATGAAACACAATGAAGCAAAGGAAGTCCATGTTAATGTTGAAAGAACATTGTCACAAACTGTTTTCTTTGATATTCTTCCCTCTGATGTTCCCAGGAGTATTCCTCATCCCGTACTTTATTATGCTGTTTGTGTGTGGCGTGCCATTGTTCCTCATGGAGCTGAGTTTAGGCCAATATGGAGCAGCCGGCCCCATCACGGTGTGGAAATGCTGCCCTCTACTAAAAGGTATTACGTTTATTTAATTTTTTTTTACCGGTATGTTGTAATGCATCGTTTTTCTATCGCATTTTTGGACACTCAAATAACCTTCACACGAATAAGTTTACGAATAAGTAAACTTGCTGCCAAACTTGCATGCACAAGCCAGATCCCGTTAGACCTTGAAGCTGTGCTGGGCAGGTCCTGGTTAGTAGTAGGTAGGAAGGTAGGTTCTTTTTATTCATCTCATGAAAATGCATAGCTATACAAAATTCAAAACATTTAAACAAATCATTCAAACAAATCATTTAAAGTAGTGCTGTGATGGGAGACCTCATTGGAGACATCTGGTACCACAGTGAGGCGGCTGCGGCTATAACGTGCCAAACTGTCGTTGTCTGTTTAGGCAAGTCACTACACCCACATTGCCTAGAATGAGTCTGGTGTGTGTTTGAATGGCTGGTAGGAGGGGCCGTTTGCCTTGCTTGTTTTGAAATAATAAAACATCAACAAATAAATAAATAGGACAAGCAGCTCATGGATGACAATGGAATTATACCCAACTATTTAGCAGAGCCCTGTCATAAGAGCCTAAGAATAGTGCATTGACATCAATGCGCTGCGTCATCAGTCATCCCTGAATAACTGCAGTCAAGGAAAGCTACAGATGGAGTCAGTGACATGCCAAGTCATGTGCTTTCTTACATTTAATCAAATTATTTATGGTAGCTCACAGTGATGGTAATACCAGTATACTAATTTAACTATGTATTAAGGAAATCTTTATTTGTTCCACAATGGACTACTTTTATTCAGATTTTGCTTGAAAAGTCTAATGCTTTTTAATGTGAAGGGTCCACCTTTTTGTAAATCATGGTTTGTGCTGTGTGTCCTCAGGGATTGGCATTGGGATGCTGTGTGTGTCCACTCTTGTGTGTCTCTATTATAACGTTATCATTGCTTGGACGTTCTATTACCTGGGGAGCTCTTTTCAGAGCCCACTGCCCTGGTCCTGTGACGCTGTGGCCAACGCAGCTCTCTGTGGTAATGACACAGAAGGAAATAACTACACCTCCAAGAGACTCAGCCCCACCGAAATCTTCTGGAAGTAAGTTCTTTGTAGGCGTCGTTGTATGATTAGATCCGTGTTTAAAGGTCACACCCTTTTGCCCAATACAAATAAAAGTCCTTTCACTGAAATGCACATTAAACAGCCATCTTTACTCCTGTTTTAATTTCTATATGGAAATAGACACCGGCTGTAAATACTCTTCTTTGTTTTAGGGCATGTGATCTTGATCTGGTTCACTGGACTCTGGTTCAATTAGGCAACAACAACAAAAATGCGTAGATGGATACTTGTAGAAACTCAGCCTGCTTTGAGGATGTAAAATCACCAAGCAAGTGAACAATAGTCACTTCTCAAGTATTTTTTCGCAATCTAGATCACTTTATCTAGACCAGACTTGGTCTAGATTAAATTAACCAGAAGTGTGAGTCTTCCCTCAAAAAGAAAAAAAAAATACAACATGATCTTAAATACCGTTACAGCTTTGTTTCTTTACCAATAATACACTTTGAATTTGTTTTTGGCTCTATCCACGCGATTATCATGGAAGATATCTGCCCCTTTAGCCCCCCAGGAACACATGCCTGACTTACTGTTGTTTTGTGTTTGTGTTTGTGTTGCAGTGAGCACGTCCTGGGTGTGGTCCACAGTGAGGGCCTCCATGACCCAGGCCCTGTGCGCTGGCAGCTAGCTCTCTGTTTGCTCGCTGCTTGGGTCATAATCTTCTTGTGCATGCTCAAGGGCATCCGCAGCTCGGGGAAGGTAAAATCAAATGAGAGAAAGTAATTAAAAAAAAAAAAGTGTTATAAAGTCATAAATCATGTTCTTTACCATAGGTGGTCTATGTAACAGCCACATTCCCGTACTTTGTGCTCATTGTCCTGATCATCAGAGGGGCAACACTGGAAGGATCGCTGCAGGGCGTTGCCTTCTACCTCACCCCCGACTGGGACAGACTTGGAAATGCACAGGTAATAAGCGTTTAAAATGAACAATCTCTTGCTTCAAATAAACTGAACCAAAACAACAGTGCCTGTGAAAATTTATTCTTAGGTTGTTTAGGAAGACACAACAGTGCAATGAAGCCGAGGTTTAAATCAGAAACGGATCCAAACAGACTCAGTAGTTTAATCAGCCGATGAAACAACTTGACTAATCATGACAAGAAGACTGATACAAATACCATAAATGAATTGAATGGATTACCGAATTATACAGACCCTAAAACGGACGACAGACGTTTTTGTGAATATGAGGGTTGGAGTGGGGTCTCGGGGTGGTGAGTGTCTGTGCCTGTCCTGTCTTGTGTGTAATATAGTCTTGTTTAATGTTTTGTGATTATGGATGTAAGAAATTGTTAAATGGTCTCTTTGCGAGTGGAGCATGTGGAGGGAATAGTAAGACATGTCAAACAAACAAACACAATATTTAAACAAATAGAGAATTCCGTCACAATATTTCAGCCTGTTCCATGAACTGTGTTATTCAGTTCCAGAAGGTAAAATCCCTATTCATTTTTCAAATAGGGATTCTATAAGAAAATAAATATGGAAGTTTTTTAAAGCATATTCAGGCCTTTTATTTTAAATCTGTTTCTATGGAGTATATGTTTTAATTGTTATGTTTGGTCTAAAAGCAACACTCTGTGGATTGTAATTATCACAGTCTGCCTCGTGGTTTCAAACTCAAAACTAGGAAAATGAATTGGCAATGTATTTGAAGAACTAGGGCAGTTCCCTACAATCCTCCTTTCACTCATGTCCAGGATCAATACCTAGACTAGTTGCACTGTCTTGTCTTCCCAGGTCAACTATGTTTGAGGTGTGTTATTTATGAAATTAATGATAATCTATTAAACATAATTGTATAACCATGTTTTCTGTAACAGGTGTGGAATGATGCTGCCTCCCAAATATTTTATTCTCTGGGGATTGGTGTTGGTGGGCTCCTGTCCATGGCTTCATATAACAAGTTTGACAACAATGTGATCAGGTGAGATAGTGTTGGGGTAAGCACTACAGCTTTTACATTCAGTTTTTTAACCAGTGCTTCTCTCAGGGATACTATAGTTATCACCATCGGGAACTGTGGCACAAGCTTCTTTTCTGGATTTGCCATTTTCTCCATCCTGGGACATATGGCATGGAGGAAGGGAGTGCCGGTCGGGGAGGTAGCTGACACAGGTACTTTGCATTTTCTTCAAAAACCTATTCAAATCCAGAAGTACTGTATATGCAGCTGAACCATAAGTTAAAATATTATTTAATGTTTTAAGGCATTTTTGAATCTCGGAAGGGCACCCTGTATGTAACAATGTTTCTGCACAAATGTATTCTGTAGTTATAAAACTTCTGACTTATGTTTTGATTAAATCAACCATGAGCAAAGATAAGAAAGTCTTGATATTTTAGCTTGTTATTACATTTTGAGTTCAATGTTTAGAAAAAGAAACATAGTAAAAGTGTCTTGTTAATTTCTGTAACCATTTGCGTTACACTCACCATTTTGGGCATAAAATCCCATAGTTATATTTTTGTTGTTGTTGTTGTGATGTCTTTGTAAGCCCAAATACGACCCCTAATAATTTAGCTAGCGAGTGGTAACTGACCAACTCCAATCCTGATTGGTTGTTTACTTACTAGTTGTATCTATCTGAGAATTTGGCTCTGGATTCTTACCCATAGTCTGTTCAAGCTAGCTCTAATCTTGGAGGATAAGGCTATGGGAAACGTCAGCACTCTGTTCGTCAGCTCCTTCTATGGTCCAAACTCCAAATTGTACACATACATTTTCTGCCTTGAATTTTAATTATAGGGCATGTTGATTAAAGGGAAAGAAACAAATGACTGTGGTCTGGTTAAACAAAAATACACAAATCCATGATGTTTTAAAACATTGCACAGCAAAGATTATACCACGTATGGGTATTTGTTCATTTCTATAGGTCCAGGTTTGGCATTTGTGGCGTACCCAGAAGCCCTTGCTCTGCTGCCAGGCTCTGTGTTCTGGTCCATCTTATTCTTCCTGATGCTGTTCATGCTGGGAGTTGATACTCTGGTGAGCCCCTCGCAGAGACAATGGTGCATGAGGCCCGCTCCCTGTAATAATGCCATGCTCTGTTACCCTCAGTTCGGCAACATGGAGGGCATCACCACGGCTGTGATGGACGAGTTTCCACAACTAAGACACAACACGCTGCACAAGACTATATTCTTGGGAGCTCTATGTTTTTCCTTTTATCTTATGGGCCTTCTTTTGGTCACAAATGTAAGTGACCTGCAGTGATGACCACTTACATGTTCACTATTGCTCTGAGTGCTCACATTTCAGTCACATGTGTTTGTAGGGAGGCATTTACTGGTTCACCCTCATCGATTCATTCAGCACCAGCTTTGGCCTGATCATAATCGCCCTCTTCATGTGTCTTGGCATCTCCTTTTTCTATGGTAACACCAGGTCATCTGCTGCATTAGCTTTATTTGTCTTTTCCATTCACTCACTAGTTTTTGTAAAACTTCACTCTTATGGCATTATCATCTGAAATTATTTTTTAAAATGTTTATATTTCTTACTTACAAGATGAATCACCACCAAATCGACAGCAAATCGCAAGGACTTGAAAAATAACTAATATTCTGTGGGGAAAGACAAGATGCTTGCATTAGGGATACATCTATATGCTATTTTGAGTATATTTTCACTACAGAGATGATTTTCTTATTCAACAACTATCCTCTTTGATATTTATCTTATGCTTGTACAAACCTGTTTAAACATGTCTAACATTTAATTCAAGTAGTAATGGATTCACATGTGTGAACATGTGTTTTTCTAGCCTGGCTTTAGCCATCCGTAAACTTCGGTCAATTATCCTTTCCCTGCATGTACCTTAGTACGTAATGACATTTGTATGATGGTGTGGAACGACCAGGCTAGTGTTTTTCTAATGTAAAACGTTTCCACTCTAAACAAGACCTAACTTTGTAAATATAAATTCTATAAATCGGACCGTATACCATGACATCTTAAAGGCTAAAGTTTGGCCAAAATATTTCTATTCAATATTTTTCCAATGTTGAACCCTAATTCTTTTGTCTCTTTGTGTCTCATAGGAGTAAATCAGTTTTGCCAAGACATCATAGATATGATTCGCCACTGCCCTCCATGGTGCACCAAGGTTTTGCTTTACTTCAAAGCTTGCTGGGTTTTCTTCACTCCGTTTCTTTTATTGGTAAGAAGTGTGTGCAAGAATGTAAGTTCTGTGCTCACAGTTCACATACGCACTCAAGCATATATTCTTTATTCAAACTATGCATTTCTTGTAAAATATTCAATGTCACATAAAATATCTACCAACCTCGATCTAGTCTAAAATACCAAATACTGTAATTTGAAGCCTGACTGTACATATGATATTACTTGGATAGCTTGAGAACATGAGGAATAGGTTTTCTGCATTTCCTTTGTACAAATGAACATATTTAGAAAATATCAATGTAAAATCCGGGCATTTAATTCATTGTTTAAACCCCAGGCAAAATGTAATGGTATATTTATACTTAAATGTTCTCTGTATTGTATCTTGTTTCCACTCTCACTGTAAGCGTAATTTGATCTAGTACATTTTATACGGTGGCGCTGATACAGGAAAAACCGTAAAATCAGTTCTATAAAAAGTAACTGCAGTTCAACTGAAACCCGGCATGAATAATTAAGATCTTGATTTACTTTCCAAACTGCGTCTGGAGTTAATTGTTGCTTGTGTTTTTAGTTCATTCTGACGTACATCTTTATTGAAATGTACAACACGTCTCTTCACTATGGCTCCTATGTGTATCCGCTGTGGGGGAAAGCGCTCGGCGTGTGCATGGCAGCGACCTGCTGTCTGCAGATCCCCATTTGGGGCATTGTCGCCATCTGCAAAGAAACTGGGACGCTGAAAGATGTCAGTATCAACTTTTTCATTAGCTTCTCATCCGGTTTTGTTTCACACTGGAGCTTATGCGATGACTTTTTTACATGCAAAGATGAATCTAGTTTGCTGAGTATGGAGCCTTTATTGACAGTGCTATATTTTCTCTTTACAGCGTTTTCAAAAATCTATTCGACCTCTAAACTCATGGAGAGTGAACAATTTGAACAGCTCAGAGCGCATGGAGGAGCGGGTGGAGCCGGAGAGAGTGGAGGCTCCATTTACAGTGACGCTCACGGACATGGACTTTACTGCAATGACGTGGGAGATGGGGAGCAACGCGTGACGTTTCCGTCAACAAGAAAGGACTCTTTTTGGAGAACTGCACTTGCTCATTTCTGCATCTGTACAGACTCTTCCTGCAGAGCACCTGAATTTATTTCTTTAAAAGAAGCGTTTGTTTACAATCTTGGATATCTGCCTTTTTATGTTTTCTGAAGAGATGGACTATGAAACTTGTTACATTGCCAGTGTCAGTAATAATTTATTATTGAAAAAAGAATGCACATTCTCACACACCACTTGTGTTTTTAGAAAAATCTGTATTTAAGATTATGATGAAACTGTGTAGATTGTAATTTAAAAATAATAATATATTACTGTTGCCAAATAAGATGCTTGTCATTCACATGTTCTAATTATGAGGTTGCTTTGAACAATTATGTGTCTTAATTTAAACTTTTATTTGATGTTTTGGTCAATGTTTTGGTATTATGGTTTAAAGAGACAGTTTACTCAGAGGTTTGCGTAAGTTTGGTACAATAGAAAAGTTTCTTTCAGATTATATTAAACTACTCTCAATGGCTTAGGACTTTCTAATGGTTCCTATCAACGTTCTGTTTTCTTCGCACTAATTGATGCCTTACTTGCTTGATGTGTATCTATTAAAAGACGCGTTGTATTTTACCAATTTATATTTTTTCCCCTTTTAGTTTTAAGCATTTTGTAATTAAGTTTTTTATTCATCCATCCATCCATTTTTATCGCTTTAATCCATTCCTTGGTGGGGGGTGTAATTCCACCTGCCCCTCACTGATCCACCTGCAGGTGGTGAGTGCACAATGCTCCGTCAGCAGGGGTTTCAGACAAAGTGGGGATAAGTGTCTTGCCCAAGGACACAACGACAGCAGACATCAGTGGGGGTTGATGGGAATATGGCTCGTGCTGGGATAATATCCACGACCACGACATTACTTCATTTACTTGGTTTTACCCATAGACTGTATATTATTATAATTTGTTTTTACCACAAAGGAGCGTTTCATTATACTGGACACATTCAAATTTTTCGTAAAGGTATTTATCCGGAACATCCGTGACATTTTGTCACCGTTTATTTATTGAAATCTGTGATTAAGAGTCACAAAATGTTAGGGCGAGGAACAGTAATATGTTGTTACTGTTGGGGAAATAAGGTAAAGGTTACGGTTGCTACGGGTTATATTAATATATCCAGTCTATGGCTACGGGACGTAATATCAACATTTGAGAGTCGCTTCTCATTCCCTTTAGAAAAAGTTTAGCGCAAATCTAAACGGCTTTTTCATGATACAATTTTATCAGAGGAAAACACAGGCGGACTAAGCGTAAACAAACAGCCATACTTGAAGACAACACAAGACAAATATGCAAATGAGCGGATATTACGTCTACATTTCCCGCGTTTTCTTGTAGCGGCGTTGGTTTTGCTCGTTTTATGTACTGCCTTAACCAATGGTCACATGATACAACGTTAAACGTATTAGCTATATAAACCCATTGCGAGTTATAAATACCAATATAAAAGTTTAAAAACGCGTAAATTCACTGAAAAACAAATAAGGCATTTTTAAAAATCAATAATTGTACGAAATAGCCCTCGAAACAGTTGCAGCTGGAAACCCGTGAGAAAAACGAGCGCTCCTCGCCCCCAGATAGAGGAAGTCCACTGTATTGTGCACCGCGGGACTCGTGAGTAGTGGGTGTTGTGGCTTTACGCTTTGTTATCAACTTGTTTTTGGAGTGTTCATTGTAGTATTGTAAGCGTTTACGATTTAAGACCCTGTTTTCCACAATGCCACCCAAAAAACGCAATTCCGGGACACAGAAAGAACCTGTCAAGCCCACTGTTGAAGCTGCAGCTGAGTCAGACAAGAAGGACGGCTCAGTTTTATCTTTGAAAAAGTAAGTCACATTTTTAGAATATGGCCATTTTTGAGTTCTATATAAGATAAAGCCATAATAGACCTAGATACACTTGCTAACTTGGTATTGATGGTATTAATATCCATCTATTGGTAGTCTCCCATTAAAGTGATGCAATTGTCTGTTACCTTAAAGCACTTGTCATGAGGCGATATACCTGCGTAGTACCATGGACCGTCGGAAGAATATAGGCTCGCCACAATACTCTCAATAACTAATGGTTGGATATATTAGCCTCAATAACATTGATACATTGTCTTTGCAACAGTGAGAAGACTTATACACAATCCAAATAAGTCACTTTATGGCTAGATATTGCTTTATTCTGCTGTTAATTTATTGTAAAATTATTACTTTTAGAGGATAAAGATCCTCAAAGAAACGGTTCACAGGGAGGTTCCTGCTACTTTATTACCAGACCCATAAAGTCGTTTCAGTATTATTGTTCATCAGAAGACATCTTTGTGTCAATATTTATCATCCATCCAAAAATGTTATTATGACAAGCCTTTTATACACAATATCAAAGTGTAACAACTTATTTATACTTAATAATAGGGAAACAGTAGCTCAGGTGGTAGAGCATTGGCCTTTGAGCCAGGGGGTCGTGGGTTCGAGCCCGTCTTTCACCATCGACTCCCACTGTCTGCTGTTGTTGTGTCCTTGGCAAGACACTTAACCTCTGGGAACACCAGCCACAGTGGGCACAGTGGCTGTAAAGTGCCAAACTGCCATTGTGTCCTTAGGCAAGACACTTCACCTCCATTGCCTGGAATGAGTGCCTGAGTTGTGGCTACAGTTGTATATCACCACCGTGTATGGAGTGAAAGAATAACGACATGTAAAGCATCTGAGTGTTCGAAAAGCGCTATATAAAACCGATGCATTACTATTATTATTATTAATAACTTTGTTGTTGTTGTCTCCTTCTCTGTCTTCAGACACCGGGATAAAGACACAGATTTTGCCATCTTCTGCAAGAACCTGCTTGTGTCAGACCTGGTGTGTGAGCAGACCTGGAAACTCTGGAAAACAGTGCAAGAAACCGTGAATGAAGTGGTGGTATGTATAGTTCTTTCTAAGTATACTCCTCTTGATGAAATGTGCTGATCTGACTGATTTCCTCCAGGATGGCCGCATGCAGCTGTGGGGGGCTTGTCTTTTTGTGACTGTGACAGACCTAGATGCAGCATCTTTCACCTTAACTCAGCTTTTGAAGACTATCAAGATAAAGTAAGCTCATGCCACTTGTATTTTCTTTGGTGAGAGGCAAAGATCATTTTTCCAGAATTTAAAATCTTATGGCGCCAAGGAGATTAGCTTCCTGGGTTACTTACAGGCAGATACGTTCATGGGCTCTATTCCCTATTTGAGTTTAGACTAGACTAATACTAACAGGAAAACACACTTTAGGTTTAGATATTCGATACAATCTCCTCTCACCACTGTTTTTCCTTCTGGTTTTGAATTTACTTCTGTATGACACAGACAATCTTTTTCACTGCAGCCTCAAGGGGTTTCTGGGCCTGGTGAGAAAACTTGATGTGAATCTGGATACTATCAGTACAAAAGTGAATGCTGCGGTAATGAGGCTGGAGAAGAAGTATGAGGTGACACTGGCTCTTTACCAACGGTTTGAAAAGTAAGGAGATTCAGGATTAAAGTGTATGTTGTCTTGTCTGAAGTGTCTCTTTTTAAAAGGTAAACTGTCTTGTTTCAGAATATGTAAGAATATATTTGTTATGGGCACAAGTGAAGGGTAAGTGGAGGCTCTGATTCTGGTATTTTGTATCGATGGGTATTCCCCTGTTCATTGAATGATGAATGTGTTTCTTTATAGAAACCAGGATCTTGCACGAAGCTGCTGGACTCTGTTTCTTTTAGCCAAAGGTACTTTTGCCAAACAACTTTCAGGCCCTTTCTATGCGTACCCAGTATCTGATAAAACATCCACATCCACATGCAACTGCAGAATCCATCACTTGGAATAAAAAGTGATACGCTTTGGTGTATTGACCAGGGCTTTGAACACACTTCTAACTACTGCTTCTGCAAACTTAACACTGTGCTCAGTGGCACAAACATGATGCTTTGTGTGGATGGTAATTTATTTAAAAAAGCAAAGAATGTGTGGACGTGAATTCTTGTAAAAACTGAGAGGTTAGGATGTTTTTTGTGTACATGTCCTCATTCACACTCTCAAAAACATGCAGTAAACTTTTGGTTTAAGATAATGTAACCTTTGCATTTGTCCTTTTGATAGGAAAAGCTCTGCAGATGGAGGACGACCTGGTCATATCTTTTCAGTTGCTTCTTTGTGCGATGGAATATTTTATTAAGCGGTCCCCTGCAGACCTTGTGCAACCTCTTTACAGTAAGTAAATTTTCTTTGTGGCTGCATAGGATCTATGGATTAATTAGGTTTAATGCAAAGATGATTTCCAACTATCATATATGATTCTTTCAGAGTCTGTCATCATAGTCCAGAGTCCTCCTACACGAACCTCACGCCGGAGCCAAAGTAAAGCCAAGTCACGCCTTCCTGAGTCAGAGCTGAACGTGCAGTTGTTGGAAAACTTAAGCAAAGACAATGACTGCAGCGCTGAAGAGGTTTGGACTGGCCTTTTTTATATCAGGCTGGCTTCACCACAATATAATAATCTGATTCTATTTTTACAGGTGAAGAACGTATACCAGACGAGCTTCACAGCTTTCTTAGAGTCATTGGATCTGTTAAAAGCTGTAGATTTACCTCAGGTAGGTGCCTCATCAAAGCATTCCCCCAACCTCCCTCTGGTAGAAGTGACTGAATTGTCCATCCATCCATCCATTTTCTTCCCCTTAATCCATTTCTGGGTCGGGGGGGTGGCAGTCAGAGCTGCACCCAGTACACATAGCACCAGCCCCTCACTGATCCTCCTGCAGGTGGTGAGTCCACTGGAGCCTAGATCTTTCAGTGGGGGCTTCAGGCAAAGTGGGTTTATGTGTCTTGCCCAAGGACACAACGACAGCAGTCATCAGTGGGAGTCGTGAAGTAGGTCTTACGGTGGGCTCGAACCCAAGACCTTCAGGCTCAAAGGCCAATGCTCTACCAACTGAGTTACTGTCGGGACTGAATTGTATTCTGATGTTTTTACTTCACATGTGTTTGGTGTTTCTTGACTGGTAGTGATTAAAATATTCTGTCTTAGAAAAGTACTACACAGAAAACCAAATAAAAATATCTAATTTTAACTTCTTTCCCAATTCTAATATGGTTCTTCAGGTTAACAGTCTGAACCAGCTGTATGAAGAGCACTACCTCAAGGAGAGGGACTTTGACGCCCGACTTTTTTTGGACGGAGATGAGACCGTTCTTGCTCCTAAAATGGAAATGTAATTTCTTTCTCTTGATCAGTAGAGTAGTGATAGATTGTATTTTGACAATATATAATATTACAGAGCCGAAGTGGAAAAAACGCCAAAGAAGACTATGCAGGAAGATGGCGTCCGCATCCCGCCACAAACACCAATCAGGTCTGGAAAACCTTCATGTTACTTACTTACTTACACAACAGTATGTGTTCAAACACAAGTTCTCATTATCTTTCTTTATTTATGCGCTTAGGGCTGCAATGACATCTATTCAACAACTTAGAGGTGATCTTGTCTCCAATGGAGACAAGCCCTCTACCAAGCTGAATACTTATTTTAAGGTAAGTTTCACATAAGACCTTTTAATTTGTATCTGTGGCAAATGTACACATAATTTGAATCGTTTCTGCAGAATTGCACAGTTGATCCTACACAGAACGTGCAGAAGCGACTGGACATTCTTGGACAAACCTTCAGCCAAAGATTCAGCCAGGCTGTTGGTCCTCGTTTTATTTCTACTGGGAAACAAGTAAATTATAATTTTTTTTCAATATCAATTGACAGTAAATATTGCATATTTTCATCGGAAGTGTCTTTTTCCATCAGCGATACACTCTTGGTGTCAGACTGTATTATAAAGTGATGGAGGCGATGCTCAAATCGGTATGAAGTGCAATTGTTGGCAAATTAAAGTTGAATAACATGTTAATGATCATGCACTCTATTATGTTTAGGAGGAGAAAAGACTCTCTGTGCAAAATTTTAGGTAATCTGTTCTGAATGCTATTGGATGTAATTACTGATGTATTTTAGAATTGCATTAATTATCTGCGGGGTCTTTTCACACAGTAAATTGCTCAATGACTCAACATTTCACACGTCTCTTCTGGCTTGTGCTCTGGAAGTTGTCATGGCAACCTATGGAGGTAAATAAAGTTGTATTTTAATGTTGGGGACAGATATCCCCTGATGTCAGTCATTGACATGATTCTGTTTCATTTATTAGAGAGCAGTTTTAAATCTGGAGGAAATGGTTCTGAGGCGTCTGAAAGCAACCTGTGTTTCCCCTGGATCCTGGACGTCTTTGAACTTGCTGCTTTTGACTTTTACAAAGTGATTGAGAGTTTCATCAAAGCTGAGCCCACTTTGAGCAAAGACATCGTCAAACATCTGGAGACCTGTGAAAATCTCATCATGGAGAAGATTGCGTGGCTTACGGTTAGTTGTCTGTGCTGCGTCATATTATCTTTATTTTGAACTCATGAAAGAACCATCCAATAAACACTAGAGGGGGGAGAGGTTAGATTTTAAATACATTACACGAATTTGTGTAAACTATGAATTTGGAATCAAATCCTATATTAGCAAGTAATTATTTCCTTATTGATGACCAATACAGTCCATTTGATTGTTGAGGTTCATTTGCTTCCTCTGCCTCTGGACAATGGCTTGGGATGCAGTAGGTTTGCGATGCTTCCACATGCTGAAGTTCTGCAATAGTCCTGCTCCAGCCCCAGAGCCACAAGTATGAAGCTGTGATGCTCTGAGCGGGGTCCAGCAGACAAGGCTGTGTTGGTGAGTGACACTGGAGCACAGCAGCATCAGTCCCAACACAAGACCTGTGTGAGGCTGAAGGTCGGCTGGCAGTAGACAGCTTCAATTATTGTTTGCACAATCTGCTTAAAGCTGGAGCATTGGTCACAAATCCAACTGAAAATGGTATTCTGTAGGACACTCACTAGAGGAAGAAGAGAGCGCTTGTGTTCACACAGAAGTTGAACCGGGATGGACTTGGTTTGATTGGCTCTTTGTCTTGAAGTGTTCCACTGCCCCATATTTCTCTATATAAATATTGAACTAGTTCAGTGGAGTCAGGTTTCCTTTGTTACACCTGTGAAAAAAAAGTTAATGAGGTATAAAACTTGAGCCTATATGTTGAGGAGACAAAATTGTCTATAAAGGTCAATGTGCTTTATGAATTTGTTTTGGCAAACAGAGCCACCCATAAGCGATCAGATGTCTCCTGTTAAACAAAACCAAACATTTGTCAATTTGATTGACTTTGAATCCTTTAAGTCAATTAAGTTGTAAAAGGACAGTAAGCCATCCAAGCCATGTTTGTCCATGTTTGGACAGCAGGTGCTCCTTATACAGAGCTGGTGTACTATTTGCATGTTATTTTTATTTATATTTTAACAAAACAGAAATAATTGATACATTAAAGGAGCAGTATGTAAAAATCTGGCCAAAAGTGGTACAGCAACCTCTCCCACTCTCCCTGACTCAGGGTGCCAGATATTCAGATGTATCCAGCTGGGACCATAATAATAACTGAGTTTGGTTAACAACAAATCTATACATAGTTCCCACATGACGTCACTACATACGGGGATTTGCCGACCCGGCGCCATTTGTGTTGGTATGCTGTGGGCAAAACAATAGAAAAAGAAGCTGAAACGTGTTAATGTCGTGATAAAGTTGAAAATGGTCATCTCCTGCTGGGTCAATGGATGTTCAAATCGTGCCGGAGGTTCCGTTAAACTTGGATTTTACAGTATACCCATCATTAGACTTCATGAATGTGAGAAGACTAAGCTTTTGTCAGAACAACCACGGAGGTTATGGCTTGCGAAGATAAACAGGCAAGAAACTCCCTCAAAACACGCAAGAATATGCTCGGAGCACTTTGTGTCAGGTGCGTATCGTATCTTATAATGTGTTGACAGACGTAATTTACTCAGTACTAACTTGTGTATGCTGATATCTGGTAACTTGAGAGTTTCATTATTTAGATTACTTTATTATGAGGAGGATCGGTGTCGCGTCCGAGGCTCTCGAGGGCAACGTAAATGTATTAAATAGATAATAATAGTTCTGTGGTGGGCTAAAACAATGTTCACAAACAGCATTGCTTCTGTAAAAAGATCTGTGTCATAAAATAAACTGCTCTTTACGCCTGGAAAAATCAGTTGCCCACCATTCACCAAAACATACGGTCAAAAACGTGGAAATAAACAATAACAGCAATCCAGAGTGTCCGTGTGGCATTAGCATGAATTAAATTAATTGTTAATATAATTAAAATAATTAAATGGAGCTCCAACTGGTATTAAATCTAAAGTTTTTGAGAAATGTTTGCATTGCTTGTTAATTTTTGCTGCATAATTTGATCAAATATGTAAAACATGTCCGTAGCACGTTAAACTGTGGTGCCATTGTATTAATATACAATCATTTGCTCAGACGTTGCCCTTTTTTTCCAATTTGCGTTTGAATATCTACATTTATTCTCATTCTTCTGTTTAATGGAATGCACAAACACAGCAGCGTGCCATCAAAGATGGCGTCTCCGAGGAGGTCATGTGACATTCATTGGTCTGTGGGAACTATGTATAACAAACATCTTTTTCACAAAGGCATCTCCGATAGAACTTGTTCTATTCTTTGTTTTGTCATTCATTATTTGAGAATCATAACGAGACCTTTTCAGTTCCGCAGTCACATGTTACTTTACCAGTGACATTAGCTTGACGCGATGAGTTCTGGCAACCCGGATCACGGATTTTCTGATTGGTAAAATGGTGGAGGACGGGACATAGAAATGAAAACAATAACAAGTTTTAGGGGCTGTAAAAATGTTGATCTCGCCTGAACTACTGTTCTCAGTTAAAGACGTATTTTAAAAAAGCATGGTTTATTAATGCCTTTTCACATTTTAGGGCCATATAATGACTACTTTAAATCTCATATATTCCTACTTTAATCTAAAAAAAAAAAAAAATAGACTTACAATATATACATACATATATTACAGTTTGGATAGTCATTCACGGTATAATACTCGAAACAGTTTTGATTTAACCAAAAATGTACCAAAGCTAAAGAATGCTGAATATTGCAGACTATTAGGATAATTATCTTAGAAAACATTATATGATGATGTAGTTTTCTTGAAGTAGCTTTAATATGATTTTTGACATGCCTATAGTGGCCCATATTACCCTCTTACCATCAATGCCCACAAGTTAATCATAAAACATTTAAAAGATTTCGGACTTGTGGGCCACACATTAGACTGCTGTTTGGTCCAACTCCAGGAGTTTAATCACACCGACATTATTTAGATTTTAATGTTCATAGGAATCAAACCCTATGTTTGTCATTGCTAAAACGTCTGAGAAATGTCCCCATAAAGAATGGAAACCCTACATTTTAAATGTTGTTCTCGATTCATCTAATCATAACTGCATATATGATACTAAAAGAATAACAGAAAACACAAGTGCATACTGTCATTTAGTTTATTTATACTGTTTCAAAACATTATTGAAGACACTAATGAGTATTAGCTGAAAAAAGCCTATTTGCTGTGGCATAATGAAATGATGTGTTTTCCCAAACTATAAAGGCCTGGCTTGATTTTAGCAGCACGTGTTGTGTGAGTTTGCAGAGTGTGTGTTGTTCTGGTTCAATCCTGTGGCGAGACATGCTGTTACAGGTTTTGTCATTTCACAATTTTCTGCTGTTGATGGTGAATCTAGTCGTGACCCTCGGGCTACAGCTGCCACAGGAATGTAGCAGTGCTCAGTCTTGCAGCACATAACTGAGTCTGCTCGTCTCTGCTCAGGTATTCAGGTTTATTATTTTTATCATAAAAAAACAAGTATAAATTATGCTTATCTACAAAGAAAAATACAATGAAACTACAGTACTGAGCTCATTTAAAACTGGTTCAATGTTGGGGTCAAACATTAGGTTGTATTGTAAACACACATGGCATTTGATATAACGATAATAATGGATCACATCAAGAGAGTTCAAAGAGTTGGCATATGGGTTGGCACCCTTCATTATTCCTAAATGTCTTTGTCGGAATTAGCCACTTCATCGCACAGTTTTGAGAGTGGTGGGCGTAGAGCAAGATTTTTGGGTGTTGAAACTGGGCTGTTTCTTGAACTGTTAAGTTGAAATCGGCTCAAAAGGGTGGTGCCATTTTGCCATCTTGTCGATTTGCGTTTGATAGAGCTCTGAATGGTCTCTGAAGTGAAGTAGTAAATGACAGGATCGAAGCAGCAGTTGGTGACAGCTATACACAGAGCAATGGGATAGATCGTTCGGACCACAATCTCTGCGTTGCATCCTTTAAGGACCTTTGACCGGACCATAGCGTAAAATATGAGGTTGGTGTTGTAGGGAATGAAACAGAAGCAGAAAATGAAAATATGAACCATGATCATCCTTAAAACTTTAGCTTTGTTGAGGTTCCCTCCTCGGCTGATGGTCTGTGGGTTTTTTAATGTCCGCAGCACCATGGCTGAACAGAACAGATTGAGCAGAAGTGGAATGATAAAACCCACAGTTTCAATAAACATTACCACTTTGGACAGCTGAGACCTCCACTGGTCTCTGGAGTAGTTCTCAAAGCAATAATATGTGGATGAGTTTATATTTTTGAGAGATGTAGTCCTGAGTTGATAGCCAACTGCTATGCCTCCAGAAAGTAGAATTGTCCACACAGTTAAACAGGCGAGCTTTGCATTTCGTTTTGTGCGGATGGTTTGAGAGCGAAAGGGATAAACAATGGCCAGAAAGCGGTCTACACTGATGCAAGTGAGGAAGAGGATGCTCCCATACATGTTTGTGTAGAATAAAGCCACGGAAATCTTGCAAAGCACCGGGCCAAAAATCCACTCCTTCTTCACAAAGTAAACTATACGAAAAGGCAAGCTGAGCACAAAGAGAGAGTCTGACACCACAAGATTCATCATGTACGTTGTGGTTTCATTTCTAAGTTTCAGAGTACAAGCAAAAATGTAGACAGCCACAGTGTTGAAGAGCAGCCCAATCACAAACACCAGGCTGAAAACTACACTGTACAGAGGGTACTTGAACTCATCGCTTCTGTTGCACTGAAGGGCACTAGAGTCATTAAACATGTTCACAGTTTGTTTGTTCCAGGAATATTTAAAGATTAATTATGTCCTCGCTCAATATGAAAGCTGCATTTCAAAGACGAGTAGAATATCCACAAAAGGTCTTGAAGAGCTTTGTTTTTATCCTACCATTTCATAAAGTGGTAAAAGTATCCAAATCCTGTTCCATTTTCTTTAATCCAAATCCAAAGAAAAAGAGATTTTGTAACTAAGTCAGAGAGCAAAAAATGTTGTGTCTCAGTCTTCAGAAGTGCTGATGGCTGATGAATTTTAACCACCTCAATGCTGATGTATACTCCACGAGCACAGTGTGTTGAGAAAGTCCTTAGTCTTATGCTTTGCTCAGAGAACTCGCTCTACTGTCAAGACCTGGAGGGCGGAGCCTTCACAGACCAAAGTTCTCCTTCAGATAAGTTTTTATTGAGTAGTTGTGTAGCGTTAGTTTCCATATTGTCCTCAAAAATTACCTAACTTCCAAACAGTAACAAAAAACAAACTTTCCTTTTGATTTGGTACACATAGAGCTTAATTACTGTAGATAAAAAATCAATTATAATATGTATCATCTAGAATATGTGTCTACATTTGTAGAATATGCTGTAAAAAAATCCTTTACGTCATCACACACTGTGCAGTGAAACTTGTACTTTTGCTTTTGACATGTCAGTCGAGAGCAGGGTGTGGTGCATGTGAAACAAGTCTGTACCTGCAGCTGCTGTGACTTTAAAGAAACCACTTCCACCTAGACCCATATCTGTGTGCAAATACTCGGCTCAAGTGTGGTTTGTGTCTGTTAAATGTGATTTCATAGTCCCTATAGTTTTTACTGCCTTAACATGGTGGCGTTAAGGCAGTGGAAATGTATAGCAAATGACTATAACATTGTGCTTTTTTCAATACAGATCTGAGACAGAAGGGTGTGCTCTTGTATAAACAACATAAACAATACATGATCCTTCATTCCATTCATTCATTTGTTTATTTCGAGCTAATTATGATATATATTTTTCTGCGTTAAAGCTGACTATTTACACTTTTGCATCGTCATCTTTTGTATAAAAGCTTACATATACACATTTGTTCCTGATGAGCCGAAATGGGACCTGACTGGTTACAGTGAGGTGCACCACAGCGACAGGAGTTAAATATGTGTCTGCCCTCCAAAGATTTTTTAAACCAATAGTATCCACAAAGGTTTTCAAACAAAATATAATAATAATTTTGAAGGCATTTTTGCATCTTTAAAATAGTTTAAGTTTATTAAGGAAAACCCCTTGAGATGAATCATCTCATTTTTAAGGGGGTCCTAAAACCCCAGACTTGAGCGTGACTTTAGTGTGGCAGTTGCTGATGAATTAATATAATACGTAATACTGTGTTTTTAGGACTCCCCACTCTTTGATCTTCTGAAGCACGAGCAGGATGCTGGTGCAGCTGAGATGCCTTTGGAAACTCCAGGCAGCATGAACCTACCACTGCAGCACAACCACACCGCTGCTGATCTGTGAGTGCTAGTGTTTCTTTAGAAACCTGTAATAGTCAGATTTATCTTCAGTCTCCCCTGTTACTTCATTTCACAACAATAAATGTTGAAATGTGTTGTTTCCACAGATATTTGTCTCCTTTGCGCCCGGGTACTCGGGTACTACCTCCTGAGTCTGCTACCGCCAGCTCCCAGGCCCCTGCACCGCCCCAAATCCAACCCCCTCAGCCACCTCGACACGCAAAATCCAACTCTCTTGGTCTGTTCTACAAAAAATGTAAGTCTAGATGAAGTTCATGGTATATACTTTTAAGATATATAACTATTGGTGTAATTCAGTGTATCGCCTGGCCTACACACGGCTGAAGATGCTCTGCTCCTATCTGCTTTCAATTCACTCTGACCTGGAGCCCATCATCTGGACCCTATTCCAGCACACACTGCAGCACGAGTACGAGCTCATGAAGAACCGCCATCTTGACCAGGTACGTTTTATTAAAATTTGTTTTAAAATCTTTTGGGGAGTTGCAGCTCAGACTGCAAAAGGAATGGAGAATGCAAATCTTCTAGCTCAATGAAGCCCAAAGGGGAAGTGCTCATGGACAACATTTTACTCCAACTCGCTTTGGCTCCTTTTAACTTAGTGAACTTTGAGCTTTGTGACCGCTTTCATGGTTTATAGTTTATTATTGTTTTTGAAAATCCAGATAAAAGCCATACGGTTTGAGCAATCGGACACCTTCACTGGGGCTAACTCCAGCTTGCCTTTGCAACATGTAAAAAATGCAGATGCCTGTGCTTCGACAAGTGGGTCACCTCGTAACAAATGCCCATATGTGATGCGATCTGGGAAAACCCATCAAATGGTGAAATTTGACCAATTTAAGATTCTGACACCATCTTAAAGCTGCTTTCAATCTCTTTTCAAATCTGTTTTCATTTTTTTCATAGCAGGTCTGTAACAGAAGTTATCATTATCTGGAGTCAGCGTATTCTGACCTGTTTTTTCTGAGAAAAACAGGTTTAAATTAGACTTTCTAAATAGAATCACCACAATCACATATAACATGCTACATTTGAATTACTCTGTTATGGCACAAACTCATTTTAGTCACTATGTTGTAAAGGATGAAAATTTTTACTTTGGCACCAATTAAACACACAACATTCATGAATTAGATGAAAATCAAGAATGATTTCAAAATTCAATGAATTGAATTTGTTTTACACTTTTAACTCTTCTTTTTTAGTTTCTTTCTCTTTATAAGTTACTGAACATTATGTATGTATTAGACAATGCCAGTATTATTCTATCCAATCACGCAGTATAAATATCCATAACCACCAAGCATTTTTAATGCAAGGAGAAAATTAGGTACCCAAGCTTTAATTTTGTGAGCGCATAGGAGACATGGGGGAGACCTGCACTTGCAACAAGCTGGGGATTGTCTGAGCGCGTGTCAATGGTTCTGTCCGCGTATGGTTCTGTCTATGGTCCTGTCCAAGTGTCAATGATCCGCGTGTCTATGATCCGCTATGGGTTCTGTCCGCGTGTCTATGGTCCTCTTCGCGTGTCTATGGTCCTGTCTATGGTCCTCTTCGCGTGTCTATGGTCCTGTCTATGGTCATCTTCGCGTGTCTATGGTCCTGTCTATGGTCATCTTCGCGTGTCTATGGTCCTGTCCTCATGTCTACGGTCCGCGTGTCTCGCGTGTCTATGATCCGCTATGGGTTCTGTCCGCGTGTCTATGGTCCTGTTCGCGTGTCTATGGTCCTGTCTATGGTCCTGTTCGCGTGTCTATGATCCGCTATGGGTCCTGTTCGCGTGTCTATGGTCCTGTCTATGGTCATCTTCGCGTGTCTATGGTCCTGTCTATGGTCCTGTCCGCATGTCTATGGTCCTGTCCGCATGTCTATGGTCCTGTCCGCATGTCTATGGTCCTGTCCGCATGTCTATGGTCCTGTCCGCATGTCTATGGTCCGCGCTCGGAGCCCAGACGGCAGTGTGTTCACTGAGCTGTCAAAGCGGCTGTCACAAAGCGGCCGCAGCTGCACGGTGGCTGAGTGGATAGCACTCTTGCCTCTCAGCAAGAAGGTCCTGGGTTCGAATCCCGGTTGGACCAGGGCCTTTCTGAGTGGAGTTTGCATGTTCTCCCCGTGTCTGCGTAGGTTTCCTCCGGGTGCTCCGGTTTCCCCTACCACTAAAAATATGTACAATAGATCTGGCATGTGCCTCCTGTACTGGCACCCCCACTCCCAAAAATAACAATTGTAAACCGCTTTGAGACTCCGATGTGCAGTGAAAAGGCGGTATATAAATAAAGATTACTTACTACTACTACTTACTACTCCCGGGGTCAGAGCGGAGGATGTAACGTAACGTTCGGTTTATCAAAACATATCACAATTTTTAATATATAAAACTAGGGAATTTCACCTAGATATTTTCAGGAATTAAAGACAAGATGTTGTATAATAATTATTTAATGAAAACACAATTTAGCCAAAAAAATGACACTCGACCTATTTTCACTATTTACTCGGAACGTGCTAGCGCGACATCCGACAGGTTTTCCCAGATCGTATCACATATAAGGTATTTGGCTCCAAAATCTGCCAATATGGCTGTTCTTCTACATCTGCAGACACCATGGGTGACATCGGCATATTTATATTTATTAACATTTACGGACATCGGTCATCTCGCTCCCCCGTTGGACCTATGTGTTTTTAATTATTGCATTCCCTTAAATCAAACTGCTTGATTCTCTGACCTGTTGTTAGCAAATCAACAGCTTTGTAAAGTCCTCCGAGACGACTGTTGTTGTGATTTAGGGCTGTACAAAAATACATTGAATTGAAGCTTCTCCGGTCTATGAGTCGCATGTCATTTTACCTTGTCTTACCTTGTCATTGTGCTTCTTTGTCTTTTTTTTTAGTTAATGATGTCGGCCATGTATGCCATCGCCAAAGTGAAAAGTACCGATCTGCGCTTTAAGACAATTGTTTCAGCCTACAAGAACATGCCGAACACTAAGCAAGAGGTAATCCGCTTCTTGTATTCTTTAGAAGTCACTTTGCCCCGTACCCTCATGCTGCGAACATGTACAGATATATACACACAACTATACATCACTTGCACTACAATCTACAGCATGTTATACTTGCTCCTTATTACCCTAAAATCAGGGGTTTTTGTATTTTTATTCTTGCTTCTACATCATGCTAAAGTTGGAGATTTAAAGACTTCTTTCCTTATTATGCTAAAGATACTGCTCCTTTTCATGCTACAGTTAGATATTTTTGCATAGAGTTATTATTCATGTATCTTGTGTTGTATGCTCCTCATTCCAACTGTTCTTTATCTTGTGATGCAACACTGAAATTTCCACACTGTGGGACGAATAAAGGATCTCTTAATCTTATTCAATGTGCTTTCTCCTCTGTTAGACCTTTAAGCAAGTGCTGATCTCCGATGGCAACTACGACTCCATCATTGTCTTTTACAACCAGGTCTTCATGCAGAAACTCAAAACAAACATTCTCCAGTATGCCTCCCCAAGGGTAAGCAACCAAAACATTACGATGAATACATTTAGAATTTTATTTTATTTTTTATTGTTTTTCACCATACACCACTTTTATTTGTCAAAATAGAAAAACTTATTTTTGTCTTTTTAGTTTGAGTACTAATTATGATCCAGGCATCTATTTGTATCTTTTATAGGACTGTCTTGGTTAAATTAAAAACAAGAACAAACAAGTGGTAACTAACTAATTTCTAAAAAAATATTTATGGACATTTATTAACATATATGGATATTGCGCCATATTAATGACTCCTATATGTTCGTTAATATTGCATTTCCTGTGTTCAGACTGTTTGATTCTCTGATCTGTTGCTGGCAAATCAACAACTGTGTAAAGTCCTCCGAGACGTTTGAATATTTTAGTGTTAAGTTCACGTTCATTCTTTCTCGTCAGCCTCCAACTCTCTCTCCAATCCCACAAATCCCTCGCAGTCCGTATAAATTCCCAAACTCTCCCCTTCGAGTCCCGGGAAGCAACAACGTGTACATCTCCCCGATGAAGAGCGCCCACATGTCGCCGTGCATCATGACCCCTCGCTCCAGGTCCGTGCTGGATACAGATGCTTCTCACAACAAGCCACAATCACAGGGAAGTTGTATTCATTTCTGCTCCGTTTGTCGTTACAGGATGCTCGTGTCCATCGGGGAATCATTCGGGGTGTGTAGTGTTCTGTTTTCTAACCGTAAGAAATACTGAGGTGAAGTCCGTTTCATTGTTTTGTTTTCGGTGCAGTTGTCGAACCGCTTTCAAAAGATTAACCAGATGGTGAACAGCAGCGATCGCTCCTTCAAACGGACGCTGGATCTGGGGCCCAGTCTGAAGCCTTTAAAGAGGTTACGCTTCGATGTGGACGGTCAGGACGAAGCTGACGGCAGGTTTGTCCAGATCCACAGAACGTGACATCTGCTCCTCTGCATTCTGCAATCTAAGCACTTTTTATTTTTGCAGCAAATCTAGCGGCGACTCTACTCTGATCCAGAAGCTCGCTGAAATGAGTAAGACTTTCACATTGTGTTCTTTTCTTACATGGCTGCACTAATAAGGCATTTAGTTAAACTAATAGGGCATTATTAAATACATAGTGATGTTAAAGAAAATATAAAAGTGTAAAATGTATTTATTGCTTTGTATTGTTATGCTATATTTAAAAAAAAAAAAAAACATGTTTGTGGATCAAATAGTTGACAAATTATCCCAAAAGTTTTTTTTTTTTTTTTTAGATTCAATTTTTAAAGACATTTCCTGTTCATCTGGTTCAATCAAAATATTAATGATTTTCAGATTCCTGTTTTATGAAGCATTTGTAGGACCCTGTCCTCATTGAAAATATATCAATGCTCCTCATTTGTCAGCATTCTGAAACCCATATAAATTAAATGTATTTGTTAATACGGTATATTAAAGTTTAGAATCTTTAAAAAGCTTTCTTTCTTTGGAAATCATTTTTAGTTGCCATTAACTCATTCACTGCCAGCCATTTAAAAAGCAGCATCCCTCATACTGCCAGAGATTTGACATTTTTAGTGTTTTTCCGAACCGCATAGAAATGTGAGCCCTTGGTTGACACAAGTATAAAACATACCAAATGAAAGCTCTATCCCTTGGCTTTCATTTTAAAAAAAAAAAGTAAGTTTCTAACCCTTTGTTTTTTAGCAATTGAGAGTGCAACATAGGTAACTTTCACACAAAATGCTGTTTCCTGACCAAAACAGCCTTTTTGTGAAACGCGCATTTTCAAGCAGAAAACTGGGGGTTCTTTGTCTTTACTGATATTTTACAATGTATGACAGTTTCTTACTATGCCACAAAACAGAAACAATACTTTAAAAATAATTATACATTAAAAATACAATTCAAACAAATTAAACGTGTACACACAATATATTCAACTTGTATACTATAAAAACACTTTGTTTACAAATATACAGTAAAAATAACACTTTCTGAACACTTTGTGAAACAATTTTACTTTAGTTTATAAAGAATAGTAATTGGGTGACCCCACACTCTGCTGAAGTGTGGGGTGGAAGCTACTTCATCTGCACTCCTAATACATTTCCAGATTAGTATTTTTTTTTTACAAACCCAGTGAGAAATGTCAAACCAAAAAAGGTTTTTAGCTGCTAGACTGTCACTGTCCATGCATTTTCTCTGCTGAATGGGAGACGCTGTGTGTGTGCACTGAAATATTGTGCTGCATACAGCTTTGTCTGTTCAACACAAGATCCAGGATCCAGCAGTTCATCAGTTATGAAGAGCTGCATAAGTCAGCTGCTGATCCAAATCAAGCTCTGCTGCAGCATTTTGGGGTCCTGGGGTAAACAATCTACAACACAAAGGAAAATATAAAATCACCATACATTTTCACATTATAACAAGTGTTTTGGCTTCAGCAGCTATGACATTGAGATAAAAAAAAAAAAAAAACTCTTCAATATTCGCTAAAAACGTTACTTTGTTTATTTTTTACTATAGTATAAGCCAGTGCTTGCTATAGTCACTCCCTCCAGAATCTCTCAATGTTTGAACGCAAAATCACGCAGACTCTGGGATCAGAGCAACAGGGAGAGTCTCTCTCTCCCTGTTCCAAAGCAGCAGCGGGCGCGCTCCTGACGCACCCTCCACAGTAAGACGCACCACAGCAGAATGCACAACATGGTGCGGTAAATCTAACACTTCATCATGGGTCCTGCTCACCGGTCTGCCATGGATCACCTCCACCCCCTGTCCCTTCTATAAACCACACGGTAACATCATCCATAGCTCCCTGGCAGCTAATGCTGCATGCCAGATTCACACGCCTCCAAACTCAAGAGAAACTTTTGGAAAAATGTCCCGCGTAATCAAGCATTTTACCCCGCAATAATCATTCATCAATCAACAATTGCGCACAAATCCTGGAGAGGCTGATAGTACATTAGACAAAGAGGAGAAATAAACTCGTAAATGCAACATGTTGAAGTGAAAAGCAACTCACCACATTACGACGGGGGGAGGAGCCGCTGCTGCTGCTGCTGCTGCTGCTGCTGCTGACGAGGAGGGAGGGGGAAGGCTCCGAGGATCCTGGAGTCTCATGTTAACTAAAACCTGAAGAACTAGCATCGTGGCATCTAGCTGCTTCATATTTATCCGTTTGATGACTGAACAGGCTCTCAAACAGCGTTAGCTGCGTGAGCTTCTCAGATCCGCGATCCTCTGTGTAATCATGGCTGCTCCTCTGGCTGTTTGCTGCTCACAGCACCACATGCCCCCTTCTCCCTCCCTGGGTCTGGCCACAGTGTCACCTCTGCCCCCTACAGGATCGGTTCCAAAGTGTTTACAGGTCTGAAATGTTGACACAGGATGCACAAGAGCCTTGACGAGCCATAGAAAAAAAAAAACGAAACAAGCAATTGACGTCTATAGACGTCAATGGCGGTGAATGAGTTAATGTTTCAGCCCTATGTTTAGCGTCTTAATTAGTATGAGAATACAGATTACAATATAATGAAACATGTTAACAGTTGATTTTATTCAGACTCTTTTCTTCAGGCTCGACCCGGAGCCGAATGCAGGAGCAGAAGATGAGGGAGGACGCGGAGTTAAAGCAGGAGCCAAAGTAACCTGCTCTATCGGACTCTTGGATTGTTCTTATTTACAATCAGAGTGTGTGTGTTTTGGCATTTTGAATTTTCTTTAGTTCAAATCATGATTATTTTAATAATATTCTTCAATTGCAATTGTACAGTAAATGACTGTAAAATAGTTGGATTACGGTCTGTCTTTTAATCAGGGGTTGTGCCATTAACATTAGCCAATAACATTATCCAGTTTTAACACAATGGCGTTCGCAGTCACTTGTGACTGTTGTTGCTAAAATAGCAGTTAAATGAATAGTATTGATACTTCACCTCTCAGCTGTGGTGTGAACTGTGTAACTAAAGCTGTGAAATTACAGATGTCACAAGGAAAGTATCTGGACACATCTTCACATGCAGTGAAATAATAGAAACCTAATGGAAATTGTATTTTATTTGTTTGTGTTGTACTTCTGAGTAGCTTTTAAATGTAGCATTTTTTGCTTTGGGGATTTTATGTTGTTTTTAAATGGAGAACACTTATACAGTATTTAAAGACTTACAAAAGTATTTTTGTATACCACTCAACCACACTTCCTATGACTGCTCTGTTCGCATTATTTTTTTGTTATTTTTGTCTAATGTTAGATTTAAAATACAACTCTCCACTACATTACTCATTGCAGCTTTTTGTTTTTGAATTCCTGAGTACAATTACAGCTTGTGAAATTTGATATGTTTAACTTTTCATTGCACATAACAATGTAATATAATGTCATCATATAATCCAGATAATTTTAACCTAGTAACATTTGAGAGGGGAAAGACCTGTTGCTCCTTGTTTTTCCCCCGTGCTGATGGTGTCCCGTGGGAGCAGAGGGCAGCTGTGGCCTTCAGTAACTACCTCCTCACTGATCCCAAGCCGCTGTTTCCAATGGGGAGGCGGCACTTAATTCATTCTCAATGAAGAGACAGTGTGAAACATTTGAACTGGTAACATTTTAATTGGCCGCAGCCAGTGGGGAATTGATAATGTGTTGTTGAGTTCATGTACAGATTAAAAGCATGTAGTCAGCCGGTCGCACATGATCGTGGGACATAACAACACAGGGCTCACTCGTCTATTCGTCAGTAAACATCCAAATAGGACATGTCTTGATTTTCTGCAGCAGTTTGAACAGGCCACATTTAAAGGAATGGAGGATCTCACAGTAAGTTGCTTTTTTGTATTAAGAATTACATTTGATATATTTAAAATAGTTAAATACTGTAACTATTAATGCAGACTATTTTGTATTTCCCTTTTGTATTTGACCCAAGAATTCACCCTTGTTGGGACAAACAAAATGTATCAAGGAAAAACCCCAGCTTAAATCAAAATACCTAATACTGTTTTTGAATTGTCATTTGTATATGATATTAGAGCAGTACACAACTCAACAACTCAAATCTAGGCCAAGTAAGTGCAACTGCAGTTTGATCTAAATATTTATGAAAATATCATTCACATTATGTATTTCTTTGTGTGATTTAAGAAACCATTCCCATTGTCCCATTACATAAATGTGTGATTTCAAATGAAGATGATGAGTATTGTCTTATATTACTGAGATTGTCCCCTCAAATACATGTTTTTCTGTCCCAGCCTGAGCAATGGCGAGAGATCATGAACAAGAAGATGCGCTTCCCCCCGGAGCTGCTCAGTGCGATCCAGGAGGGGAAGATCGAGCTGCTGTGTGGACTTCTGAAGACCGGAGACGGGATCATCCGACAGCTGGATGAGTCTGAAGACCGACTGTGGAGAGAAGCTCTGAACCTGTCCATCCGCCTGGGGAACGAGGACGCTATGGACGCTCTCCTGCAGGGGGTCAAGTTTGATTTCAGGCAAATCCATGAGGCCCTGCTTGTGGCTGTGGACACCAACCAGCCCAGGGTGGTGAAGCGCCTCTTGGACCGTCTGGACCAGGAGAAGGGGAACAAGATGGATGTGCGCTCATTCTCTCAAGCCATCTTTGACCGCTCTATTGACAACTCACAGTTCGCCCCAGGAGTGACCCCCTTGACCTTAGCCTGTCAGAAGGACCTGTATGACATAGTGACGATGCTGACACAGAAGGGTCATGGGATCCCCTGGCCTCACAAGATTTCCTGCTCTTGTCTGGAGTGTCGAAACGGACGCCAGTATGACCTGCTCAAGTTTTCCCTGTCCCGGATCAACACCTACCGTGGGATTGCCAGCCGTGCGTACCTGTCCATCACCTCAGACGACGCCATGCTGAGTGCCTTCCGCCTGAGCAAGGAACTGCGCATGCTCTCCCAGAAAGAGCCAGAGTTTAAGGTTTGTCCTCTTGACAAATTATCGACTCATGGAAGTAGGTGATTAAAGCAGCTTTACAGTGTGGTCAAATTGGTCTGAAATCTGCCCAGTGGTCACTTAGTTTGAAGAACATTCAAGATTCAAGAATGTATTTGCCGTTTGCAGTAAAACCACATTGGACAAACTGTGCAAGACTACCCCAGTGCACACCAGGATAGTACACACCAGCGCTCCTGCCACAGCGGCATTTTTCCAGCACCATCATTATTTCTTGTTCAAAACTCCAGAAATAATAAGGCCCTTACAATTAATTACATCATCATGAACATTAATCTTAGCCAGCCACAGAATGCAAATTTTTTTTTTTTTTGAGAAATACATTGTTTACACATAAGACAATAAGGGACATTATTATATGACTTGGACCGTACACGCGCTCTGATTGACTGATTACCGGTCTGATATTTTCCCATCTCGGACCGTTACCATGACAATTGGTCCGAACAGCACGTATCACATTTGATATCTTTCCTTGGACCGTTACCATGACAATCTGTCCGCAGCGTGTAATCACACAAAACCAAGTCGGACATGAACATACTTCACAAATATCTCAAAAGCATTGGTAAAGACACAGATGAGAGTCATATAATAAAACATTTATTAACATTGATTGCTCGGTCTGTACAGAGCGCTCGGTTAATAAGCCGTTATTATTGGTGATAAGTGATGGTGAGCACTAAATACTGTAAAAAAAAAACAAATAAAAACAAAACAAATCTACGAGCAACAAATGTGTGAATCAATTGAAATTAATATTTGAGGAAGCTCATGCAAAGAAAACGCTTATACATACGCTTATATCTGCTTATAAAACTGTCAGTCAGTTTTACACATCCTGTCCCTTTGCTAAATGGTGGTGATGATCCGTGTTGTTTAGCCTCAGTACCTCAGCCTGGAGGAGCTCTGCCAGGAGTTTGCTGTTGAGTTACTGGGAATGTGTCGAAACCAGAGTGAGGTGACCACCATCCTGAACAGCTGCGGAGATGAGAGTCAGGATGCTCTGGACGAACAAGCTTTTGAAGAGGGAATACCCAACCTGTCCCGCCTCCGACTGGCTGTCAACTACAATCAGAAACAGGTATCTACTATATATGTAATCAAACTGGAAACCAACACTTCTCACACATCTCCTCTCTGTGTGTGGTGCAGTTCGTGGCACATCCTATCTGCCAACAGGTGCTGTCCTCGATCTGGTGTGGGCATCTGGCGGGCTGGAGAGGCAGCAGGACGGTCTGGAAACTGCTTGTGTCTGTGGGCATCTTCCTCACCATGCCACTACTGTGTCTGGTTTACTGGATTGCACCAAAATCCAAGGTGCTTTAAAAAATAAAATGCCAAACTTTGTTATATCTGTTTGATACTGTGACCTTTTTTTGACTTATTAACATAGCTGGAAAGTCCTGCTCACTTAGGACTTCTGGGCTCATATGGGAAAAAATAATGGATATTAATACAGATTTTAACTAAACATCTGTGGTCATTATTCATAGCTTCATAGGTGTTCAGACATTTCTTATATTAATTTCTTCAACACTGTATATAGGTATTATAGGACTGTGGTTTATAGACTTGGCTGCGGTTTGAGTATATATTGAGACCTGATTAAGATTCTATCCTAATTAAACTCCATGCTAGTTTTTTTTGTTTACGTCAGGTGGTATTCTGAAATGACAATTATGATCTTCGTGATACTATGATCTTAGTATAAAACAGTTGAATCTGGAAAATACAATATCTATAGTATAGGTCAAACTCTGTAGTTTTCTTTGTGTTCATAAAAAAATCTAAAATTGCTTTTTATTAATTACTGATCCATATTTGTTGAAACAGTATGGAAAAATAATCAAGATCCCCGTCATCAAGTTTCTCCTGCACGCGGCCTCCTATCTGTGGTTCCTCATCACGTTACTGGGAGAATCTATAACTATGGAAATGTACAGAGACAAGTTCGCCTCCAGGAAGCAAAACATTCTCCACAGTTCTTTCCACATGGTGTGGGTGGTTGGTATGTTTTGTTAGTCCTGCCTCTGCTACAGTTATGTTGCTCCAAATAACCACAGATTATTATCATATTTTAATTTCTATCTTCCAGGATTTTTCTGGCACGAGTGTAAGGAGGTGTGGATCGAAGGCTTGCGTAGTTACTTCTTGGACTGGTGGAACTGCTTAGACATGATGGTCCTGAGCATGTACTTGGCTTCCTTTGCTCTGCGTGTCGTCATTATGCTCAAAGGATACTTCCTCTGTCATGACCACGGCCAATCCGATGAGTGCATCTACTTCACGCAAACCTGTGAGTTTGTGTTTGTATGAAAAAAATGATTTGAAAAAAATGTGACAAGTATCAAGCTCCAAACAAAGTATGAATCACTATGTGAAAAACATATCATAGGTGGAATCGGTACAATTCAATTTTTATCACAATTTTAGTTTTTAGTTGCTAGTACTCGTCACAAAATTGCACACAATCCAAGCTCGACATCAGGACAGTTTTTACCACCAATAGTATAATAATGTGTACCTACCACTACCTACTTTAATCCTGGCACAACACAAAACAATGACAAACAAACTAGAACAAAGTCAAATCCATGACTACGGGATTTTATGGGACCAAATGAGTGGTTTGGTCTATCCCTGTTTTCCGGATCAAGTTGCACAAGATTAAATTCCAAACTCTTGACTCATTTACACAACGTTATACAACCTTATATAGAGAGCATTATTACAGACTCGTAGTCCAGAACAATACAAAAAAAATAGACAAACAACACACTAAAAAAACAGACAACATAAAAGAATAAAAGTCCCCAAATCTCTTTAGAGAAGGCAACTATATCAGCGTTTCCACAGTGCAGAGGTAAAACGCTAAACACTAAAATTATCATATTCGCACTAGTGTTCAGGCGACACATAAACTTGTACATTAGGTTCCTCAAAAAGTTCAGGGGATAAGACCAAATATCACAGATAAGTTTGTAAAAAAACAAGGCAGAGACAAGACTTAAAAGCGGTTCAAACTGTATTATAAACTGTTACAGGCTAAAACGTTTCTTTGTTAAAAAAACCCAAATATAACATGACCTCTTCATTTAGCATTTTTACTAGATCTCTGCGCTCACAGACAATCCATATGATTTCCCCCATCCACTTGTTCTCATCAGCCTGTGCCATGTCCTGAATGTGTATTTCTATTATACACAATCTGAGTGATTCTTTGTGACATGTAAACTTCTCCATTGTGAGATCAATAAAGTTTATCTTATTACTTTCTTTATTGTTGCAGTGCGAGACGACTGGCACCAGGAGGACCCCCAGCTCATCGCAGAGGTGCTGTTTGCAGTCACCAGCATGTTCAGCTTCACTCGACTGGCTTACATCCTGCCAGCCCACGAGTCTCTGGGAACACTGCAGATCTCCATTGGAAAAATGATAGATGATATGATGAGGTAAACTGTCATTCATATACAGTGCCTTGCGAAAGTATTCGGCCCCCTTGAACCTTTCAACATGTCGCCACATTTCAGGCTTCAAACATAAAGATATAAAAACTAAAAATTTTTGTCAAGAATCAACAACAAGTGGGACACAATCTATTTATTGGATTATTTAAACTTTTTTAACAAATAAAAAACTGAAAAGTGGGCCCTGCAATATTATTCGGCCCCCTTGCGCTAATACTTTGTAGCGCCCCCTTTTGCTGCAATTACAGCAACAAGTCGCTTGGGGTATGTCTCTATCAGTTTTGCACATCGAGAGACTGGAATTCTTTCCCATTCTTCCTTGCAAAACAGCTCGAGCTCAGTGAGGTTGGACGGAGAGCGTTTGTGAACAGCAGTCTTCAGCTCTTTCCACAGATTCTCGATTGGATTCAGGTCTGGACTTTGACTTGGCCATTCTAACACCTGGATACGTCTATTTGTGAACCATTCCATTGTAGATTTGGCTTTATGTTTTGGATCATTGTCCTGTTGGAAGATAAATCTCCGTCCCAGTCTCAGGTCTTTTGCAGACTCCAACAGGTTTTCTTCCAGAATGGTCCTGTATTTGGCTCCATCCATCTTAACATCAATTTTATCCATCTTCCCTGTCCCTGCTGAAGAAAAGCAGGCCCAAACCATGATGCTGCCACCACCATGTTTGACAGTGGGGATGGTGTGTTCAGGGTGATGAGCTGTGTTGCTTTTACGCCAAATATATCGTTTTGCATTGTGGCCAAAAAGTTCGATTTTGGTTTCATCTGACCAGAGCACCTTCTTCCACATGTTTGGTGTGTCTCCCAGGTGGCTTGTGGCAAACTTTAAACAAGACTTTTTATGGATATCTTTGAGAAATGGCTTTCTTCTTGCCACTCTTCCATAAAGGCCAGATTTGTGCAGTGCACGACTGATTGTTGTCCTATGGACAGACTCTCCCACCTCAGCTGTAGTTATCTGCAGTTCATCCAGAGTGATCATGGGCCTCTTGGCTGCATCTCTGATCAGTCTTCTCCTTGTTTGAGATGAAAGTTTGGAGGGACGGCCGGGTCTTGGTAGATTTGCAGTGGTCTGATACTCCTTCCATTTCAATATAATTGCTTGCACAGTGCTCCTTGAGATGTTTAAAGCTTGGGAAATCTTTTTGTATCCAAATCCGGCTTTAAACTTCTCCACAACAGTATCTCGGACCTGCCTGGTGTGTTCCTTTGTCTTCATGGTTCTCTCTGCGCTTTAAACAGAACCCTGAGACTATCAAAGAGCAGGTGCATTTATACAGAGACTTGATTACACACAGGTGCATTCTATTTATCATCATCAGTCATTTAGGACAACATTGGATCATTCAAAGATCCTCACTGAACTTCTGGAGTGAGTTTGCTGCACTGAAAGTAAAGGGGCCGAATAATATTGCACGCCCCACTTTTCAGTTTTTTATTTGTTAAAAAAAGTTTAAATTATCCAACAAATTTGATTCCACTTCACGATTGTGTCCCACTTGTTGTTGATTCATGACAAAAAATTAAAATTTTATATCTTTGTTTGAAGCCTGAAATTTGGCGAAATGTTGAAAGGTCCAAGGGGGCCAAATACTTTCGCAAGGCACAGTACGTAGGTTTGGAGCTGGAAGGAGAACTGAAGGAGTAGAAAATTATCATTGTCTCTTTTTCAGATTTATGTTCATATTGATGATCATTGGAACGGCTTTCCTCTGTGGCATCAATAATGTTTACGTACCTTATGTTATCTCGCCACATCTGGGCAGGTAAAGATGAGCATGCAAATACAAATGTTTTGAATAGCAAATACATTTTGTTCGTCCCAGCAGAAAGACTCTTATATTATAAAAGTAAAATATTATATAAAAGCCACTGCATGCCTCTCCTATTGGAAAACACATTATTTTTGTATACTATATGATGCTTTGGTCGGAGAACTTATTTGATGAGTTTTTTCTACTTATCTGTTCCAAAAATCAAATCAAAAATGCTGATTGAACCTTTTAGAGAGCTTGAAACAAGTTAGATAGATTTAATTCATATCTTGATTGTTTGTGGTTGGTAAGTTGGATTCCTCATCATTTAGAAGTTAAAAATGTACATTATGATTTTTCAGGTTTAATGAGACATTCCACTTCCTGTTCTGGACCATGTTTGGAGTGGCCAACCAGGAATACGTGGACATGCCTCAGTTTGTGTTGGCGGAATTCGTTGGGCGCGTTCTTTACGGCATTTTTACCCTCGTAATTGTTATCGTCCTTCTCAATATGCTGATTGCTATGATTACAAACTCCTTCCAGAAAATTGAGGTAAGGGTTTTGCTTTTAATGCTCATAATGTTGCATTTGACTGTGATTTATCAAATATTTTTCCTTAGGATGATGCTGACGTGGAGTGGAAGTTTGCCAGGTCTAAGTTGTACCTGAGCTACTTCAGAGAGGGCCTGACTATGCCTGTTCCATTCAATATCATCCCATCCCCTAAAGCATTCTTTTACATACTTAGGTACAGCCATAAACACAAACCTTTGCTTATTCATTTCATTCAATTTAATCTTGTATAGTCCTAAATCACTACAGTAGTTATCCCGGAGGACTCAACAAAACCATTGAATTCGCCAACACAGATCAGACGGTTTAAACACAAGAAGTGCAATGATAAAAAACACACATTATTTTATATACATACAATATTATTCATATTAACATTCAAACTCTTTTTCCAGAGGGATTTTCCGGCGACTCTGCTGCTGCACATGTAGCCCCAGCAGCGAGTATCCCCCTATTGCCTCCATTGTGAGTAGATTTTTAGTTCATATAAATAAATCACACTGATGTTAAATGTGAATTTGTCCCATTCTGTCTCATTAGAATAACGATAAGAGCTCTGATGACGGGCAGCTACCATACAGGCAGCAGGTGATTGGTGCTTTGGTGCAACGGTACATCGAATCAGCACGAAGAGAGTTTGAGGAAACCAAGAGAAAAGGTAGAATTGTTGTTGTCTCATTGTGACCATTTCAAACTTCAATAAGGAATAATTGAAGGAAATCACTGTCTTAGAGAATGATTAATGTGCATATACTTTTCAGACGTTGGGAATCGCATCACTGAGCTGAACAAAGCTGTGAACCGGTTACACTCTGACATGAAGTTGGTGCAACAGCTTCTTATCAACGACGAACACACCATCAGTGATAACGCTTCAAAAGATGGCTCATCGGTCCTTGGAAAGTACATAATCGGTGCCAAGAACAATTTCAGAGGTTTCAACAGTAGACAAGACGATAAGGCTGCATCTCTTAAAGTAGTGGTACATGAGGATAATGGAGACAAGGACAAAAGTGAGTCTGACGTGAAAGAAGTGGAAGATAATGATTCAAAGGCCACAGAGTGCGAGGTGGTGAAGATGGAAGAGGGCCGAGCAAAGGAAAATGCAGTCGCCATTAAGAGCATTGATGAAAAAGAAAATACTGCATCATTAGGGAAGATCAAGACAGGGATACAGCATGTGATCAAAACTGGAGTCACCCAGGAATATAAGCAAGAAGTCCATGAAAATATTGACCAGAACGTGGAAAATGAACAGTGTACTGGGACCAAACAGCTTGTAAACAGATTTAAAGACTTGGAAGCACAAAACAAAAATGCAAAAGAGGCCAAATGGGTAAAGTTTGACCACACCTCAGAAAAGGGCCCCAAGGAGATGGTCACAAAACCCGGCGCTTCATCTCCCACTGGCAGCAGCACCTCTCAGGACACGGGCTTCGGGTCGCAGGAGGGGGACTTGTCGCCCGATGGAGTGAGAGGGGAAAGTTAGATAACTGCTGCAGGGTTTGGGGTACCTTGTATCCTGCTGTTATCTTGCCTCAAAAAATTAAGCACTTAACTTGAGTGCCTTTTTTTTCAATTTATTAAGTGTAGTATGGAAAAGGACCTATTAATAAAAGCTGTAGATCAGTGATTTGGGAAAGATTGATCAGTTGTCTCAGTAGCTCTATCGAGGAGTTCATTGTTGAACAATTATGAAACTATTAAAAAGAAACAAGGTGTAGGAGCCAAAATGTAGTTAAGATACTTTATACAGCCCCCATTGACGCTTTTGTCGCCATCTAGTGGACGCACTGGGGAAGGGCTACATAAGGTGTGCAGTATAACCTGGAGGTGTGGCTGCAGTAGGAAGAGAAAGTCTTTGACCTCACTCACTCAGTCTCACATCTGCCTTTCATTTTGATTTTGGTACAATTTGAAGTACATTTTTTGTGTGTAAAATAAATATAATTTTCATTATTCAAGAATCTTTTTTGTGGGCATTTCTTATTTTTTATGTGGATCGTCAGACCCTTTTTGCTCAGGCACCACAAAGAAAGGATTTTTTCTGACTCTACACAAGGAATGTAATATGAGAGCTAATTTACACATTTTGCCAGAATCATGTCATTAAACAGGCTTTACATTACCTACATAACAGGTTTAGTGAAGGGTTTGTGCACACATGAACATAATCAAAATGATGCTGAGTGCTAAACATATCTCTCCATTTATATAAAATATCTATTAAACCATGCAGTTCATACAAGGTGGTATTAAACTATCACAGCAGGTTGACAGAAGCATCTGTACCAGTATGTGCCATCGGCACCTCCAACCACATACACACAATTAAACTGGGACAGGGTGAAGTGTCTAGTAAAGACACAAGAACAGTTTGGTACAAAAAAGTAACAAAAAAAGTTGGAAAACTTCTCACACACATTACAGATGTCTCAAAGGGAGTCCAGAAAATTATTGAATGGAGGCGGATGGAGAGATGGACGTATTTTTGCTTGGCCTTATGCGATATAATTAAAGATTTGTAATATTCATGTTCTAAGCCAAGACAAACCATCCAAAGCGTAAATGTTTTCTCTGTAATTTAGATGTTAAGAATATATTCTATAAACTGTTGCACTTTCTGTAATGACTAATCATGTACCTGTAAGTTTGTACCAGTGTTGGAAGCTGACGCAGGTTTCAGCTTGTTGCGTGTCAGTCTCAAGAGGAAGCTACACTTCACCTCATTAACTTGGCACCTGTCCCACGGTATACAGCATCGCAACACTGGAAAATAACAGTGAAAGGCTGTAAGCTAGTCTTTGTGCTCGACTGTTTAATTTATCAGAGATAATAGAAACAAAAGTTAGTATTCCAAATATTTAATACCCACATGTGTAAAATAACAAAAAACATGAATATCAAAAAGCTATAAATCCATTCTATACAAGGTAAATTTCATGATACATTAAATAATGCCAATTTAAAAAAAAAAACCTGAGTACATAAAACTGGTAAAAACATGTAATCAAAGTGGTTAGGAGCCACACATGAGGCACTCGTCTCTGTTGGCTAATGAGCAGACCATGGCGGCTGTGTTCTTCTCCCTGGTCTCTTCCTCACTGCTCTTTGTGGCCTGGGCCTCCTTTAGTTTCTCTTTGTTCAGAGTGAACTGAATGGGATTAGCAGCAGGCTTTGTGCGGAGGTAGTACATGCCAGTTTTAAGGCCCTGTAAAACAATAAAAGCATATTAATATATACACAAAGTTATTCATTCATCAAATGAATGTTGCAGTGACCTACCAACTTCCACCCATAGAAGTGCATGCTTGTGAGTTTGCCGTAGTTTGGTTCAGCAATGTGAATGTTAAGAGACTGGCTCTGGTCAATGTAGGCGCCACGGTCGGCTGCCATCTTAAGAATCATCTTCTGTGAGATTTCCCAAACGGTTTTATAGAGCTGCTTCAGATCATCAGGAATCTCCTCAATATCCTGCAATTAGAAAAAAATTATAATTCTAACTTTATAAAATGCCAACTTTATCGCATTTGAATTGATTCAATTCAATTCAATAGATACCTGAATAGATCCATTATGAGCAATAAGTTGGTTCTTCATGTCGTCATTCCACAGCCCTCTTTCGGTGAGGTCTTTGAGCAGGTGCGGGTTAACAATCTGATGCATGGAAGTATAAACTTTACTAAATGCTTGTTCCAGTGTTGCCTAGAATTACTACAGTAATTCCGTGGATACTAACCTGGAACTCTCCTGAAAGCACCCGGCGAGTGTAAATGTTGCTCGTGTACGGTTCAATGGACTCATTATTGCCGAGGATCTGGGCAGTAGAGGCAGTGGGCATCGGGGCCAGGAGCAGGCTGTTCCTAACACCATGTCTGAAAAACCGGGCAGAAGATGAAGTAAATAAAAAAAATGGCCACAGCTCATTTAAAATCCAGGTTATTTTTGTACTCGTCTCTTACTTGGCAATTTTCTGCTTCAGAGCTGCCCAGTCCCATAAATCTGTTGGCGTTTTGTTCCACATATCGTACTGAAGGATCTGGAAGACAAAAAAAATCTCAGTCATGATTGTAAAACAGAAAATCTCTTAAAATTAGCTGCCGTCATTGTTACTCACTCCTTTGCTAACAGGAGAGCCAGGGTACGTCTCATATGGTTCGTGTTGTGCAGCTAGTTCACAGCTGGCCTCTAAGGCAGCATAATAAATTGTCTCAAATATCTGAGTGTTGAGTTTCTGGGCCTCCTCACTTTCAAAGGGATAACGCATGAGAATGAAGGCATCAGCAAGACCCTGGACGCCAATCCCAATAGGTCGGTGGCGCATGTTCGACCTTCGAGCCTACAACATAGGATTGAGAAACCGCACATTAAAATAATGCAGATATTTAAACAAGACAAATAGGTACACATTACCTCAGGAACTGGATAGTAGTTGATGTCTATAATTTTGTTCAAATTCCTGACAATGACTTTTGTTACAGTTGCTAGCTTTTTGAAGTCAAACATTTTTTCTGGGGTGACATACATGTTGAGAGCGATGGAAGCCAGATTACATACAGCAATCTAAAAAGAAAAAAATTATAGATGTTATCAATTTATGTTATTAGCAATACTGTTGTAGTGAAAGGGTCTATTAACCTCATCTTTGCTCGTGAATTCTACAATCTCTGTGCACAGGTTGCTGGATTTAATGGTGCCCAGGTTCTGCTGATTACTCTTTCTATTGCAGGCGTCTTTGTACAGCATGTACGGCGTCCCGGTCTCTGTCTGTGACTCAATAATGGCATACCAAACCTGCTGGGCCTTCACAACACGTTTGCCTCTGCCTTCCTTCTCATAGCTACAAAATGAATACAAAGATTATTTTACTTTGAACCTGGACTTGTTTTGGAATCAATGGAAAAGAAAATCTTACCTAGTGTAGAGTTTTTCAAATTCCTCTCCCCAACACTCCTCCAGGCCTGGGCATTCATTAGGGCACATCAGGGTCCAATCCTTTAGGAGACAAGAATTAGTAAATTGCAATTTAAAAGGAAGTGGTTTTAGATTCACTCCATAGTATTCACCCCATTGCTTTCCACGCGCTTCATGAAGAGATCTGGAATCCACATAGCAAAGAACAGATCGCGGGCTCTTTGCTCCTCTTTACCAGTGTTTTTCTTCAAATCAAGAAAATCAAACACATCAAAATGCCACGGCTCAAGGTAGACAGCAAAAGCCCCAGGTCTCTAAACATGAAGAAAAAAGAAATCATTTAATGTGTATATTAAAACTGGAACAGATCACAAATGTTTTTGATATCACACCTTATTTCCTCCTTGATCAACATAGCGCGCAGTGTTGTTATACACCCGCAACATGGGGACCAAACCATTTGATCTCCCGTTAGTCTGAAAATTTACAAAATTAATGTTGAAATAGTTAAACCTTTAAGAGAACACCTTTTTCATTTTAATCTATAACATACCCCAGCAATGTAGCTTCCTGTCGCTCTAATACAACTCACGGCTATTCCTATGCCTCCAGCTGATTTGGAGATTAGAGCACATTGCTTGAGGGTGTCATAAATTCCCTCAATGCTGTCATCCTTCATGGCCAAAAGGAAACAACTAACCAAAATCAAGAAGTGTGTTGGATTATACTTTACTATACTTAATAATGATAATAATAATAATAATAAGATGCACATACCTGGACAGCTGGGGCTTGTTGGTGCCTGCATTGAACAGTGTGGGGGAGGCATGAGTGAACCATTTCTCAGAGAGAAGGTTGTAAGTCTCGATGGCTGCTTCCACGTCTTGTTTATGAATCCCAACAGCCACTCTCATGAGCATATGCTGGGGCCTCTCTGCAACTGTGCAACAAACGAATAAACTACATTAACAAGATTCCTCACATTAACTACCTTTTGAACGGCTATTTTTTATTAACCTTTTCCATTTATTTTCAGAAGATAAGACCTTTCTAAAGTCTGAAATAACAAGAGTCAAGCATTATTACTTCTAGTTAGATTATGTGTTGTGGTAATGGTTGGGCAATCTATAAATGGTACCTTAAAGCCAAAGAAGTTGTATGTGAAGTCTCTGTCGTAAATGATGGCCGAGTTGAGACGCTGTACAAGAGAAGAGTTTGATAATAACAAATGCTATCAAATAGTACAAATCAAAATGTGTATAATATTCTTTCATGAACATTTCGACCATTATAGCCTCCATCAGATCAGATGAATGTATTAAAATAAGTTCACTTACAGCTTTGTTCTCCAGAATGATGTCCAATGTCTCCTTTGAAACCATGGGAGAGTGTCGTTTATTCAGAGGATTAACATAGTTGTATAAATCCTCCATCACATCTGAAATGTGTGCGAAATATTAGAAGACACAACCAATGCAATATAAAATAAATATCCAAACTGCTACATACCACTAAACACTTTCTTGGTCTCTTTGTGCAAATTGGAGACGGCGATGCGTGCAGCAAGGATTGCATAGTCAGGGTGTTTGGTAGTTAATGTAGCAGCGGTCTCTGCAGCCAAAGTATCCAGCTCCACAGTGGTCACTCCACTGTACAGTCCTTGGATCACCTTCATTGTGATCTGAGCCTGTGGCAGAAGAGAGGCAGGAGTGATTATGCTGCTGTAATTATGCTGCTTTAATGCCAGACATATTGTCAGCATGCTTACCGGGTCCACAAAGTCAGCATTGAGCCCATAGCAAAGCTTCTGTATGCGCGAAGTGATTTTATCAAAACAGACTGCTTCCTGGCGTCCATCTGAAAATTAGTTGTGTGGGTGGAAGAACAATAATAATTAAAAAAGGGTTATAACTTATGGTTAATAAAGAAAATGTATAATATAACCTCAATAATCAATTTATACAGTAGCAATAATGCAATTACACCTGTTCAACCGGTTTACCACAACAACAAAGAGGCTGCTTCGCGCCAACACTCAAACGTCAAAGGCAGAGCAGTCAACAAAGCACTCCCTTTACATCAAACACATAAGCAAAAAGACAATCGTGCAGACTCATAATTCATACATACACTATCGACATTTAGCGCCACATTGTGAAAAACTGCTGCAAATTAGATCAACTTAGATTATTTGTCTTTGCCAGGTTCTCAAACACATCTAGACTATTTGCCCACAATGCCAACAAAGCACAATACACTGACAATTGGCTAAGGCAAGACAAGGCAGAATCCCTGGGTTTATAGACCGCCAAGTGAAATATTTTATTTATTATCAGTGAACAAAAGGCTTTAAGCACAGCATTTATTCATGCGTCCTTACCTCGCTTTATGACATGCATTTTCCTTCTATTTGGCGTGTTCGCACAGTTGATACACGGTTGGTCTTTGCAGTAAATAGAAAATGTCCCGATAGGAGTTTTAGACAGAACACAGCGACGTTTGTTCTCAAACTGAGGCGCCAACAAGTCAAAAAGACCGGTTATGCTCGGCTTAATCAATAGTCCCGCCCATGAGCTTCCTCGCCAATGAAAAGATTGCAGCCCATTTCTCTGACCAATCAGAGCGCTTCCTTAGTTCACCAGCGGCTTCCTTTTCTGGGTGTCAAAAGTGGCGGGAGGTTCGTGAACACTGCCAGTAGAAACAGGCTGCTGCAGGCATTTAATTACGTCTGCGTGTGTGACGTGTTTGCTTGTGTGTTTAAATTTGACCTACTTTAGTCGGACTGGTTGGAAGCACAGACATTATAGGAGATATAAAGTCTGCGTCTCAGTATGTTTTAGCAAAGCTTCTCGATTTGAAGATTTGAGAGGCCTATCTCAAATCAGGCCTATTCTACCCAGCTTTTATTGGTTTAATAATTAGTCAGTTCGAACCTGATTGGAACTAAACCTGGTACCGTATTTTGGCAGAACTGAGTTTTTACACGAAATAATGGGCGTTGTCGTTATAAACCAAACATATATTGCAAACCAATGCTCTAGTTCAACCCAGAAGCTATGGCCCAATGAAAATTCAACCCTCTGAAAAATGATGTATCTGATGAAGAATGTTAAAGTGTGTAGATAACATATATTACATCATGTAAGATTTGATCCAAAACATGTTTACTACTACTTACTTGCTGTAAATAAAAAGTAAAGGTAATGGGGCACTTCATTTATCCCCGTAGGGCAGTTCATCCTCTGCATTTGACCCATCCTGATGCCACTAGGGCGTCTGTCAGGAACAGTGGTTGTCGAATACAGTCCCCAGGGACCCATCTTCAGAAGTTGATGCTCAGCTTTGTCAGGACCATAGACTGTAAATACTAATCAGAACTCCTAGAGCTGGAGGATTTTACCAATTGTGCATGTTTTTAGTGGTAGGGGAAACCGTAGCACCCAGAGAAAACCTACACAAGCATGGGGAGAACATGAAAAGTCCGCTCAGAAAGACCATGTTCCGACAAGGATTCAAAACCAGGACCTTCTTGCTGAGAATCAAGAGTGCTATCCACTCAGCCACCTTTGTTTTCTTTTTTTCTCTAAAGGTAAATTTTATATATAATATTATTAATACATACATATTTAATTTAATAACATGTAATTTGTTCATACTTTATTGCACTACAAATGTAAAGAAAGACTCTTTAGGACGGTGGCTCTCCACAAACCAGAATTGTATATTTTCCTGAAGTTAATAATTAAATTACTAGAACATATCGCCGGCTGTGTGGCCTTACTGCTTTATCAGATTAATTAAGATATTGATTTATTGTCTTCCATTTACAAAATACAAATGATAAATGCAAATAATTCTGTTTTCAGCATGCCATAAATTTCAAGGGTTAGAAAACAGATGTGTAATGCTTTCTACCAAGTGGTCAACTGTCACCATTCTGGATTGTGATATGTTATATGGTTTTCCTCAATGGATATGGTGAAGCATCCTGTCTCTGATTGGGCATTTCATTTCCCGTCTGTGATGTCAGGGTTTCACAGGGTCATGGAGGATTAACAATGATCTGATCCGGGTTAATCCACCATCACTGGAGCAATGTCAGATGATGCATTTATTGCAATCCCCTTCAAAATCCATAGAAAAATGGCATGCAGTACAATATACACATTTAGTGTATCACTCACATTGACAAGAAATATTAGTTATTTTTTTTCCAATCCATGTAGCAATAAAAAAGTAAGACTGTCTTCAAAATGTTGCAAGAAACAGGAAGCTTTGACTAAAGACAATAAAGACATTATGAAACACTACATGAAACAGGTAAATGTCCACAGTTGGGGCTTAATGCACTGGAAGATTTAAGATAAGATTAAGGTTCCTGGGTTTTTTGAAAAACAACAGAATTGCAATCTTGGATCATTCTTTCCATTCACATAATTCTCTACCTATGAATCCAAAAGTCCTCCTTTTGGAGTTTGCGTTTCTTGCGTGCCTCCTCCAGGTCCTGCAGTGTTTTTCTTGGGTCAATAATGAACGCCAATGCAACACCTGCTGTCCCGTCTCCGTTCTGACGCGAGAAACACAAGAACGTGGCCCAAACAAAAGCGCAACAGGCCATGAAAGAGGTCCTCAAATGTGGGGGCATCAGTGCGAAGTTGAGGAACTAAAGAAGAAACATGTTTTAAATGATCATCTTTGTAGCACTTTGTTCACAATTTCCCATAGACTCGGCTTCATCAGTAATGTTAGTATTTTGCCTCTATTTCTGCAAGAGTAGTAATATGTTTGTGATTGCAAACATGCTAATCAGAAAAAAGGATATTTACTATGGGCTGAATAAAGGTGAGCATTATTAGGAAAAAAAATAATTTTATTTTGTTAATGATGTTCAGATGATAATATAGAATTTCATGTTATTTTTGGTTCATTAAAAGAATGAACCGCAAAAAAATAAAAAAGATGCTACATATGAATGCTTGTAATCTATGGGTATGTTTTCTTTAAAACTATATAATATATATTATAAAATCATTTTATTAGTTATGGCTTGCGTTATATATTTAATATTAACATTTTGCATATCTTTGAAAATAATATTTCCACCATATTAATATGACCCCCCAACAATTGTAGGAATATGATTTGGTGAAGTATTGTTTGTGGAGGGCTTATATAGCCTCAGGGGTTTCAGCCTTCATGCATAATATGGATTGTGTTTGAAAGACTTAAAATAATGCATCCAGTTTGATTTTGTTATCGCAATTTCAATACTTAAAAAGTTGTACATTCTTAAATTGTAAATTAAATTTTATTCTTATCATTATTTTTCCTGTTATTGTCCTTGCCAGCTGCAATTGTCCTTGTCATCAGTTTTTGAGGAACCATAATAGTCTGTTCTGTTAATGGGAAACTGTGAATAAAAAAAACATTGAACAATTACCTGCATGAATGGCCAGAACAAAAGTCCAGTCTGAAAATAAGAAAAAAGTCAGTTGACATAAGTCCAACTGATAAGATAAGATAAGATAAACCTTTATTAGTCTCACAGTGGAGAAATTTCAGTGTCATCGTTGCGCACATTACAGCAGAGAGAGGAAATAAGAGGACTCAGATTGAACACATCAAAGTCTATTATTTAAGATAATAGACAATAAATTGAAGATAAAATAAAATAAGATAAACTCTGGGCTATAATTGCACTTGGTTTGGAGTATTTACAGATGTCTATATTATACATTAGCAGCGGAGAATATGAGAATATGAATATGAGCAGAATAAACATCAGAAATAATATCAACAGGTAAAGTGACTTGAATGGGAGAATTATCAGATGGATATGAATAATACAGTAAGATATCAACAGGTAAAGTGACTGGTGAAAGGCAGAAATATCAGATATGTAATAATGCAGTAGTACTGATAACAGGTAAAGTGACAAGTGACAAAGTTACTAGTGAATTATCAGTGACACAGTGATAGTGTGTCTCATATTTTACAGAACATAATGATGGAATCCCACTTTAAATGGACCTATATTGGTGTTTTCTCCGTTTTCTCCCAGCTCTGTGCCAAATACGAGGGACAGGGTCAAACTGATGAAACAGCACCAAATGTAAAGGTACCTTTTGCTAGATTATGAGAGTTTACTCAGAATTCTTTAAATTACCTTCCAAGTATTGAAAAACTTCTCCCTCCAGTCCTCAAAGACATCGTCCTTCCCTTCCAAGAAGCTCACTCCTGTATAGGCCACAACAGATGTTAGAATTTCTCAAAAAAATATAAATAATGTAACACAGAAATTAATATAATATATCAAATGGGTGGAGAGGACCTTCCTCAGGTGGAGGAGTTCAGGTATCTTGTTCTCAGTGAGGGAAGGATGGATTGACAGATGGCTCAGGGAGCTTCTGCTGAACCATGGTTGCTGTATCAGACTTACAGTATGTGGTATAGAAGGAGCTGAGTTAAAAGATAAATCACTTGATTTATCTTTCAGTCTGCTCTCTTTGGTGAGGATATGGCTTTTGAGCTCTCAAAAGAATTTTCTTCTGAAGTAGCTGCCAGACCATCATCTATGTAGAGGGGCTGAGCAGCTATTTCAGTGGAAGACTGAGATACCCTCAGTGCAAGAGGGAGCACAAACGCAAGGCCTTCATCTCCACTGTCAGTCTATACAATGAGTCACTTAATGACACACCCTGCGTGATCCTATTGATGCCAAATGAAAAATTTAGCCCTGTATTTTCCAAGTTGAGAGGAGCCAGCTGATGTGGCTACAGCATCTATTCTATCCTGTACACCTGTTCTGGCATGTCCCTCTGGGATGAGACCCTGGGTAAGACCATAGACTACGGACAAGGACAGGACTGAATTGATATAATAAATTATAATTTATGTACGTCTACTTATACCCTAAACTAAATGTATATTTAAAACAAAAACAACATTAAACCAATTTGTGTGTTTCCTGCATGAACATAAAGTTGAATAGCCCTGCTTTTGTTGAAACCATTTATCTCAACAGTTTGACAGACAAAAGCTTTTGCTTTGATTCTTCATAGTCTTTTACTGACACAAAGATCTTATCCATCACTGACCTGTATAGAAGACACTGGTGGCCAGAGGAGATGCAAAGCTTTGGTCAAGGAGCAGTTTTGTAAAAAGAGTTCTGGCAGATTTACCAGGAAAACGTTTTTCCAAAGCTCGCAGCCAGAAATAGTTGAAGTGTCCTTGATAACAGAATCCCACAATAGCCACATTTCTTGTATGTCTCCAGTCCATTTGTTCATTTTTGGCCAAAAGCTGATGAACCAAGTCCCCACTGGCAAACATGCAGCCGTACAGAGTGGCATTGGCCAACCATGGGAATCGTTGGGCAACCTCTTTTAAAACTTTCCTTGGCATTGTAACTTGTCTTATATATACTATAAATATTAATTTGGTAATTCGTTTGGCCTTCTTATAATTCTATGATTAATCCTAATCCAGCAAAAACTATTCTAAATCTAGATATGTTTGTTGCCTTTCTGCCTATCTATTACCATAGACTGTATCTATTACATGCAAAATAAAACATCCATAGGGGGTTAAGATGCAAAAAAAAAAAAAAAATAACTATCATCAGCAGTTCTGATTCAAAGAAAAAATAAAGTAAAAATCAAAGCATATATTTTTTTTTAAATGTTCAGCAGTGTCCTCTGACTGCAGACCTTGAGCATTTGTGTTCTACTGGTTATTCAAATCCCTTCCTCACAAATCCTGCTGCGTGTCAAGCCCTATAATCTGATGGATTGTACCAAGTAGTAGTGTAGAGTACACTGGTCCATCTAAAGTCCCCCCTAAAATGACAGAGAAAGGCTTTGTCGGACTATGGCTAAATAATAATGTGCTGGTTAGAAAGAAAGACAAATACATAAACTAATGTATACATTTTGATGATTCGGTTTTTACCATAGACTGTATGGTTTTACAAAGAAATGTCCAAATCAGATCAATTAGGAATATGTATTATGTACTCGTATTTCATAGGTCTATAATAGAGAAGTGTTTTTCTATGCAAGCATAGTTTTACCTTGGAAGTTGTGGTGTTAAAAAAAAAAAAAAACACGTAAACCATAACGTGGTTTTATTTTGAAACCATTAAATTGCATGACGAGCCGGAAGTCACTGTCCGGAGATTGTGGCTAATGCTAATGCTAATGCTAATGGCAGCGAAAAGGTAAAACTATTCCGAAAATGGCCGGGGTGTTTGAGGTGGAAGTTGATGGCGTGGAGCACAACCATGGACTGGAGCATCATGACGAAGCACATCAGGTAATATTCAGTGACAAAAGCAGTTCATTTGGACAGTTGTTGATTGAGGGCTAACGTTAGCTCCCTCACTAGTAGCTCGCTGCAGTTGCTACCAGTTTGGGACAATCGCCATGCAATCGACTTGTTCAGGGACTTTATATTTCATCCGATGGTAGTCTATTAAGGAGCTCCCCAGAAGAACTGAGCATTCCATTTAATACTGCGTTAAAATCAAAGAGAAAGCCTAATCATTCCATGTATTTTGGTTGTTATTCAGCCCATGGTGTATAAATACATCCCTGATCCTTTTGGGTTCATCTAGATTAGTTAGATTCTTGGGCGTCTATGGTTTGAGTGTGTGTCTAATATCCTACTGCTGTATCTTGCAGGTTTATATTAAATGTTAACGCATACAGTGGTAGTTTAGGTCAGAGGTCAGTCATTGGAATTATTACCAGAGGGTGATCGAAACAACTGGTGAACCCGCTTTAACAAACATGTGTTACTGTAGTTCTATACTCAAGTGCATGATTAAATTATGGTTGATTGTATAACGTCATCATGTTTGTGTTCACAGCAAAGTGTCAATTATAAACTCAGAAACAAAAAATACTATCGTAGATTTGAGGAAAAATTTCAAACACAGACATAAAGAGTATATGAGATTGACAAATCTTTAAAGGGCCAGAGCAGCCTCGGATTTCTATTGTGGCTGAGTGGACTCTCAGCTCCAACAAGATTAACATGGCTAACACAACATAAGGAATAATTTTTGATTTATATCATAATCAATAAAACTGTAAATGACCAAAAATGGAAACAGATAAACATAACCACTATTGAAAACTTGACTGCAGTGCACCCGGAAAGTATTCATAGCGTTTAAATTTTTTCACATTTTGTTATGTTACAGCCTTATTCCAAAATGGATTCAATTCATTTTTTGCCTTACAATTCTATACATAAAACCCCAAAATGACAGCGTGAAAACATTTTTTTGGGAGATTTTTGCAAATGTATTACAAATAAAAAACGAATAAATCACATGTACATAAGTATTCACAGCCTTTGCCATGAAGCTCAAAATTGAGCTCAGGTGCATCCTGTTTCCACGGATCATCCTTGAGATGCTTCTACTGCTTAATTGGAGTCCACCTGTGGTACATTCAGTTGATTTGACTTGATTTGGAAAGGCACACACATGTATAAGGTCCCACAGTTGACTGTGCATGTCAGAGCACAAACTAAGCATGAGGTCAAAGGAATTGTCAGTAGACCTCCGAAACAGGATTGTCTCGAGGCACAAGTCTGGGGAAGGGTACAGAAAAATGTCTGCTGCTTTGAAGGTCCCAATGAGCACAGTGGCCTCCATCATCCGTAAATGGAAGAAGTTTGGAACCACCAGGACTCTTCCTAGAGCTGGCCAGCCATCTAAACTGAGCGATCGGGGGACAAGGGCCTTAGTCAGGGAGGTGACTAAGAACCCGATGGTCACTTTGTCAGAGATCCAGCGTTCCTCTGTGGAGAGAGGAATCCATCTCTGCAGCAATCCACAAATCAGGCCTGTATGGTAGAGTGAACAGACGGACGCCCCTCCCTAGTAAAAAGCACAAGCCAGCCCGCCTGGAGTTTCCCAAAAGGCACCTGAAGGACACTCAGACCATAAGTAAAAACATTATCTGGTCTGATGGGACAAAGATTGAGCTCTTTGGCGTGAATGTCAGGCGTCATGTTTGGAGGAAACCAGGCACTGCTCATCACCAAGCCAATACCATCCCTACCGTGAAGCATGGCGGTGGCAGCATCATGCTGTGGGGATGTTTTTCAGCGGCAGGAACAAGCCCCGGTGATCCAAGATGGCGCTCTATTCAAATGAATGGCTTGTGCTCAGTAGCGCATGGGACTTCAGGGCGCTGACATATCAGAGGGACTCGCCTGTATTTGGGCATCGTCTGGTCCTCCCGGTTCTGCACAGTGGATTATCTACCATGATGCGTTGCGCCAAATACGCGTGATTGGCTCTCATGCACGTGCACAGAGGGGCTCAGCCGCGCTCTGAGTGGTAGAGCGGAGTCAGAGCGGGAAAGAAAATGGCAGAGTTTGTGGCAGTAAATTGTGGATTTAAAGAAAACCGAAGGATTTAAGAAGAAAAAAAGTTCAGGATGACAAACACTAAAATCCCCACAAAATCTGATCTTTCTGATGGCTGTAGGTTCTCTGTTCTCGGTTTTAGTTTACATTAAGATCTATGGGACTTTTTTTCTGGGTAGCCCATGTGAATTTAGTCTGCAGTACCACGGGCGCCCCCTGTGCCCATGGGTGGGACAGCTATAAGCTAGTAACACCCTATCGAGTTATTATTATAGATTTATGGGCTGGAACTAGGAGACTAGTCAAGATAGAGGGAAAGATGAATGCAGCAATGTACAGAGACATCCTGGATGAAAACTTGCTCCAGAGTGCTCTTGACCTCAGACTGGGGCGACGGTTCATCTTTCAGCAGGACAACTACCCTAAGCACACAGCCAAGATAACAAAGAAGTGACTTCAGGACAACTCTGTGAATGTCCTTGAGTGGCCCAGCCAGAGCCCAGACTTGAATCCAATTGAACATCTCTGGAGAGATCTGAAAATGGCTGTGCACCGACACTCCCCATCCAACTTTATGGAGCTTGAGAGGTGCTGCAAAGAGGAATGGGCAAAACTGCCCAACGACAGGTGTGCCAAGCTTGTGGCATCATAGTCAAAAACACTTGAGGCTGTAATTGCTGCCAAATGTGCATCAACAAAGTATTAAGCAAAGACTGTGAATACTTATGTGCATGTGGTTTCTTAGTTTTTTTATTTTTATTAAATTTGCAAGAATCTCTAAAACTTTTCATGTTGTCATTATGGAGTGTTGTGTGTAGAATTGTGAGGAAAAAAATGAATTGAATCAATTTTGGAATAAGGCTGTAACATAACAAAATGTGGAAAAAATGAAGCGCTGTGAATACTTTCCGTATGCACTGTAACTAGACAGAAGAGGTATTTGGCTGGATAAAAAAAACATTATCTTCTGATTATTAAAATCAAATTTCTGTCCTTCTGTCACACTTTTATACACTTTAGTATGAACAACCCCTCTGGTTTGTTAATTATTATTAGGAACGTAGTACATAATGATAGTTACACAATAAGACAATATTCTGCACTGTTCTTTTGTTTTGATAGATTGACCTGTCCAAGCTTTCACCAGAGGAGAAATGGAGGTTGGTTGTATACACTGCATTACATTACCTTGTATCACATTTCATTGGACCTGAATTAGATATCTTCTATTAACGTATTTTTCTCTATACAGGGTGGAACATGCACAAATGCATGCCAAACATAGAGGCCATGAGGCAATGCATGCAGAGATGGTCTTAATCCTAATAGTCACTTTAGTCATTGCTCAGCTAGTTCTTGTCCAATGGAAGCAAAGACATTCTAAATCGTACAACGTAAGACTAATCTTTAATTCTTATCATTTGATATCATTTGTGTCTTGTGATCTTACCAATTCTTCATTTTGTAGTTGGTGACCCTGTTTCAAATGTGGGTGGTACCACTCTACTTTACAACCAAACTCCATTGGTGGAGATTCCTGACCACCTGGTTTATCTTCTCCACCATCACAGCATATGTCTCGTTTCGTGCTACTCGCAAGCCACTTGCCTGCACTACACCAAGGTGTATATTGTGAATTTGTTTACACTAGCTTACAAAAGTATTAGAAGTACTTTTGCACATTTTGTCATGTTTTTGACCACAAACACACACACACACACACACACACACACTAAATAGTTTGTGTTGCTTGCCAGCAACTCTTCTAACTCTGCTTCTCTAACTTTAGGTTGGTGTACAAGTGGTTCCTCCTCCTCTATAAGATTAGCTACTCCACTGGAATAGCTGGATACAGTGTTGTCATGTTTACACTCTTTGGTATAAACCTTATATTCAGGTATGTGTGTATTTTGTGAAAGATTATAGAGCAGTTTTATGTTTACACATAAGTGCTCACTCAGAATAGTAGGACTGACTAGTTAAACTAGTAATGCTTATTTCTGGTTGTTGCATCAAATTGTTTTTCACAAATACATCTGGAATAGATAGACTAACCTACCTTATTCTTCTAAAACAGGATAAAACCAGAGGATGCTATGGATTTTGGAGTCTCCCTCCTCTTCTATGGCCTTTACTACGGGGTCCTTGGACGGGACTTTGCAGAAATGTGTGCTGATTTCATGGCATCCACAATAGGTGTAAGTTTTATTATTTCAAGGCAAGCAGTTTTCCTCCCAAGCGAGTTCTGCACAATACAATCCTTCTAATCAATGTATTTATGTAACCTTGTTTCAGTATTACAGCGCTTCTGGAATGCCAACCAAGCACCTGTCTGATGATATCTGTGCAGTGTGTGGTCAGCCCATCCTTGTGGATGTGAATGAGGAAGGCATCATCGAGAACACCTACAGGCTGAGCTGTAATCATGTGTATCCTATACAAAATAAAATCTTATGTACCTTTATTCTTTTTTTAATGAAATTCGCTTTTTAACTGTTATTCAATGTTTGCAATGCCTTAATTCTACATCCAGTTTCCATGAATTCTGCATAAGAGGATGGTGCATTGTGGGTAAGAAGCAGATGTGCCCATACTGTAAAGAGAAGGTTGACTTGAAGAGGATGTTTAGTAACCCGTATCCTTTTGAAATATGTGACTTCTGATATTTAATTAATTCAACAATTATTCACCTGTTAGTTATTGTGCTTCTTGACCTGCTGTCCAGTTGGGAAAGGCCACATGTCATGTATGGACAGCTTTTGGACTGGCTTCGATACCTAGTTGCTTGGCAACCTGTGATCATTGGGGTTGTTCAAGGGATCAACTACATTTTGGGTTTGGAGTGAACTTCAAGATGCTAAAAATGGACTTTGAGATTATAAATTGACATTGCACTGGCTGTTGGCCCTGACGTTGAACTATTATCTTAAACTGTCCCCTTTTGTACATATTTTTAGGATCTAAACTGGTTATGGGTTATGGTTATCAAAACGTTAATCTTTTATTTCAAATCACTGAAGCAATGGCAATTAGTGTAATTCATGGCCTATAAATGCAGCTCTAAAATTAATGGGTTGCTTTAATTTATTAATTTATGTTTATTTTAAGGAAGGTGATGCTAAACATTCTGAGAAAAGGTCATGGGGCTAATACTTCCCCTGAAACTGACCACATGAGATATTACAAAAGAGATGTACGTGATAAGTGAACATTCGGTTGACAACGAATCATCAATATGTTTACTTGCCTTGGTTTGTGAATTTAAAACCATGCTCAGACCCTTATCTTCAACATTGCAAATTAATACGCCACTAGATATGGAAGAATAAAGTACCTCACAAAATGCCAACAAATGTCAACTGAATCGTACTGTGTGAAATGGGGCTGAACTGAACTAACAGGATTTTGTTTTTAAAATTAAAATGTCATCACGTTTAAGCGTCTTTGTAATTTTTTTATTCACTCTCAGATTGCGTCATAACATTTCTGGACAAGCAGTTTGTGTGCCTCATTTACTGTACGTGACAGTTCTTGGTTAAAACTTTTGTGGGCTAGTACTAAAGGGAATTTGCCTGTAATGGCCTTGTGAGTGGGAGTAGGGAAGTCTTGTTTGTGTATAAATAGTGGTCATTTGGATTTATCCGATAACCTCGACAATGAAGTCTTTGCATATCTTCTCAGGTAACTATAATTAGAATGTTTATATATAAATATTATATATATATATATATATGTTAAATATTATTTGTAATCCTCTAATCTGTAGGATTTGGTGTATTGGGGTTTTAGGCTTTATTGTCGCAAATATATTGAACCATTCCATTTTGCTTTGAATGTTCATCTTCAATGTAACTCAAGGGCACAAACTTTATTACCAATTTCTAACTCTGAATTTTAGCCTTTACTACTTACTGCTGGCTTTTCATAGATGGGTTTCCAGGTAAGTCATTTTTCTTAACACATAATGCAAAGTTACTTAACAATGTAAAATATTTCTATGACTTCTGTAAGTAGTTGAAGACGGTGTACCGACCATTATTGGCTCTGATCAAGTTCGTATATTCACTCATCCAGGTAAATACAGAACCCAGCTTGTGTGTCATGAGCTTGTTTAGGTCCCATGTTTGATGCACCCTTTATTTTGTCTTATATTTCTTCTTAGGGAAGGTTCTGGCGCTTCACTGTGAGGCATTGACAAACCAAGCTGATGCTACTCTCATCTATTGGCTTATAAATGGTACATTTCCTGAAGACATGACAAGCAGTGAAAGAATTGTGGAGCTTGAAGAGTGAGTGGTTAATAATACTTGGGTTTGTAGCTTTACTTGTTATCCTCAACAATGTACAATCATGTGTTTTCTGTTTTAGATCAACAGCAATGCAGGGAAAAATCCTTCAAAGAAATCTACTTTTGAAAACAGTCTCACAAGAGGATTTTAAAAGCATCTTTACTTGTATCGTAACCAATGCATTTGGTGCAACTCAAAAGTTCACCAAATTGACAATGACTGCACATAAACTCCAAAAAGAAAAACCACTTATGAGAAGTGCATGAAACATTATTTCATTATAGTATCAGTATCTACTGTTGAGTACAGCTCTTGCATTTTGTCTTTCTTTAAAACACGTGTAACACTATATTAAAGCTGATTACTGTAAACATGTCTGTGTTTTTCGATGGCTACTGCATAAGCTCCTCCAAACAGATCTCCAAGTTTACTCTAGCTGAATGCTGTTTTTCTAACATCTTCATCAAAAGATGTTCTGCTTCTCTTGCAAATGATTTCCATTTCACATTGAGATTGAAAGTTGTTTGGATGAGTTCAGCGTTTTTTGGGTTGGACATACCGAATAAAAAGCGCATAAAAATGTCTAGTTTGCCATCTTCACAAGTCAAACTTCTCTCCAATGCATGTTTGTGCAAATTAGAAGACCCTTTCTTGTTTTTACTGAACGTCCATGTCATTCTGCCTTTTTCTGGCTCAAAAACATTTGTGTCCTTGTTAACGAAAGACAGAAATGCATACAGGGCTGAGAGATATTCCTGAATAGTGGGGTGGAGAAAGCCAAATATTCGTTCTTCTACAAACAGAAGTGGTTTAGTGTAGAACAGGGTGCAAAGGCCGCTGTGTGTCACAGCTTCAACTGCATCCACCCCATCATCGTCTTGGTAGTTTATACTTAGGAAATACTCCCCTTTTTCCAACATGTTAAAGGCGCGTCTTCCAAGTGTCATAATGAATTCTTCCATCTTGTTAATGGTGACTTTTTGGCCCTTGTAATAATCATTTAGGAGAGCTAGTAAAAGCCTTGTGTACCAGTAGGTAATTCCTTTGGGTAGTTTCGCCTGTGCGCCCTCCTTGTTGAATATGGTTTGGCACAAATCTGACAGTAAAGAGCAAAACAATGGGAGGTAGCACATGATGTGGAGAGTTTTGGAGGACTTTACATGGGCAATGACATTTATAGCCTGACTCTGGTCTTTAAACCGCATCTTGAAATACTTCTCTCTCTCCTCTTCTTTAAAGCCGAGCACCTCATATGCACAGTGGCGCGTGTCCCAGGGAATGCAGTAGTCTATCAGTGGCCGAGAAGTGAACAAACAGTAGCCAAATTTAAGTAATTGTTCTCTGAGGATGTTTGCAATGAGAACGTTCAGTTTTGCAGGCTCTTGGATGTCGAAAACAAGCATTGCCTTTTCATAGTTGATATCCTCAGAAATGTCTTCGAGACCATCAAAGATATACATGATCTTGCATTCTTTGTTACTGAAGTTGTCAATTTTCAGTCTTTTGGTTTCAGGATACAATGAATGTAAGATATGCAAAAAGGAAACGTCTGAGTCTCCAAATTGTTGCTTTAGCGCCTTTAGTGGCAAAGGAAACATTAGTGTAAAACTGTCATGAGCTTTCTGATTACTCCAATCGTGGATTAATTTCCTGATGACCATTGACTTCCCAGATCCAGCAGCTCCATGCAATACAATCAGTTGTTCATTTCTCGTTTTTATGAATTCTGAGCTGAAGATATCGTTAATACAAATATCTTTTCCCTCTGTAGTTTCTGGTTTTTGTATCAACATTACTTCATGTTCAATATTGGGGCCATTGTCATGCACTGATTTGATGTGAAGATCAATAAAGACTTCATCCAAAGGTTTTTCATCTCCTTGCGAACATTCCACTGCTCCATACATCATCTTCAACCTCTGCCTTAATTCATATTGCACTTCATCTGCAAAAAATAAAGCCCAAAAAAGTATTTTAATTGATGTAATGTGTGACATAAATAATGTTAACACAAATGTAACAACTTTAGCTTAGTATATTTTAGTATTTGTAGTTACTTTGTAATTCTAAGTCATCCAGAAAGTCAACCAGCCTCCTCAGCTCAAGGTCTCGCAGCCGAGTCTTAGTAATTTGCAGAGACTGTAGGCCATAGCACTCAAGCAGCCGGTCCACTACGTTTACAATATCCATGGTTTGTGGAGCGGTGTTGAAAGACTGTGGGTAGTGCTGCCACAAGGACTTCCGAAACGCATCAAAACCCTGGGGTTTCAGCTTCTGGAGGACTTTACAAATAGCCTGAATCATACAACAAGAATTTAATGTTTATATTAACAAAATTATTCAAATAAATGGACGAAAACTCACCTTAAAAACAAATGGAATTGTGAGAGAAGAATGAGAAATCTCATTGGTATTTTTGCTAAATGTTGAAATCAAATTCTCATCTGTATCATCATCTGCACCATCTCCTTGTTTAACTCTATACAATAAAGAAACAATGTAACACAAATGTAAGAAAAGTAAAATATTTGAAGAACAAATAATGTAATCAATTTGTCTATAATAAGTCCGACCGGGATTCGGTCCTGGATTCGAACCCAGGACCTTCTTGCTGAGAGTGCTATCCACTCAGCCACCGTGCCGCCCAATAATATAGACTACATACTTTAATGTTCTTATTTCACAGTCATCACTGTCCACAGAGTAACAGGAAGAGAAAGAGTCAGTTCTTTGCAGATGAACCCTATAACAAAAAACCATTGTTGATTTATAATGATATAACAGATGGATCATAAATGACATGGCCTTAAATGTGATGTTCTTACGTTGTATTTGATCGATCATCCTCTGATGAGTTAATAGAACTACTAATTCCTTCACTACTCATTGACGTGTAACTTACAACTGGGGACTTGGGCTGCTCCACATGAACCCTGAGGAAAAAACAGCTTTGTAAAAAGTCAAGTCTCACCTGTCATACCTCTTAAACAGTTTTGCATTCATTGAAGTCTTTGATCACATATTTTTTAAGAAACCTTGGACTGTTTTCTGCATAACCAATACTGTGTAATAACAGTTTAATAAATAGAAAAAGGTTATTACAATACGCCTGTTTCCCCAGGACTTTGCCCAAGATCCAGAGAGGGTCTTCTTTCAGGAATATAGTAGAGATCTTCATCCTCATCCTCCAGCTCTTCAATAGGAAGGCTCTCCATGCTCGCAGAGGCCTCTTCATCCAGGTAACTGCCTGTCGGCGAGTTCATCTCTATGTCCAATGCAGAATCTTCCATTATTTTGTTCAGTTCAGATAATGATGAGTCTTGGTTACAAAGGAGAACGTCCCCACCTGCAGGGAAATGAAGGAATACCATTACATATCTTAAGTTTTGTAATTTACTACATTCAAATACATTGACTTCATCAAATACATTGTTTGTATTTGATGAACAAAACGTGAACTTCACTTTCATATTAATGATAATAAATCATAAGACAAGACAAAGAGAACGCTCAAATCTAACAATTACATATAAACAAGAATAAGTGATAAATATGTCTATGCAGACGCCAACACGTTCGTTAATAATAATAACAACTGACATACCTTAACAAGGGCTGCACTTTGTCCATTCTACACATAGAAATGACCATGAGTTCAACACACTATCCAGGAAGTGTAAGTGTCGTGACACGCCAGCATGGATCTCCAGATATTTAAAAAAAACATCAGGAATCTTCTTCTCCAAATAGCTTCGGCAGGTTTCACGCTGATTTAGCGTAATGCTGCCCCCTCTGGTGAGTATCCGACGTTACATACTTCTACTTTACTTTTACTTTTTGCTCATGGCTGTTCCTTCATGAGCAAAAAGTAAAAATTCAGAGTGCCTTTAAGATCAAATAGTGCAAAAGGTTACTCATTCTTTTTTAAACTGGACTTAAGAATTAGACCAGGTATGTAAAAGCTGTACACAGAACGTCATATTATTCCATAAAACATTTCAATCCTTTCAAACAAGCGAGTATACTGCACAGTACACTCTAGTGGTACCATTGAGAAACTGCATTACCGTCTCAGCCATAATAGTCTACTTGGTTCTTTAATGAAGAATCGAGTAATCGCTTATCGCTTATATCATCACTGGAGAACAGATATGAAATCTGACAGGCTGTGTGCAGTCCTTTTGGAACTGCGCCTGTTTGTGAGTTCCCACTTCGCTCCACTTCGTTTTGATGTGCAGGCGAACAACGACATATGTTCGATGCATTCTTGACATCGACGTTTACATTTGCTTTTCATTTGTAAAACACAAATTTCGCTAAAATGCCACCAAATCAATGCAGAAGGTATAAGTGAAGCCCCTCCTCTTTCTTTCCCGCGCCCTCCTGGCACTTGTCTCCATCGTGCGTTGGTCCAGCGCATAGACAGGAGTCACACAGAGGATCACTGAGGATGAGGATGCACGGAGCCCACTCGCCCCTCTACAGGGCTCAGTACTGAGGGTATGGATGCTCCAGGAGGTGGTCAGCACTGATGCAACAGGATCACAGCCGTGCACCTCGCCTCAGGAACAACAGGGACAGCTTGGTGATGCGAAACACCGCTACAGGAATGTGCGCAAGTCTCTTCGGATTCACGTACAAGCTTCATTTGGACTCACTTCAATGTAGTCTTTAAAAACTCAATTTGTGCAACGGGAAAAAAATATTTGCAACGATACCGAAGCTCAGGAGAGGCTGAGGTGGACCACCCTCTCAGTGTCTATCATAGTGTAGTCCACACAAACTTCTGCCATGGCACTCGTGATGGAGCCAGTAAGCAAGTGGAGCTCATCTCAAGTAGTCGACTGGATGAAAGGTAGGCTATCAAAAAAGGCAGACAAACTCTATTGCCATGCTATTGCTTTGTAACATCACAAATAGAAACGCACACCAGCCCTCAGAGAAAGAACAAAACACCTGCTGATCCTGGCTGTAACAAGGGTAGGCTTTATTTGATGACTGCTTCAAAGCGTGTTTTAATTAAGACTATCTCTAGGCTAAGGATAGGCTCAACAAATCCAAACAGTGGGCGTTTTAGGAATCTCTATTGTGTCTTGCATCGCTTATGTCAACGCGTGAGACTCCCTGGAAAACTGCACCCTTCTAAGGATCGAACCTGAGGCTATTGAAGAAAATGAAAATACTGACACGCAGTTAATAATACTTGATAATTCATCTGATACAAAGATTTAAACATGTATCTAGTGAATTATAGGCCTGGCTATACTCAAGCTTTGTATTTAAAACCTGTGTATTTCCTGTTCACACATATATGTTCCTCTCTCACCTTTATGTCTATAGGCTCAGCTCAATTGTATCAACAATTGAAGTTATTGGTAATTGGAGACTGAAGATGGATGCTGGCTTGCATTCCTGCTTATCTGGACAGTCAGTGTGCTAGTTGCATCACTGTTCCTGTTCATTTTGGCTAGTAACAAGTTCGTCAACAAATTTTAATTGAATTAGCATGAGATAATATCTTTCTTCAATAGGGTTTACTGCCTGAATAATAGGCGTGGATAACTGGACTTCAATGGACTCAATTGGCTCAACGTCATAAGAATTAATTCAGATTGATTGATTGATTACGATGATCAAAATGACCATTATCTCATTATTACCTAATGATTTTTATACATTCAGACATAGTTTATCTTCTTTGTTTTGTGTGTTGTGTAGCTCATTTGTCCTTTTTGGATCCTAACATAGACTGGCAACCTCTATTGTTCAGATTTAGGGTCCTAGTGAAATATTTTCAGTGCAGTTGAGTTGTATACATGCTTTTCTATCAACTGTCAACAGCACTGAAACTGACAGAAATCCACTTCTTGAATTCTCCATTAAATGCACCTTGTGTTCTTTCTGCTTTCAGAAGTTACTAAATTACAACTAAATGAACAGGTTGTACTTATTTCTTAAAAAAGAAATAAGGATCTCTCACATTGTAAACCATTCTAAATTGTGGTGCATTCTTGTGAATGGTGTGCAATATTTTGTCTTTTTAAGTTTGGCTAAGCTGCGTTACAAAGTCAGACGTGTGAAGTTCTCCTCTTATTTCTTAAAATGAGGCTTGAGAATGTGTTAGTTGTGACAAGTCCTTGTATCAGCAGAAAAATTATCCCTCTCTCAATGTGGATCTCCTCGAGGTTTCTCACTTTTCTCCCACTCGGTTTTAGAGTTTTTCCTTGCCGATGCAGGAGGGTATTTTATGGGGCATTCAGAATGGGGCGTTAGACAGTTAGTGTCTGACAAGAAGGACTGTGGTGATGATCCAGGACACTTTAACATTCTACAACATGTACGGACATTTATCAACATTCATGAACATTGGTCTCTCCCTATGGACCAATATAATATGTCTCTTATATTTTTTGTGTCTTAACGGTTGATTCTCTTTGTTAAGTCGACTGAGATGACTGCTGTTGTGATTTAGGGCTATACAAGAATATATTAGATTGAATTGAATTGAATCGCTAATAGGCCAATGTATTTGACACGTTGACTGAATGTGGCTCATGTGATACAGCTCTTTAATGTCCCATTTTTGACAATTGGAGCAGCGGCTGTCTCAGTGCCCAGAGCCTGATGATGCTCATATAAAGAGCAGGGAAGGGAACTATTTATTCTTGTCTCCTCATTTCTATACAAACTGGCAGTGTTTTGTCGACTTTACCATTCACACGTCTCATTATAAGCACAGCTCTCTAGGGTGACACTGGAGGCCAAACAGGGCCAAACTGTGACCTTCCCACTATCCCACGGACAGTCCCTCCTCCACCTCCTGCTGTAGTGTTTTGTGTGAGAGGGTGCCCCTTTCCCAGCTGTGACAAAGGCCGTTTAAACAAGAGGGTCTCATAAGTACACACAAACGATTCTGACTTAGGTGACAATTTGTCCACCTACTAGTGGTGTGTGTGTACGCAACAGGGCTGCAATATTTCGGACCAACATGTGATGTTTGATACTCTGTATATTTGAGTATCTCTGTATATTTGAAATTGTTTGTTTGTGTAGTTAAAATAGCATCTTGATAACATAGACACATTTTGAACCTATAGTTCAGTCATTTGTTCTATCACTCTAAAAACAGATACAAAAAACTGTATACATTTTTTGGTTTTGGACACATCTACTACATGGTAGATATGTGTCCAACTGATCTTTTGGTAAAAACAACCAATCTATAGTATAAATGATCATTTTCTAATTTTTTTCGACCTGTGTTGCTTCACGGGGGAAATAAATACAAAATGGTCAATCTGACTGATTTAGTTGGTAGTTCTGTAGCCATCTTTTAGTAATAACAACCTTAATGTAAATAATGTTGTGAAATTATGAAATGTTTCTTTTGGGATGAGAAAATAATGCTTTTGCTCGACACAACTTTAATGGAAGATACTTGATCCATTGACAAATCTTCAAAATGTTCTCAAATCAAGAAATGTTCCCAAATTGAATGAATCATTGCTTATCTTTATTCCCTTTTTTTACATATTTCTGTTTGTATTAATTTATTTGATAGGAACAAATAGGAACCCTTCAACATTTATAGCCAAGGCTGAAAAGCAATGTCCGTCCCGAGAAGGGCTTTTTGTCCTGTATCCTGATACTTAAACTTTGCAGTTAAACTAGATTGTAAACCTCATTTATAAAAACACTTGGCATTTGGCTTCAATGAGTGTGACAATAAATAAAGCTATTATTTTTTATATTGAGCCACATATTGACAGAAAATTTGAAACAACAATAAAAAAATCATTATCCACTTTAGAAGAAATCCTCCACAACTCAAGTGAAGCATTTTGATGTCATGTTTTTGAAGCACTGATAATGTAGGCTTAGTATAATCCCTTATGTCCAAATACAAATTTGTGTTTGTGCTTTGCTATCAGTGGAATAGTGGTCTCATTTCTCTCTACTTGTTTGGCACTGATGATGAAAAAAAAAGACAAAACTGCCATTATCACAGAGCGAACAGCCTTGTCAATCTGCTTCAGCACCATTAGTGGATTATGTCAACGACAGATTAGAATGTGTTGGTGCTGCTTTTAATTTCTCCTCCGCCCGCTTTAATCTGACCTATGGAGGGGAATGGACAGACTCACTCATGTAGCACAGATAATCTCTTGTCATGGACAAGTTTGAGACTAGTTAGTACATTTTCTGAATTTATGAAAATATTGCAGTAATAGTTCTATTTCTGTGAGTCAGTAATGAATAATACAATCTAGAGCACTGGTCTTGGAGTGGGTAAAATTCCATGTATTGAGATTTTTATTATTACAGGATTAATGATAAAAGTAATAGAGAAGAGATTCATAGTTTGGCTGTATGTACTGTGTGTCTTTTCACCACATCGTGTTTTTAAAAAATAATCCTCAAAATGTGTAATTGCTTTTCAATACCTTGATAGCTGATATCCGACATGCTTCCAACTCTCCATTTACTTCTGCATTTTCTCAAAGAGCAAATGCTCTACAAGATTGGGCCAGCACGCCCGGACCTTAGTCATCAGAAATATTAATAATTAGATGGTGTCTGCAAATATTGAATATATGTATTTTCTTCAGAATGTTATTTTAAAGTGGATGTAGACCAAATTCAGAGATGGACAGTTTCGAAATGTCTATAAAGTAGTATTGCATTATTTAATCTTGTGAAATTAGTGGACTTGGATCATTACAGAGAGAAACCTATAAAATACTAGTGCTTATGTTTGTGTAAGCCCTCAGTCGTACAGGGATTAGTCAAAGCAAAGGAAGGTTTCTCACCCATCATCTGTACTTCTTAGCAAGTTTTCCCGACGTTTCGTCCTCAACCTGGGGACTTCTTCAGGGAATGAATTCTCGGACCGCGCGTTGGAGATTTATAACCTATGGGTGTGGTAAGCCACACCCTAATCCTGATACTAACTCGTAAACAATCTCAGGTCTGCTTGATGTAGAAGGGAGCAGGTCTAACGACCCTGCTGAGGCTAACGACCCTAACTCCTTAGCATGTCACAGACCTATTGTCTGCTGGGATCATCAAGTGGAGTGCAGGTTTCACCCCTCCTAACTCATTAGCATGTCACTGACCTATTGTCTGCTGGGATCATCAAGTGAAGTGCAGGTTTCACCCCTCCTAACTCATTAGCATGTCACTGACCTTGTCCCAAGTTAGGGCGTTGTTTTTAGGATGTCGTCATAGATGCGAGGCAAAACAAATCTTAACCCTCCTCCTCTGTTAAGAGAAGGTTTCTGTTTCCTCACAAAAATAGCTTCTTTCACCCCTCTCTCAAACCAATTCTTCTCCCGAGCCAGAATTTTAACCTCTGTGTCATCCACCGTGTGGTTGGAGGCCTTGAGGTGGAGATGAACAGCCGACTGTGGCCCACTAGAGTTTTCTCTACGATGTTGGTAAAGTCGTTTCTGTAGAGTTTGTTTGGTTTCTCCAATATAGTGGTCAGTGCACTCCTCTTCACTACATTTAATTGAATACACCACATTGCTCTGTTTGTGTCTGGGTGTTTTGTCTTTGGGATGCACTAATTTCTGTCTTAACGTGTTGAAAGGTTTGAAATACACAGGGATTTTGTGTTGCCTAAAGATTCTTTGTAGTTTCTCTGAAACTCCCGCCACATACGGTAAGGACACCCCTCTCCTCCTACTTTCTTCTGTCTGTTGGACTGTGTCTCTGGCCTTTCTCGTCCTTTGGGCTTTAGTAAAAGACCACTTGGGGTAGCCACATCTGGAAAGTGCTCTCTGAACATGTTTGGTTTCTCTGTTCTTTCCCTCCGAGCTCGTGGGGACCTGGTGGGCTCTGTGTTGAAGCGTTCTAATGACCCCGAGTTTGTGTTGTAGCGGATGATTTGAATCAAAAGCCAAGTACTGGTCAGTGTGAGTGGACTTTCTGAAGACCTCAGTCTCTAATTGTCCGTTCTCCACTCACACTGACCAGTACTTGGCTTTTGATTCAAATCATCCGCTACAACACAAACTCGGGGTCATTAGAACGCTTCAACACAGAGCCCACCAGGTCCCCACGAGCTCGGAGGGAAAGAACAGAGAAACCAAACATGTTCAGAGAGCACTTTCCAGATGTGGCTACCCCAAGTGGTCTTTTACTAAAGCCCAAAGGACGAGAAAGGCCAGAGACACAGTCCAACAGACAGAAGAAAGTAGGAGGAGAGGGGTGTCCTTACCGTATGTGGCGGGAGTTTCAGAGAAACTACAAAGAATCTTTAGGCAACACAAAATCCCTGTGTATTTCAAACCTTTCAACACGTTAAGACAGAAATTAGTGCATCCCAAAGACAAAACACCCAGACACAAACAGAGCAATGTGGTGTATTCAATTAAATGTAGTGAAGAGGAGTGCACTGACCACTATATTGGAGAAAACCAAACAAACTCTACAGAAACGACTTTACCAACATTGTAGAGAAAACTCTAGTGGGCCACAGTCGGCTGTTCATCTCCACCTCAAGGCCTCCAACCACACGGTGGATGACACAGAGGTTAAAATTCTGGCTCGGGAGAAGAATTGGTTTGAGAGAGGGGTGAAAGAAGCTATTTTTGTGAGGAAACAGAAACCTTCTCTTAACAGAGGAGGAGGGTTAAGATTTGTTTTGCCTCGCATCTATGACGACATCCTAAAAACAACGCCCTAACTTGGGACAAGGTCAGTGACATGCTAATGAGTTAGGAGGGGTGAAACCTGCACTCCACTTGAGCATCCCAGCAGACAATAGGTCAGTGACATGCTAATGAGTTAGGAGGGGTGAAACCTGCACTCCACTTGATGATCCCAGCAGACAATAGGTCTGTGACATGCTAAGGAGTTAGGGTCGTTAGCCTCAGCAGGGTCGTTAGACCTGCTCCCTTCTACATCAAGCAGACCTGAGATTGTTTACGAGTTAGTATCAGGGTTAGGGTGTGGCTTACCACACCCATAGGTTATAAATCTCCAACGCGCGGTCCGAGAATTCATTCCCTGAAGAAGTCCCCAGGTTGAGGACGAAACGTCGGGAAAACTTGCTAAGAAGTACAGATGATGGGTGAGAAACCTTCCTTTGCTACTAGTGCTTATGTTAGATTTCCCTGCATTCCATCCAAAAATAACCACGTCATTGGTTTGTCACAAAATATCTGGTTCGGTTATGTTTAAAGCCAAACAAAACATTCCAAAAATACGATCCATACCCATATTCAAAGTGTAAAGTTTGCTCAAAAGGCCTGTTTAAAGAAATAAAAGCACAATTAATGCAACATGTGAGCCATAATCAAACCTTCCTGTCATGGGCAAGACACTTAACCCTACTTTGCCCGAAGCCCGGTCGTGCCCACTTTGCCTGAAGCAGGCTGTAATTGCCACCTTCCGCAATAGCAACAAACACCTTTTTTTTAATTAAGATTGAAAGGTCTTTTTTGGCCTTTCAATCTTAATGAATTGGCCTGTTGAACTCAGCATATGTCAATCAAACTTTCAGAATCGGCCTCAGAGAATCCACATTGGTCGATCATTAACTTTGATTGTCCGAACATAGTTTGAAGTCCGTTCTTCTGGAGTACTTCATCTCTTCCCTTTATTTCTTTATTTGTCCCCGAGGTCAGAGACACCCCAGCCAAAACCTTCTTGCCAGTCTCCATGGTAACATAGGAATGGGGGGGGGGGGGGACTTCATTGATTAAATAAAACTCAATTAAGTGGGAAAACAGCTGATTATTTAAGGCTTGAAGGTTCCCGCAGAGGCATGAAACTCTTTAAGTTTCCAGTCTTTGGTTGAACTGGCAGTCAAACCCAGCAAGAATACTTGATCAGGGTCCGCCTTCGTCTTCAATGTTGGATGTTCTTTTCTGTGAGATGAGCTCAGGGCTGCGAGAGAAGAGTCTAAGTGTATAGAAAACCCTTACAAAAGATACTCCCCCTGTCAGAAGGACAAGTGTTTAGCATGCAAGAAGTTGTGTGGAATTTCAGGCCATGCACACATTATTTAAATAAAAAATATATATAAACCAAAATTTCTTATCTTGTTTTTCCTTTACCTGCGGTTTGAGTAATGTGGAGTTTTTGTAACCATTTGTAACCTAAGAACGTGAGGCTTTTGCTTTTTATATTATAATCATTACTTGAACAGGACACAATGGAATTACAATTAAAAAAAACTACTTCATGACTTTTTTAAGGAAATAGCCCTGTGAACGTTTTGCTTTTAAAGTTTTGTTTTAGTTTTCTTTGTGTAAAGTTTAGCTTTCTGGGACAGTGCACAGAAACATTAAGCACAGAGACAAATATGTTCTGCACCAGATTTTTGCTAAACAGCTAATTTCCATTTGCAGTCTCTGTAACATCAAATTACAACAATAGGTAAGTACAATTGCATGTAAAGGTGATGTAAGTAAATATTCTTGACCACCTGGCCTGGTTTTACATTGTACAGCTCCCCCTCTCCTATGCCTTTTTATAAATTAGAGCATAGTTAAACCAAAGGAGAGTTGGCTTGCCTGTACATCACTGGTTTTATTTTAACCTAAAGAATATTTTACTTCTATTTCGTCCAGTTAGGAAGCAGTGGGTGTGCATAGGCAGGTCTTATCAGCGCCAAGTGGCATTCGTTTATATATCATGCTAGTTGTCGCAGGAGGTGGAAGTATTTCTGAAATTGTTGATTTTTTTGAGCAACTGTCAATCAAATATGGCTTTGACACTTCCCACACAGTCATGATATTGCAGATTATCCATCCAGGCCGGCAATTTTTTGATATTCTACAGCATGTTCAGTTTCTAACATGCCATAATATTTAGCTATACAAATGGACCTTCTATCTTAATTAAAAAGACATTTAGGATAATCACTTGTTTATTCAATCCCTACTGTTACATGAGCTATATAAGCTCATTTGTCAATGCAATGTCATATTACTCAGTGTGTCTGTCTGTTTTTGTAATGCTGTATTTCATGTTGTCCTTCCTGTTCTTTGCTCCAGGTTTGGATGATTGCCTGCAGCAGTACATAAAGAACTTTGAGAGAGAGAATGTGGGGGGAGACCAACTGCTGCGGATCACCCATCAGGAGCTGGAGGATCTGGGAGTGTCTCGGATCGGACACCAGGAGCTCATCCTAGAGGCTGTGGATCTGCTGTGTGCCCTGGTCAGTCTCAAACATCACGGAAAAAGCGTCCTCTTCAAGTGACGCTTTCACATATAGTACACAGCTTAGAAGGAGAATTATTGGTTGTGACTGACTGAACTGAACTGATGAATTATATTAACTTTGGAAAACTATTAGAAAAAACATATTGAACTTAGTTCTGGGCAGTACAGCTGATTCCATATACACAACTTTGTAAAAATGAGCGTGGTAAAATAAAAAAATAGTCTGATATTGTATTATTAGAGGCCTCATATTGTTATTATTAGTACACACACAATGGACATTTACCTGTCTCCCTTCCTCTTCTGTCTTTCTGTCATGGGTGTTTGTATTTTTTGTGTTTAATGGTTAATTTGGATGGGACAGTGCATATTCATGAACATCATGTGCTGTAAATACACCAGATTGTAGCTATGTACCTAATTTTCATCTGTAGAACACAAACCTATTGTATACTGTATGTTTTTAGTGGTAGGGAAAACCGGAGTACCTGGAGGAAATCATGCAAACTCCACACAGGAAGTCCTGGAGGTCAAATCAAACCTAGGACCCTCTTGCTGTGAAGCACAAGTGCTATCCACTGTGCCATTGTGCCGTCCCACCGCGTAATGCAGTTCTGACGTCTCTGCATCGTTTTGACGTTTTTGTAATTGCGACCACTTTATAGTGAATGACAGCAGTTCCACATCCTACGCAGCTGTCATTCACTACACCGACAGCCTCAGAAAGCTCAAATCAACCCCCACAGTTCAGATAGCTCCAAACAGGGAAGTCAACGAGAAGAATATACCCCAGTTACCTAATGTAACTAAGGTTCTATGAATATGTTGCTCTCGGAAGCACCGCTTCCGACCCTGAGAAGATCAAACGATCAACTGCTCTTATCAACTTCACGTCCTGGCATAGGCCAGTCCCCTATATAAGGACCCTGCACCGCAGCTCTTCTCTTTTAGCGCAGGCCTGAAGATGTAACTAACATACCTTAGTTACATTAGGTCAGCCAATCCCAAAGTCAGTAACACCCTTAAAAATCTGACGGGTCTGCGCGGCCCCCCAAAATAATAATCAAGAAGACAACGTCAAAAATAGGCTCTTCTCGTTATTTTATTGGGGGGGAAATAGCCTCTGCTACAAACATGTAAATGACCCACCCCATTTTGTAATACAAAAATTCAATTTAATTTAACATACAAATTTTGCCTCCCAAAAGTGGGTCTCCCCACTTTTGGGAGGCAAAAGTGGGGTCCGCGTTAGGTAACTGGGGTACTAGGAACTAGGAAGAACCAAACCTGGGCAGGCAGCTTCTCCCAAGAGCGCCTAATACCCCAGGTCACTAATAAACCTCACGGCAGAAGTGTCCAGGCCGCCTCTCCCAAGAGTGCCAAACACATCTCCACACAATCCCTTCTTCCAGACCGGTCGCCACACCAGGTGTGCCGAAGGAGGAACTAAGGCAGCCCTAAACTCAGAAACAAATGAGCAACAGAGACAGAGGCGACATTCAATAAGGTAAAACTGCACAAAGTTCAAGGAGGAGGACGAGGAAGTTGCCCTGCAGATCTCCTCCACTGAAGTGCCGCCAGTGGGGGCGGGTCCCAGCTCAAAACTGGCCAAAATGACGTGCGCTGACATGCTTGCAATACCACCCCGGGCCGATGGGGGTGGACCCAGAAGAAGAATTAGCCAATGCTAATATATAGCATTTGCAGACCTCTGGATTTTTGAAGTCTCTCGTTCAAATGAATGGAGCTTGCGCCGGCTGACGCATTCGCAGATGCGTTTTTTCACAATTTTCTTGTGGGCGGGACCACTCGCGGCCATTTTGGATAGCTCCAGTAGAGCACAATTTTTGGCCCATTAGTTAGAACGGCGGAGATAGGCGTGACTCTGTCCGTTAATATATACAGTCTATGAGTGCCGCGGAACAATGCCAAAAGCAACAACCCAGTGGAGTGAGCCCTCAACTGGGCCGGAGGCGCCAAGCCCTGAGCCTCGTAAGCCAAACAGATAGTGAAGCAAAGCCAGTGGGCCAAGCGCTGTGGGGACACCCTGATTCCTGGTGCCAAACCCCACAAACAACTGATGCGACCGCCTGAGGCCAGACGTGCGGCCCAAATAGCATCTCATAGCCCTGACCGGGCAAAGATTATGGCGCCGCTCTTCCTCCATCGAAGTATGCGGGGGAGAAAAGACAGTCTCACCCTGATCACCCTGGATCTGAAAAATGGCGTGACAACCTTGGGCTGGAAAGCTGGGTTAGGCCACAACTCCATCATGCCCTCCCAATCGGGGAGGGACAAGCAGGACGACCAAGACAGAGCCGACCGCTGGAACGGTGGCCTAATCCGGCGGGCCCCTCGGAGGAAGCGCTTCACCAAGGGGTGGCTAGTGCACGTAGGGGAGATCGTCGAGCCACGGCCGGTGCGCCATGGTGTCCACCCATAGAGGGGGCCCATCAGTGGACCTGAGCGAGAACCAGAGTGGGCACTGTGCGTTCTCTGCACTTCCGAAGAGGTCCTGAAAGGGGTCTTGAAAGCCATTAGCACACTGAAAGTTGCTTCGCTGCGCGCACCTCTGGCCATGCCTTGGCGCAGGACTGTGCAGTGTGCATGCCCTAGACTTTGACGAAGGGCACGTATCTGAATCATTCCAAAACCTCTTATGCGTTCCACTGAATGAGCCTTTTACCTTAAAAGACGTGTGCGGTATGTAGGGAACGGCTTTGCTCGAAAAAGGAAACTGGACTTTTGGCAGGAACTGGAACACCCATGATCAATAGTGAGAATACTGGTCATGCAAGAACTTGGATGTTTTCAGCTGTATTGTTTACAGATCCTTTCAACATTGGGCGTGTATTATTATGCTGTAACATGAGGTGATTGTGTGTTCATGTCAATAACATACGCCTGCTTATACCAGAACTGCCCACACACTGTCTGCCGTCTGCCCTGAACAGGGAAAACTAGGATTCTTCTGAGAAGGGAATATACTGTAAATCCCAGTTCTTGCATGACCAGCATATTCAACAGACATTTCACCCAGTGATCATGTTTGGGGTGCTCTGGATTGCTCTATGCAACAGCATATTCCAGATCTATATTTGCAAAAGAATCCTTTGGACCTTGGCATTAGCAGAATATACTGTATTTGAAAGAAGCTTTCAAATGTAATCACTCTCAAAAGAGGAAAAAGGTTTTCAGACATTACGGAAAACATGTTGGTTTCAATAAGGAGCCCCAAATATCCTCTGCGGGCAGATTTCCCAGCTGTCATTAGTGCTGACAAGGATTACGGCCTCTTTTACTTCATGTACAAGTTATTTCATCATGAAGAAATAACCATGAGGGCTGAATGCATGTAGTATGACACACATATCATGTATAAAAACATTGCTTTGAAGGTTTTGCCAATACTAGCAATAATGTGCAAACATTGTGACTTGACAGTTTAGTCATTTTTTACAGTTCACAGTTACTCATCTTAGCACCAGTGACTCTCTGTCATGGCTATTCTTTTTTGGAAAATTAGTGATAGCAAACCAAGATAAAAGTATCTCAGGTATCGGTATCAACAAACATTTTTTATGTTAGTATCTTGTTAACGTTACATGGGGTAAATATTTGCCATACACTACACAATTCTGGTCTTCATTGATAAGTGGGACAATTTCAAGATACATTCCCTAACATAATTATTCATACTGGTTTAAAACCAACAAATTAACAAACATGTTAATGTGTTGCTGATTCTAACATTCATGATGTGTTTGATTCTAGCTGATTCTGGCTCATTCAAAGTCCAGACATGTCCAATCCAGAAACTGGCAAGATCCAATATCTGATGTTTTTGTTGTTGTATTTTTATTATAAAAGTTATGAAAAAATATTATTTCTAAAATTTACCCCTTGACCAAAATTAGTTTGACTGACCTCCTCTAACAGGATGTAAGTTTTAAAAGCAGGGGGACACCTTGCGTCCTTAGGTCACAGATGCTATCTCAGACTAAGGTCTTTGTGAAGCATGTCACATGCGTCAGTGGGGGGGTCTGCACTACCCCAAAGCTCCTTACATAACTGGGATTTGGCCTTAAGTCCTATAAGGCAGTGCTGTATTAAATATGATTAATGGTCTTTCTGCTTCTGTGTCCCCTTCTAAGGAACAGTGAGGTGACAGATGCCCGCAGCAATCTTGTGTGTTTGTGCCGTAGTCAGTGATAACGAATGCTCAACTTTCCGCGCACATACGAAGTGACAGGCCCGCTGAGCGCACAGGCTCAATAGAACTAGTTTGTTCCCTCACATGGCCCTGGTCACATGATCAGTATTCTTCTATGGAGCTGGTCAGGCCGACCTTTTGTCTTCTCTGAGAAGCTTCAATGATCGCACAAGGGCATTCTTAGAAAGCAAACAGCAGCCCCAAACCAGATTTTATGTCTAATCTAATAGTTTTCACATTTCAATTGCCGCAAACAACATTATTATTGATCTTTCAATGTATAACATTGATGTCCTTTTTCCTCAGAACTATGGCCTGGAGACTGAGAACCTAAAGACTCTTTCTCATAAGCTAAATGCATCAGCAAAGAATCTACAGAACTTCATTTCAGGAAGACGCCGCAGTGGACACTACGATGGAAGAACCACTCGAAAACTGCCCAATGACTTCCTCACCTCCGTGGTGGACCTCATTGCCGCAGCCAAGAGCCTCCTGGCCTGGCTCGACAGGTGAGTCCTGCAAAGAGCTGTGGACACGCACTTGACATACACATGATTACTAGAATATGTGTTAAAGGGGCATTGTGCAACTTTTTATGTGAAAAACAATGTTTTTCACATGACCCTGTGGCTGTAAGAGTGAGCAGCATGGTGCCTTTACTGTTTATCATATTTGTGTCTACAGTGCTCCAAGATCAATTGTTTTAGATTTTCTGGAAAGAAAAAGAAAACCTTCAACATAATTGATCCAATAGCATCCTACCGACCACTGTGATGGAAGGTAAAGGCACCATGCTGATCACTCATACAGCCCCCGGGTCACAACAAGGTCAAATATGTAAAATGTAAAAAAAAATACTCTCTCACATAGAAAGTGTAATAATGCACATTTAAAAGTGCTGGTGCCATGTGCACTTATCCCAGAGACTATGAGTCTCCTAAAAATCTGGCCCTTGGAAAATCTATTGGAATAGCTCTACTTTAGAACCTGTAACATGAGAAAATGTATTGTTTTACATTGACTTCTGCTATAAAAATAAGTTGAAAAGTGAGACGTTGGAAGGATCCACAATAACCCGCCTTGGAAACCAATCCAAAGGAATTACTTTATGTTTAGACCACATTTGCATTAGATTTTCTCTGCTATTTCCATAACTAATCAACAAACAAGGAAAGAAAAAGGCTTAGAGGGAGAGATGGCCTCACAGGCATCAGGCAATTCTATTTTTACATGGATTTATGACTCTGTGGGAATGAGCCAGTGTTTGTGTCTGTTTATGTCTGATCGACGTGCATGTTTGAGGCTGATGATGTTGAATTTAAAATAAGAAGTTTCTAATTGCATTCCATAGTGCATAGATCTAATGATGAGCTATATGATGTAAAATAAGCAAGCGTGTCTAGTTAAATGGTTAGAAGCAAGAACGTCAAATGAAAGGGGACAAAACCTGTCGTCAATAATATGATAATCTGTTTCTTTAGGAAATATATAGTTCATATGAAATCTCAATATTGAGCAAAACGGTTAAATGGACAAGTTACCTCTTCATTCAGTCCCCTTATGTCCCGACCCTCCTCTACATATCACGGATTCAGAAAAGACGAAAGTACAATTCTGGGGGCAAACTAGTGGCAGCACTGAGGGGGAAGGGGAGAGCAATGGCGGTGCACGCATATTAGGATATAAATAACCCGAACATGCACAAATCTTGCTAAAACAGATTTGAGTGTGTAAATGTCAAGGGGAAACAACTTAAACATAAGCTGTTGATTTAGCAGGTTATGTCTCCTTTAAATAAATTACTTTTTAGCATGTTTATGATCAGAAACATTTTTTAGACCACTACAATTAAGTAAGCAACTTGGACATGAAAGTCAAAGTATATATGAATTTGTGTTTTTTATTTTTACTGAAACATGGGATTTGCACAAGTATTCATAAAACATAGATTGATACTTTGTGGAAACCCCTTTGCTTTTCATGTCTCATTTCGCAGTTACTTTGTGGTTTATGGATGAAAATGTTTAATGTTCTCTATTTTGTATATATGATCTCGATTATATGGTTACAATTTCTATGTTTAAAAAGTAGAAAACAAAAACATTACAAAAAGGACTCCAGTAATCTATTTTCAGTTATTATCTGTTTTTGTTACAATAACCTTTTTACAATAACACAATAACTTTTTCAAACATGAGGTTTTGTTTATCCTCTTAGCAATGTGTTTGTGTTAGAAAATAAAATGTATGTCATTAACTTGTGAATAATTGTAAAATGTATGGAATCAGTATGGAAACGTGGGACTGCCAGGATGGATTAAACCTCTTGACACCCCGAATTGATTCTAGTCCTCACCTAAACCCTGCAGCGTTGTTTATTACTCACACACATATTTTAGCAGTGATTTTCATTTTAATAAAGGATGGTCTAATGGTTCACTCCAGGTGCTCTTTCTTTTTCAGATCTCCGTTTGCAGCAGTGGCTGATTACTCCGTCACTAGGAATAATGTCATCCAGTTGTGTCTTGAACTGACTACAATTGTACAACAGGTACTCAACAATAACTGTGCCCAATTATATTTTTGTGATGGCATTGAGAGGATGTGGCACTTAGTAATGCTCATTACTTAGTAGGGCTCATTCGTAATGTGAGAGAAGTAGCAGTGCAGCAGTGTGGATGTATTCAGCTTTAATTATTCACAAGTCAGAATATGCAGAATAAAAGTTGTCGGAAGAAGACACACAATAATTGACACTTCTTAAAAATGCATAATCATCTTTTGGGATTCAGGTCACCAATACCCAGATCTTCCCTGTAATCGAAAAGGAATAGCAGTAGTGCAAAGTGCTATTATTCAGTGTCTGGCCATGGTTGCCGTGGGGATGAGTGACAGAAGAATGGCTGCCAATCAAAGGTAGAATCGCTTTTCGAACAATGCACCCAGACTGTATATTTATCCTTTTTCCACTGCTGGTACCATATTTGCCTTACAGAGATACAATCCCTCATTGTTCAAGAAATGCACTGAAATAAAGATACATGATGTAGTGTCAATATTTAGTCCATTAATCTGTCAATGGTTTCTTAGACAACTCATTATTTTTATTTTTATTAAAATATTTTCTGTGTGAACCTGCTACATTTAATGCTTCTGCCACCACTAATACCATGGACACTTAGTATTTTATAACCTGCACTGCTATGTCTATTGTGTGCCTTTATATATTAGAATTGTATTAATATTGTTTATGCCTACCTTTTTGATTGTTTTAATACTCATTTGCACCCTATGCCAAAGCAGATTGTTAATTTGGCACTTACTTTTCCTGACAATGGCAATTAAATAATTAAAGTTATGGATACGTTTGTAATCAACCCAGGCCAAACTCTCAAATCACATGTTTAAAAAGAAATATTTGTCACGCCCCCTTTTTAGTCGACTTATCGATCTGGGCTTGTGTTTAGTCAACAAGGGTTTGTTTGGTCTACAGCAGGGATGTCAAAGTCAAATCCATCAGAAGGCAAAAAAAAACAAATTTGCTACAAGCCGAGGGCCAGACTTGTTAAATTTTTATAAAACATATACAAAATTGAACTTAGACCTAACACAGTGTAGCATATTATAATGATTACATTAATAATCAAATATTTTGTATTATTATTATTATTCATATTTTGTATAAGCTCTGTCAGTAATTTCAAGTGAAAACATTTTTAAACAGGCTCACAGACAAAAACAAACTTCCTCCAAAGACCAAACACATGTCCCGAACGTTAAATGAATAATCCAATAATTTCTTATAACTCTGTGCGGGCCAGCTCTATTACTAATCAATTATCATCCCGGGGGACAAGATCATTAATTCTCGGGCCTTGACTTTGACACCAATGGTCTACAGCTACGGCCATAATCTAAAGATGAAAGATATTTTAGAAACCTATGCCTCTTGTAAAGTGCCAACACGTTCTGCAAACAAGACAGTTTTTTACAGGAAGAAGGGAGATTCTCAGTTTGTTAGTGCTGCTGATGGGAGAGCAGGGGCGGGAGTGCGGGGGGCGGATGGAGGGACAGGACAGAGGAAAGACATGCCGCAGCGATTGAGACATGCCTCCGCGCTGGTGATTCATTTGTTTAGTGTTTGTTGCTTGTCTGTGTGGGAGTGAAACGGGGTTAGAGGTGCCAAGCTGCTCCTATTTTTTTTGCTTACATCCACCTACAGCAGAAAAACCAATAATAACTTCATATTTTGACACATTCTCTGGAGGTAACTCTAACTCTCTATGTTTTCCCAGGACTGCTCCGTCTATGAGACTGAGAACAAAATCCTTAATGTGGTGAGTTATACATTTTCAGTCAAGTTTCAAATGCGCTGACTCATAAATAAATATGAAAAAACTAGGGCTGTCAAAATTATCGCTTTAACGCACATTAATTAATTAATTTTATTAATCGCGTTAAAAAAAATAACGCATGTACGAATAACCCGCCCATGCATCCCATAATAACACTCAGAATGCCGCGGACAAATGCATGTGATGGCGACAGAGCACGAAGGTTCTCTGGGAATTCAAGTTAAAAAAGAATATGTGTGTGGCCGGAAGGGCACTTGCTGTTGCTTGCTGTATGAACTGAACGGGAGTTCGCATCCTCAGTGGCCGCAGCGTTCTGACCCGGGGCAGCTGCGGCCGCTCTGTACAGAGGTTCCCACCTCCAGCGGCTGTCGCTTTGACAACAACACTGCGAACGTGCACAGGACTATTCTCTGCTTGTTGTGTGCGTGTCTTTGCATGATAAAATAAATACACCTCTGAAGCTGGACTACAGAGCCGCAGTCTCCTCCGTGTCTTCTCCCAAAGCTAAATTAAAGCTGGGGTACCTAATTTCTCCCTTCCACTACCAGTTCATGTTGGTTGTGAGTAAAATGTTGTGAGCAAATTAAACAGGTTTAATGACATTCTGCATTTCAGACTTTTTTTAAATGTCCCTCCTCTGTAACATGCAATAATTTTGGTCTGAGTCTAATACAGAAACTTGTTAATAATGTTAATGTCATTTTATGTGGATTTATTGTTATAATAAACAAATACAGTACATATGTACATTTATGTGTCATTTATCTTTCCATTCAAACAACCATTTACAGAAAAATATGGCATCATTTTGCCAATAGTTAGCAATGCGATTAATTACGATGAATTAATTTTTAAGCTGTAATTAACGTGGTTAAAAATATTAATCGTTTGACAGCCCAGAAAAAACACATTGTATCACAACTTTAAAGAAAAAAAATGCAGCATTCTAAGAACAACTTGAATGTCGAATTAAAGCTTTAGTACCTAACTCTCAGCTCACAAAAAATGGAACTCAACATTACTAATTCCTGGCTCAAAACAGTTTGGCCACTAGTTTCTCACTCGTTTTCACTCGCTTGTGTTTTTTGTTATCTTGATTTGTTCACAACACTTTCTGTTGGGACCAGTATTTCTGTAATAATAAATGATAAGAATTGTTTATGAATTTTGTGTTGCAATATTATAGAATACAATTATTACTATTATTGGCATATTTGAGTCTTCTGGCTAAAACGTTCTGTCTTCCCCAGTGTAAAACACTGTCTGAAGTCTGCGACCACATCATCTCGCTTTCATCTGATCCCATGGTGTCGCAGGCAGCCCATTTAGAGGTGGTGCAGCTTGCCAACATCAAATCCACTGAAGGACTGGTAAGGATGTCCTCTCTGCACCATATGTGATGCTCTGGGCTACTGTCCACTTTATGTGATTAAATGGATTTTTCTCAGAGGGAGACAGGGCATTTGCAGGTGGATTATCTTCTCTTAACAGACAGCTTGCTTATGATGAGTTAATTGGTATTAGTGGTGATAATCTATAGGCCAGAAGATGTATGCTCAAGAATCCTCATTTACAGAGGACTCATTTGCATTACCAACTTTACTTATGCTATTAACGAGTTTAGAGACAGGTGTCTTTCTGCGGAATTGTAAATAAGCAACAAATTGCATATTCCCAGAAACGATAAATTAAAGTAAAACTGTATTACGATAATTGTATTAGTAAGTTTTTATTTATATACCGCCTTTTCACTGCAGATCTGAGTCTCAAAGCGGTTTACAATTGTTAATTATGGGCATTTGTCTCTCACTCCACACAGAGAGGGGAGCGGGGTCGCCAGTACAGGAGGCGCATGCCAGACCTATTGGACATATTTTTAGTGGTAGGGGAAACCGGAGTACCCGGAGGAAACCTACGCAGACACGGGGAGAACATGCAAACTCCACTCAGAAAGGCCCTGGTCCGACCGGGATTCGAACCCAGGACCTTCTTGCTGAGAGGCGAGAGTGCTATCCACTCAGCCACCGTGCCGCCCTCATGGCAGTTCCTCTGAAAAGCTCACATATTGGTGTTACAGCTTTAAAGCTGAATGTCTGTTCTGGACTGTCGAAAGGAAAAGCATTTGATTTACCGCTCAATCTACGTTTCCACTGTCTCATTCCGTCATTCGGTCTTTTGGTGATGAAACTTGGAGGAGCCAGTTGAGATGGCTCAGGCATATGTTTCAAATGGACGCCTCCCTGACAACGTGTGTGGAGACATTGATTAAATGTTGGATAAATCAAATAGAGTCTCTATTGTCTAAAGTGAATGAATACGAGGTCGTAGCTGAACATTGATGCACAGTTAAAGTTTAGAGTTCTGCGAAATCCGTTGCTCATGTAGCAGAGCCCTGCCCCTAGACCCAGAATGATGCCCCTAGACTCAGCCATAAAAAAATATCTGTGGAAAAAAGCTGCAAGGTGACCTCGTCATGTCAGAGTTCCAAACCAGTAACATTTGCCATGTAACGCTCTGTGTGAAATGGCCTCACACATGTGAGGACCTCTCTGACACTTTCAAAGATCAATGTAATCGTTGTGTATCTTGTAGCCGTTTGAGCTCTTACAGCTGATGGGATTGAAGCAGGTCATGTTTCAGAGTTATATCTCATGTAGAATCAACATGTGCCAAAACTAAACATCATGTTAAACAACATCGGTTGGACAATAACATACAGTATATTGAGGCAAGGCAAGTTTGAATAGCACAATTCATACACAAGTACTGTACGAAACTCAAAGTACTGAACAAAACAAGATAGAAACAGACATCAAACATTAAAATAATAAATAATCATAATACATTACATACAAGGAGTAAAGATAAAATCCCTCAGTTGTATGCACAAATTAAAAAATAAAGCCAGACTTAAACATTATCAGAGAAGAACCCTTCACATTTTCAGGAAGACTGTTCCAGGTTTTAGCTGTGTAAATCTCAATTGCATCCTCCTCATGCTTAGTTCCGACCCTGGGCCCCAGCAGGAAGCCAGTCCTTGAGTTGGTTCATATGGGACTAACATGTCACTTATGTATTTTTGTGCGAGGCCATGGAGAGACTTGTAACAAGTGAAGCTGCTTTAAAGTCTATTCTCTGAGCCGCAGGAAGCCAGTGCAGAGACCTGAGGACTGGACTGATGTATAATTATTAACTATAAAACTACAGCAAGTCCCATACTTGTAACGTACTTGTAACACAAATATATGTACTCTAGAGAAGAGTAGTAGCAGCAGTGTAGGAAACTGGTTCACATTAACATCACTATGACCTCTGATGTCTGCCCTGTATCTTGTGTATTTGCTGTAGCTTGTGGGCAGATGATTCACCTGAGTAAATTATCATCTCACTAGGTCCGTAGTGGACAGTCCACAGGGGCACACACACATATTTGCAAACTGTCTCTATGGTCTTGTATTGTAGAAAAGTGTAGATATTGTCCCTTTATATCACTCTGCTCTGTCCTGGACTTGATGTAGTTGACCTGCACTTGGCGTTCTGGACCAAAGGAAAACCCCACCCCCACATAGAAGCCAGTGGGGGGGGTCAATGGAAGTCCTTTCATGCGTTCAGTGAAAACCTGAACACAACAGTGGCCTAAAAATAAACCTCTTACTTGTCTTGGAGACGACATTAATGTGTGTCCCGGCATTTGAGGCCTACTCATGCATGGTTCTGGGTAGAGTGTGTCGCTGCACTTTAGACCCCTTTTAGCTCCAGGAAAAAAATGACTAACATTTCTTACAAGCGAGTTTACGGTACATGCACAAGCACTTGATATTTCATTGTTACTATGGTAGTAATACATGTAAATGAACATTTACATGTATTACAAAAGCATATTCATCATAAGTTGCCATTTATTCAATTATAAAAGTAACAACTTTGAACATAGTAGGTATTATAAGTGAAGTATAAGAAGTATCTTGAAAACCTAATCATTTCCCAAACTGAATATAGTTTATCATTATTAATAATTCACTACTTTTATTTCTGCAAAGTCTACTATTCCCTTCAGTGAAATGTCTGTTCCTATCAAATAAACAATACATTTATGTTCATGTACATTTAGCAAATTGGATGGCTCTCACGTGTACCACTCAAAGCAGAATATAATATGTCAGCGTGTAGTGACCCCTCTGTGGTGTACATATGTCTGCTTGGATAATCTTAAAGCTGATATGTTTAATGAGCCTTGTATTTACGTTCATGTGAAGTTATACACAGATTTTCTCTCTGTTTATCCCTAGGGCATGTACATAAAGTCAACATATGATGGGCTGCATGTGATCACGGGCACAACAGAAGGGGTAAGGCCAGTTCAATATGAGAGAGTTGGTGCAGAAAAGCATTATATTCACACAATAAAAAAAAATTGTTAGTGTTGTAATACACATTAATACATATGGAAGCCCGTTTCCGCCATGTAAAAAAAAAAAAAGCATACAGAAAGTCAAAATTACGACTTTAAAACTCAACATTTTGACTTTAAAACTCAAAATTACGACTTTTAAAGTCATAATTTTGATTTTTAAACTCAGAATTTTAACTTTTAAACTCGTAATTTTGACTTTTAAAGTTGTAATTTTGAGATTAAAACTCAAAATGTTGACTTTCTGTAGGCTTTTTTTTTTTTTTACATGGCGGAAACGGGCTTCCATAGGCTTCCATTAATACACACAAATTTTTACCCTACACATTGGTAATATAGTCAATACTATACCTCATTCTGAAGCTTTGAGAATGCTTAGTTTATTTGCTGAGAGAGTTTCATATATTTATGAATTTATTTCAGGGCAGTGCTTTTCAAAGTGAGGAGGTGCCCATTGGGGGCTCATGATGGCAGTTATGATGCAAAAATATCACGTTTTAGAATTGCTCCAAAATTCTTTTGTCAATACGTCTAGTGTATTAACAAAGTCTGATTTGTAATGGTTAATAATGAAAGGTAAACATAATAACATTCCCTCTCATGGCTTCACTTAGCGTAAGATTTTGTCTTGGTCAATTAGGTATTGTATGACAATATTACTGGGTTTGTAACTTGGTTATGTCTTTAGAACATAGACTCAGATCTCATAATTATGTAAACTTTTTGTTAAATTGACAACATTATAAATTATATTTTATGAGTACAATGCTATTTTGTATATTGGAAATTGTCATTGCTGTCATGCTTGTAGTTTTAAAGTTATGAAATGCAAAATGTGTTGATTTGTGTAGTCCTTGGCTGACCGCTGTAAGAAGATCCATGCTGGAGATGAAGTCATTCAGGTCAATCATCAGACAGTGGTGAGTAAAAACACTGCATTTTTCTAAAATATGACTTGCTGCTTATGCTTTTGGTTGTCTTTTGCTTATGTACTTTTTGCAACACTCTGAGAATATCTGAGCTCCTCCCGTGTGACTGAGCTCCTCACCCTATCTCTAAGGGAGCGCCCAGCCACTCTGCGGAGGAAGCTCATTTAGATCGCTTGTATCCGCGATCTCGTTCTTTCGGTCATTACCCAAAGCTCATGACCATAGGTGAGGGAGGGAACGAAGATTGACCGGTAAATCGAGAGCTTTGCCTTTCGGCTCAGCTCCCTCTTTACCACGACGGTCCGATACAGCGACCGCATCACTGCGCACGCTGCACCGATCCGCCTGTCAATCTCACGCTCCATCTTTCCCTCACTCGTGAACAAGACCCCAAGATACTTGAACTCCTCCACTTGAGGGACGACCACTCCACCCACCTGGAGAGGGCAAGGCACCTTTTTCCGGTCGAGCACCATGCCCTCAGATTTGGAGGTGCTGATTCTCATCCCAGCCGCTTCACACTCGGCTGCAACCCGAGCCAACAGGACAACATCGTCCGCAAACAACAGTGTTGAAATCCTGTGGTCTCTGAACTGGACCCCCTGCGCCTAGAAATTCTGTCCATAAACACAGTGAACAGAAACGGTGACAAAGGGCAGCCTTGGCGGAGGCCAACATGCACCGGGAACAGGTCTGACTTACTGCCGACGATGCGAACGCAGCTCTGACTCCGGTAATTGGTACCGCCCCCGATCGCCACGCGATGTTGCAGAGACGTGTCAGCCCAGACAGTCCTACAACATCCAGAGACTTTAGATAATCAGGACGGATTTCATCCACTCCCGGCGCCTTGCCACCATGGAGGCTGCCAACCACCTTGGTGACCTCGGCCAGGGAGATGGAAGTATCCGCCCCAACATCCTCAGCCTCTGCATCCGGGACGGAGGACGTGACGGGGGGATTGAGGAGAACCTCGAAGTATTCATTCCACCGGCCGACAATATCCCCAGTCGCGGTCAGCAGCTCTCCACCCCGGTGTTGGCAAAGAACTGCTTCCCCTTCCTGAGGAGCCGGACGGTTTGCCAGAATCTCTTCGAGGCCGACTGATAGTCATGCTCCATGGACTCTCCGAACTCCTCCCAGTCCCGGGTTTTGCCTCTGCAACAGCCCGGGCTGCGGCGCGCTTGGACTGCCGGTACCGGACAGCTGCCTCAGGAGTCCCCCTCCTCCACTGGGACCTGGGAGAAGCTCTCCCGGAGGTGTGAGTTGAAAGTCCGTCTGACAGGGGGCTCAGCGAGACGTTCCCAGCAGACCCTCACTACACGCTAGAAACTGCCAGGTCTGACCGGCTTCTTCCCCTGCCAGCGGATCCAACTCACGACCAGGTGGTGATCGGTTGACAGCTCCGCCCCTCTCTTCACCCGAGTGTCTGAGATTTTGTCATAAACATATATATATATAATATATATATATTTATTTATATATATATTTATGACAAAACAACGTGCTTTCTTCATCGTATTAGAAAACATTTAATACTTCTAAGAAAGAACCCAGTGAGTCACTATTTGAGGCCTTGGGCTGAGTGAGAGTTGACTGGCTGAATGAGGGTGGTTCTCTCTCTTTCTTGTTACTGTCTGAAAAAGCTGATCTTTCACAACCCACAGAGACCAAAAATACATGCATGTCAAAACCAGTGAAAGAACTCTTCTAAGACCGAGGAACAAGAAACATGGATTTTTAATCAAAATATTTCCATCTTTTGTGTTTCTTAAATTAAGGTAACAAAGCTATACAAATTAGGAGTTAGTTGAAGCAGAATTGCACTGAGTGGACGAGCCTAAACCTACACAAATGGACATATAGCAGTGGATATATCTGTGAGTTTGAGGTCTTGCACAGATCTGCTGCAGCCGATGTTTCTTCACTAAACGAGCAGCGTCTGTGACATGAGCGATTCTGACAGCTGTAGGAGGTGACAGCCAATCAGCAGACTGCATTCATGTCATGTGATTAGACAGTCAGTGCCAATCATCCTGACAGACAAACTTTGCTTATGAAACTGGACATGTTACTTTAATCACATTTAGTTGGTCCTTGACACTTGGTTGGTGTAAATGATTTACTGTAAGTGACAATGGTGATGAAGCAAATCTGTAAGGCTTATGTATTATTTGGATGCACTGTATGCTGGCAGAGAAAAACAAATAAGAGAGGATATGAGGACAACATTGCTGTAAATAACTTCTGGCATAAGCAGGGACAATCTTCTCTATCCAGCAATGAATAAGGCTCTGATCCAAAAAAAACTTCACTCGATTAGATCTCTTTAACACACTTTGCCATTTTGAGTTTTCCAAGTTGTGGTTGTGCAGGTGAAAATCCACTTGGAAGGAATACATCATTAATCACTTGGTCAGTGCCTAAAAATGCCTGCGTTTTCTGGGCATCTTTTGAAATGTGCTTTGAAAATTCAGTGCATTCAGCCAAGCTCGGGAGAGGATACTTTCTCTCCAAACGGGACATGGCAGATTTGGTTCAGCTGCAGACATTGTTTCTCAGGGTGATGGTTTTTGTGCCAAAGATCAACAAAGTGGGTTAGACACATTCCTTTCTACAAGGCATGCCACTATTCACAATACGAGCATTTCACAACCCACATTACAGCTGTCCCTTTTTATTGAATTTTATTCAAGCATTAGTATCTAGTCTGTCTCTAGTTAACAAAAGGAGTCTATTTCTTTAAGTCCAGACACAGAAAAGTATGTGGTAATTATTTTTGCGCTTTGGGCTAAATTTAGCCTTATGGTGAGACTGGCCCTCAGTGTCCTTTTCACTCCTGAAAATCATAATAATTTGTCTGTTACAAGTGCTTCCCATACAAAATATAAACCACATGAATTGTTGCGATATAAGAAAAGAAAGGCCTAAAGTATGAAAATATTATTATTTCATTTAGGTTGGCTGGCAGCTGAAGAATCTTGTAAACATGTTGCGTGGGGATCCAGCCGGTGTGACGCTAACACTAAAGAAGCGTCCGCAGAGCACGCTCACCTCCACTCCTGCTTTGCTGAAAAACATGAGATGGAAACCACTGGCTCTGCAAGTAAGACCTTAGAACATTCTTGGGCGGACTATTCATCCTGAGGTTCACATTTGAATATCGGCCTGTTGTCAGGGTCCGGACCTAAATAGAAAAAAAATTCTCAGGCTTCATTTTTTTGAAGATAATTAAAAATAAATCAAATATAATATATTCCTGTAGAGCAAGGAGCATGACTGTGGCCCCAGAGCTCTGCACACAGCACAGAGGGATTTTGTTTTATACTATAAGAACTACCTGCTACCCGCTTCCATCACTCTGTGAAGTGAGAGGGAAAATATCCACAACACAAGTGTTTTGTAACACCTGTGTGTGAATCTCTATATAAATAAAGATGACTTTCTTAATCATGACGCAGTAAAACGCGTTTACATTGAACGCATAAATACACGTTTACATCACATTTATGGAGGCATAAATGTGCAGTTGTTTTGCATCAGTAAAATTCGAAGAATTTTGCTCACAATTGTTATCTGTTGTTCAATGTTCGGGCCTAGGTTACTTGAATGTGAAAGAAAAATAATTGCTGTGTTTGCGCCCCCACAGAGTGAGCCCTGACAAAATACAGTTTTCCCAAAAAATTAGTTCCATGACTTATTTTCACCGTTTTGTTTTGGCAATGACAGACACTCCCTATTGTGTGTTAATGGGAAAAGCTAAAAAGCTCTCAAATTTACATTGCTGTTTCTCCCACGGAGCTCAAATTGGCTCCACACACAAAAAAGTGTAGCATCAAAAGTTAGCTTCAGAATTTTATAGTATGCGCACGGCAGACTCGCAATTTTTTTGTTATTTTACATTAAGGATATGTTATTCAATAGAGACACACACAGATCATATTCTTGACAATATTCGGTTTTCCTCCATGAGAGCTGGGATGAGAGCACATCTGCGCCACCTCCTGTGGGGGATGCAAGCAGTGTCTGAGTGCGGCCGTGAGGGCCATTCAATACTGCTTGCGGCTTTAATTGTATTTGAGCCTACAATATACCAATCTAGCAACTCACGTGACATTTTCATAGACATTGGCATTTGTTGTTCTATCTGCACCTATCACGTTATGAAAGCAGGATGTGGCGCAAAGTGAGTGGCTTTTGTTTGAGTCCCAGGCTAAACTAAAATGTCCTCTCCCCCTCGAGGTCCAGGAAACAAAGCCTCCTCCCCCAATGCCTTTCCTCTATTGAGAGTTATCTTTTCAGCTGACATTTCAGAGACAGAAAAGACTTAGGAGTAACATATAATTTATTAACAGTCTTGTTTTTCTGACACTTAGATTACAACAATGCCTCAGTAGTCTGTAGTAATGCAAGTTCTGCAGAATATTTTTTGTAGTTCAAACCAGTTTAATAATTATATATATATATATATATATATATATATATATATATATATAAAATTAAAAAAAATATATATATATACATATATATAATTATTTTATATTTATATAATAGTATTATTTTATTACTCTTATACAAATACTTTTAAAATGATTGTCTATATGGACTGAATAGCAGGCTAAAGTGCAGCGTGACCTCTGTGTCCGTGTGCAGTTGAAAGTAGAGCATCCTACACTGCACTCCTTTCACGCCTGAGATGCCACATAGTCGTGCTTTTAGGCCGCCAACTGCTCCTTGTTTGACTGACTTGGTGAAATCCTGCATCATGTTCATCATTCTAACACTTCTGTCTTTGTCTCCTGTCTTCCCTCACTTCCTAAAACTTAAATCAAGCCCCTCTTTCCACAGAGTCCGAGCAGCAGTGTGGTTACGCCCACGAGCACTTTGAGCACCCCGTCAAGGCGAGGAAGCTGCGCCCTTCAAGACCTCTACATTCCCCCTCCACCTAGCGAGCCGTACACGCCCAGGTGACCATATCTGTGAAAAGCAATTCATCAGAGGGCATTGTCAAAGAGTTACAAAGTATTCTACTTTAGAATTTACGGTAGTTATTAGTTTACAAACTTATTCCACTGATTGGCCTGACAATACTGACAAGTCATTTTACAGCAAGTTTTGAATGGTCCAAACGCAGGTGTGTTGCTTGCTGGCCTACAAGTCACGTGTCAAAGATGCATGTTTTAGTTGCACTACCACCACATGCGTGCGTAGTGATCTGCGCACATGCGCTGTCTCATATTAACGTCATACTCAAGTATTTTAGATATGTCAGTCATTTCACATTCATAGAATGTCATAAAAAGTTGTTCAACTCTTTCCGTTCTTACTATCTATAATTAGTGCTACATTTGTGGTTAGTTCAATCTACGGATCAACACAGCTGATGGTTTCTGTGATGCCAGGGAGGAAAAGGAGAACTTGTCTGGAGAGGACACTCAGTCTGACAATAATGTGGCGAAAGGCTCAGAGTCTCCAAACTCGTATTTGGACGAAGAGTGTCGCCAGCGTTTTCCTCAGGTGGAAGAAGATGCCATTTTGTACTGCTATGAGTACGACCAGAACCAGGGGTCTATGTGCAGAGCCAGCACTCCCACATATGGTAAGACTCCTGAAGAATGAATAGAAATCGTTAGAACCACTGTTCGAGATTTGAATATACAGGTTTTGTTCCACAGGTAGACTGAGGCCGATCTCCATGCCTCTGGATTATAACTGGGTTGGGGACGGTGAGGACCTGGCCAAGTTGAAGAGAGAGAGCCGCAGAGGTGAGTGGGAGGAAAGAACAGGAGAAGGGGAGGGACTGAGGCGAGTGGGTGGATATCCCATAATATCCTCAGCCTTTCAGATCTCCAAGCCACAAGTCGACGCATGAGCTGGCCTGTCAGAGCACATAACACGCTGCACATCAGCTCCACATCCATACGTTCATCTTCTATGACTGTACCTTCTTTCTATAGCGCCCTGATTTTCAATCTTTTTGTATATTAAGTGCACAGTTGCTCTGGCAACAGCAGTAGATGACTTCCTGAGGTTTTCACATTGTGTTTGTGGCTGCACAGTCAGGTGTCAAATGGAGTGGGCAGACTCTTGATTACTGTATTTTAGTCTTCCAAGGTATGACTAGAGTGATTTGTTTGCTTCCAGCTGAATGATGGGGATCCAGTATGTTGGTCATATTTTTTCTGAAATGTTTTCGACACACACCGACATGGAGCACTGAACATCCAGCATTGTTTTGGGATTATTGCGAAGCAGTATTCATCAAGACACACGTTTACCAGAAATATTCTGTCTACTGTCTCTTGGTTTTTTCTGCTGCAATGACTGACAAAATGGACACATGTTGCTCAAAATACTGGTTCTAATACAAAGGGGTACATTTACAATCAGTGCATAAGGCTGTTAAATAATACAGTAGGAAAAAATGCATATTATGATTATTTTGGTATTAAGAAATCAGTTTGTTACTTTCAATTCTCTCACAGACAAGAACAGTAGATCATAAAACAACATGTTCAATAATATTTAAATCATATAGTGAAATTCCAAATACATTGATATGAGGCCATTACTTCACTGCTAGTTAACAATAAGCTAGCAACAATTGATAGAAAGACCTTGTAAACACTTGAATGTTGTTCAACAAACACTTCAAAGTGACAGGGTTAGTTTGTGCTTAGCCATTAGCTTAGTGGCTTTTATGGCTCCAGCTGCTTCAGCAGTGGTCAGTACATCCCACTCGCTTCTTTAAGACTGCAAACGTCTGTGTCCTCGGACAAAGGTGAGCTCTGAGCACTGTACTCGATGGTTTTGATGGATTCCTGTCTCTTTTCTCTTTGAAATAAAACATCAGCATACTTTTTCAAGTTAGGTGGCCCAAAATGCATTGCTAAATACAGGACTTACCTTTTCTTTATCTTTATTTATATAGCGCCTTTTGCAGACCAGAGTCACAAAGCGCTTAAAAATTATTTTTTTTGGGCATTTGTCTCCACACAGAGAACAAGGTCGCTGTACAGGAGGCGCATGCCAGACCTATTGTACATGTTTTTAGTAGTAGGGGATACTGGAGCACCCGGAGGAAACCTACAGACATGGGGAGAACATGCAAACTCCACTCAGAAAGGTCCTGTTCCAACCGGGATTTGAACCCCAGGACCTTCTTGCTGAGAAGCAAAAGTGCTATCCACTCAGGCACCAAATACTTGGCTGTAAATTCACAGGCATTTGCTGCAGTGTACATTTTATTCTGGTTGTAGGATGTGTGGATGTTACGCTGAGCTAGAGAGACTGAGGTGTTTGTCCTGTGCTTTCTTCACACAGAGAACTCCCTGCTGCATTTCGCCGGTGAAGAGAAAGGCCCTGGGGAGGAGTTCCTTTTGAGCCGCAGCTTGAGTCAGAGCCGCAGAAAAGACAGAGGGACCAGTCCCACTCAGTACACCCTGGTTCCTGCCCTGGAAGTGTCACGGTCCACCTCCAGCTCCGACTCGGCCTCTCTCTACCACGTCAGTACCTGATCAGTTTTACTTTATCCATAAGCAACACATGTACTGTTATTTACTTGGACTCATTACTAACTTTTATACTGCAGGGATGCCCTAAATTGATACATTTTGAAATATGAATTCGCTCAATAAAACAAGAAAAGCACTTGTAGAGCACATACCTCCATCAAGAGGCACAGTTCCATTATGTAAGAAAAATCCTAAATCCAGACAGTGGTCCGGATTACCTTCATGATTTAATAATTTGTTCCTTATCCTATTTAGGAGAGTTACTGATATTTTTCTTGTACACATTATTTTTTACAAACTCTTGAAAAAACATAACCTTCTTGGTGGAAACAATAATAGAAATTGATTCTTTTTAAAAATTGTAAAATGTATTTTAATATATTAGTCATTTTTATGGACTGAGTTCATGAAAATGTTTATAATAAACAAAAAACACCCATTGGTCCTGTTTTATGTTCTTTTTAAAATCTTCCTCACTTGATCAACTGTGTATAGTTTTGATTCTAGCGTTCACACTTGTCTTCTGATTTACCGGAATGAGTCTGTTGCAATTGGGTGAAAAATCCATGTCTGACCCCAACAGTTTAGTGTTCTGATGAGGTTTATGAGGATGCCAATAAAAGTATTGGTGAATCTTTTCTCTGCGTAGGTGTTTGATCGCTCCTCAATATTGTCTCGCTCCAAGAAGAAGAGTAAAGGTTAGTGCACGCAGTTTTTATGTGGATGTTCAGGAGCAGGTTTCTAATGTGCTGAATGTGCAGGGGGAAGTCCTATGCCGTCTGTCAGTAAGCGCCGCATCTCCTGCCGGGATCTAGGACAAGGTGACTGCGAGGGGTGGCTGTGGAAGAAGAAGGACGCCAAAACCTACTTTTCACAGAAATGGAAGAAATACTGGTTCATTCTAAAAGGCACTTGCTTGTATTGGTACATCAATGAAGAGGTACACGTTTATAACCCATTTACCACAATGACTTAAACTGATGACTACATTTGTTTTTAGGATGAGAAAGCAGAGGGTTTTGTCAGCCTCCCAGAATTCAAGATCGAAAGGGCCACTGAATGCAGACGGAAATTGTGAGTTTTTGGTCATATCCACTCTTTACCCTTTCACATCTTATTTTCTTGACTTCCTCAAAGACCGTTTGAGAAGCATTTCTGTCTATTTGTCAATGGTAAGTCATTTTAATGTTGTCCAAAATCAGAAGAATTGAAAATAAATGTGTCTTAGAAGTTACATATCCATCCCTCTACAACTCAAATCCTAAAGAAAAATTGAACGGTAAAAATAGTACTTGTTGTCCACATAATGCAATTAAACTTAATCACACGTTTTGCACAATTTAACGGACGGACTACAATAATTGAAAGTAGGTTTGTTTTGTAGTTGTAACCACTCTTCACTTCAGTTGAGTCCTGACTCTTCTGACTGGATAAATATGTGAGGATATTCCAGTTAATCCTAAATATTGTCCTTTCTGCGTATTCATGTGTAAATCTGCTCCATATGCCCCTGTGCGTGAGCTTACATCTGCGGTAATGTAACCCCAGCTCTCATTTTCAGTGCTTTCAAGGCTTGCCATCCGAAGATAAAGACTTTCTATTTTGCTGCGGATGATGTGGATGACATGTCCCGGTGAGTTAACAAGGGTCTCACACTCTCTGTTACCTCTTACCCGCCAATCCCTTTCATATCTTATACTTCTACCTTATGCTGGCACTAAACTGTGTCCGGCTATTAAGCTGCCCACTGTCTTTAAGCAGGGCAGCTTTGTGAGGTGACAAATGCTGAATGTTTTAAACTGAGTCCGTCATGATGTGCTACTCTCCCCCTCAGGTGGCTTAGCCGGCTCAGTATGGCAGTAGCGGGATTCTCGGACCAGGAGAAAAACCGGCAGGACCAGGGTGAGCTGACTCATATCTTGTTGATGCTCCTCACTGATCTGTCGGAGAGCACAAGCAGTGTGACGTAACACTTCCGGGCGAGGGAATAACAGACGAGAGAGATTTAAGCTGCATTAATCATTACGTTTTTCTCCTGCCTTGTCTTACGTCGATGTTCCATGTACAGGATTCATGGGTTTCCGATTGCTGTTTACAGGCACCATTTTAAACTCTGTATTCAAAATGTGTTATATAATATCAATTGCTATGACATCTGTGCCAGTTTTTTGTTGTTAATGAAATTTTTAGTGCAACCTTTTTTCATAAGTTTAAGTGGAAAAGAAAACATCGACAGTTTTTTTCTGGTGTTTTCCTAGTGTAGTACGTATATACAAGATATTTAAGTTTCACATGGCTTCGGCCCTGAATATACGGAATGTTTTCTGAAATCAAAGGAAAATTATACAAAGGAGTAAATAGAAATAATACGAATATTAAAACATAAAACAATTTAGACGCTTGAACAATTTAAGATATAGTGCCACAATGCCTCGCACAAATGTCAAGTGATGTCTTGTTGCACGGTCGTGATTTTTATTTAAACCTTGTTAAATCAACCCGAAAATGCCTCCGGATGTCCAGCTTTCTGCACTATGTGTCCACACTGTTTTCTCTTCTTGTGTGTATGAGTGACCAGCTCATCCCCGCTCTGACCGCGCATCTCAGAAACATTTATTTGATCAAAACGTTCTCCTCCATAAGAGACTAGCAGAAAGGAGTGAGTGTTTACAACAAGTACATCTGACCAAAACCTTTCACCAAAATACTGATGACCCGACACCTTATGTAGTTAATTACATCAAAAAGCTATGAGACTCTGTAAAATAAAAGCATACATGCATTTGGGCAAGTGTAACAGGAATACCAATAAATATGATAAAATAATTTGTTTTGTTGTCACAAAAATGAAAACAATAAAAGAAAATGTGTCATCTTACATTGTTATATTTTGTAATTACAGCAGACATAACCTTTGTCCCACCCATTCTCATGTAGTGCTTTCTACATTATGACCCATTATCCTATTTCTGTCTTACTGCATCTTATGTGAGCCTCTCTGCACCACTTGTTCTCAACTTGATTTGTCTTGAGTTCCCTCTAACTCAAGGCCGTACAGTTGTGTACTTCTAAAGTAAAACGTAATACCATAAACTCTAAACCATAAACATTTCACTTCACTCAGTTGCTTTTCCCTCTTGCTCTTGGTTCTTATTCTTAGTCCTTTTTCCTCAAATATTGCTTCTTGTAGGAGGAAGTTTTGTAAAAATGTTGCCTGTGATGATGTGTTGTGTAATAGTGGGTGGTAAGATCATAACGTGAGTGCGTTTTAACACCTTGCCGAAAAACCACCTCATTTTTTTCCTTTTCACACCCTTCGCTGGTTCCTCTGCAATGTGAAAGCTGTAACTTAAGCAAAAGCCATCTCGAAATGTATTATACATAAATACATGAACAATGCATACAAATGTAAAAAAGTAAAGGCTTTGTCTTATGCTACAGACACAGCTGGAAAGACTAAAAATCTAGGTTTAGATGCATAGATAATAAATGTGCAACAGCATTACTAAATAATGTGAATGCTTATATGGGATAACTAAGTCAGGGGATTCTTTTCTGTCCAGGTACTAGCGACATAAGCATTACGTTGTAACTCTTGAACTATTATGCAAAAGGTTATTTTATTTATAAGTGGAAATCTTAAATCACCCAAATATGAAACAGTAAAACTCTTCAAGGGGGGACTAATACAATTTACATTGCATTTGTATATTTTTTTCTTACATTTCTTGTGTGCTTGACAGATTACTGGAGTGAAAGTGACCATGATGATGTAGAGTTACCTCCAATGCCCAAACAGGACAGTCCACCTCCACCTTACGACACTTTTCCCAGAGCCGCCTCAGTGAGTAAAGCATTGCATTATGGCATTATTTTTGATTTTGGTTTGAATCGGTTTTTAAATTGTTTCCTGGCTTAGGTGAGTCCGTACTTGGAGCCAAAGCGCGGGCATCTCTCTTCTTCAGATACGTTTCAGTCGCGCTCGTCTCATGAAGATTATCCTTCTGAAGCGCAGGATGGAGGCTACTCCCCTGGTCAGAAGAGCGGCACTGGACACAGAAACTCATGGCAAGACCCCACTGGGAGCGCTGCCAGGATCACGTACTTGCAGACCTTCCCAGCAGAAGACTCCATGTTGGTTGAGGACCGGGACCAGCGTTCAGGGTACCGAAGTCGCTCCACGCTGCCCAATCAGAGGAGCCTACTCCAGGAGCCGTACCGAGCACTGCCTCTGCCCCTCAGGACCAGTATGGACTCTGACATGGGCGGAAAACCTCGCAGCTTCACACTTCCCCGAGACAGCGGCCTACACGCCATCTTAGCTGCTGCGGCTGCTGCCACCACGCCCGAACAGCCAGAAGTACAGAGTTACCACCTGGAGCGCCCCCGTGAAATAGGTATCATTAGGGATGGGTAATCATAATGGATGTATTTGTAATATCTCTTTTTAACTGTGATAAAATAATTTACTTTTATTGATTTATTTCCTCTCAAACCCCTGTGTTCCTCATGATTTAATGTTTGTGTTTTGTGGCTTAAGCCGTAGAACAATGTGTGTTACATGTTTTATGGATATAATATGCATAGATCTGAAACACAACGGACATTTCTTAAGGCTGCCGATAACTGTCACCTTTTTCACTCTGGTTGAGTTACTTCGCTGGTCTGAGTAAGAGTAATGATTCATGATTGTGTCTATTTTTATTCTTTAACATATTTGCAATCAATGTCAAACTTTTTTCATTGAAACATTCATAGAAATTATACTTTAATAAGATACATTCCAACAAAGAAGGATTCAACATTCAACACTGGGCGGCACGGTGGCTGAGTGGATAGCACTCTCGCCTCTCAGCAAGAAGGTCTTGGGTTCGAATCCCGGTCGGACCAGGGCCTTTCTGAGTGGAGTTTGCATGTTCTCCCCGTGTCTGCGTAGGTTTCCTCCGGGTACTCCGGTTTCCCCTACCACTAAAAATATGTCCAATAGTTCTAGCATGCGCCTCCTGTACAGGCCCCGCTCCCATCTCTGTGTGGAGTGAGAGACAAATGCCCAAAAATGAACAATTGTAAACCGCTTTGAGACTCAGATTTGCAGTGAAAAGGCGGTATATAAATAAAAACTTACTTACTTACTAACTTACTTACTATCTATTGTTTCATTTCATGTTCAGAAATGGGCCCCTTTTGTTTTATTTTGTCATTCAATTGAACTTTGATAATGAATTGTTTTCAATACGTCAGCGCAGTACTAGATCCCAGGCACTATTCTCGACACTGCCTAAGTGGATTTCTTATGTGGAAGCTGCTAATAGCCAGACCTGGCCAAATGTCAAACAATTAATACAACCGTTAGCACATTATTAGACTGGATTTGTGGCCTGCCCATTAGCTGTTCCCATGAGACCCCTCAGGCTATTGTCTACATGAGGTAAAATGCAGTGTGTGATGTGATTCTGATAATCCTTGGCACTTCACCGCTCTCCCTCTCTCTCTCTGTGAGGGAGATGTCATTTGCCTCATGGCTGTGTGTGGATTTTAAGCAGTATGTAAAGTGTAAAAATCTCTTGCTGCGTGCTTTTGTTCTTTAATATCCCTATCTTGTGTCTTGAGAGTGCCTAGAGAAGCATATAATGCAAAAGTCAAAAGCATGGTTAATTTTTTCCCCCCAAATCCAATCCTTCTAAACCTGCCACACATTTCAGTAAAATGGACATTTCAACTGCAAGAAAGTAGACCAACAGAGGGCAGCAAAGATACACTGCTAACTGTTTTACTGGATCACATCTTTAGTTTGTCGTTTATTTTTTTAATTATGAATAATATGAACACTACAAAGCTAGCTTTCAACTGTCAGATGGTATGGAGATACCATCAAAACACATACATTATTAAATCAATGTTTGTACATTGTATACATATCTACAGTACATATGTGCTATAAGTGACAACATACATTTAAAAAGTGTGACAGAAAGCTCATGTAACATTTAGGACAAGAAAAAAGTCAGATACCTCATGTTTGTCATTTAGTTTGTCATGTAGTCAGCTCATATTTTTAATGAGCGCAATATTAAAGCTGAGGGATATACCACATATATTTCATAAACGTGTTTCAAGTTGGTTGTAATCTTTAAATGTACTCCACTCCAAAGATATTCTAATAAAAAAATGTTTAGGATGCTTTTATAGTTCTGCTCTCGGATGTGACAGTAGTGTGGTCTGGTTTGTGACTAAACCCTGGTGTTTTTCAGGGCGGCCCCGGGAGAGCCGCATGCACTCGGACTCTTTGGGGGACCTGTACCGGGCTCTGGAGCAGTCTGGCCTGTCCACCTCAGCGGACCACAGGTCTGCAGGGCGGCTGGAGTACAAGCGCTCGTTTGTCCGCAGAGTTAATGACCCACTGCTCAATGACAAACTGCACCGTCTGCGGGTCCTGCACAGTGCACTCAAGGTGAATACAAACACACAGCAAGAATACTAGAGGTGGCCTGTACATCAAAGACTGTATCATGACATGTGTTTTGGAGTTGTTTTGAATATTGAGTATTTATAATAAAAACTAAAACAACAGCGAAAGATTCAAATTATTAACATGCACCGATAATCTTTCAAATATTAATTTCTGTTTAGTGCTTAATTTTACATTTCCCATTCTGCCCAATAATCTCAACCAAACCATTTGGCTGACAAGTTTTTGAAAGTATTTGACTGAAAAATGTGTCTAAATGTTGTCAAGATCATAAATATATATATTACATTATTTTATTTTATTCAATGTTGCAAGAATAATAAGTGCAAGAATCTTAAATGTTACATTTTTGTGCAAGACGTTCCTGATATTGGCGTGGAAGAATCTAAAACAACTCCAGCTCCGCTTTTAATGAGGAAACAATGTTGTAACATGGTTAGATAGAAAAAGTAGATTTTTCACAATACATCTCCTTTTAAAATATGTAACACTTCCCCCAGTCTGGTGACAAAGAAACTTCCACTTCTATAGAGGCAGATGCATGTTGCTGCAGTACTCAAAGCTGCAGCCTGGGCCTCCCTCCAGGGGCGGGATATAACCTCCCCTCTATAGCATAATGTAAAAAATAAAGGATCTCTCTTATTTACACTGGCTGTGCGGCTGTATTGTCACAGCTGTAAACGCAGACTGGGGGACCCTCAGTCGGATGTTTGACTTTCTTTCTTTCTGAATTGTTCCCAACTCTTGAGGCTGTAGCTCTTCACATTATACTCTTTCATCGGTACTTTTTGTTGTCTTACAGAATGTCCCTGTTCAAGACACAAACCGGTCCATGGGCTTTCTAGGCTAAAGTGAAATGACCTCAACACCACCTCCTCGGCTTGTGCCTGAGCTGCCAACGCCCTACATCTCTGCAGTTTGTGATCACTTTCTCTACTCTTCCTTCACCTTTGGAACATTGCTTTATCAGACTCAGAGAGGGATTATTGCACAAAACAAATACTCTATATCTGGCTACAACTAGAAGTTTTCAACTAAGCACTTTGAGTTTATTTCGCAACATGCATGGCCACTTTCCCTTACTTCTGTCCAGTATGTGTGAATAATGAGTTGTGTACCAGGTTTTATAGTTGTACACAACCTTTTGTCAAGCATGTACTGTGAGTATGAGTGTGTTACATTAAAGTATTATTAAGTATTACATGTACAACGGAAACATCTTGAGGTATACATATTTTTTACTGGTAAATGAAGTGCTGTGCCTCATTGATTGTGAATGTACATCGTAATGAAGAGGATGCTGTGTTTGGAAAGCAGCTCTCATCAAGGACAGGCACAGACTAAATGCTGGGCAATTTTGACAGAACTGCATTACTCCAAATAGCTGTATATTTTTGTATACATGTCAATAACCTTGTTGTTTATTTGTTGCATTTATAAGTGAAACTACTGGTGAGTACAAAACCTAAAGCATTATGTTTATATGAATTTGCTCCAGCAATACTTTTGTAAATGTTTATGGAACATAAGAAAGATAGACATATTTGTATTTATTGAGTGTTAAATGTACAAGCATGCTTTGTATAACTCAGACACATTCCCCGTCAGACTGACCTTGCACAAGTGCGCCATACTGTAGCCATGTACTTTTGTATCCAATAAATGTGAAGTATGGCACATTCAAGTCTGTGTTTATGTTTTCTCTTTTGCGCCATATGTTTTAGAATACTAGGGATGTAACAATTGATTGAAAAAGACATGAAACTTCTGTAATATGTGAAAAGAATATATATCTGATTTAAATGGCACGTTACCAAGCGTTGCAGTGTCACAATTTGTTTGTTTTTTTGTAATTTTTTTACTCACACAACAATTACAGTTTGTTACACAAACAAAAATGCAGATGTAAAATAAAAATAAAGGACACATCCTTTGACTCATATTCATGTGTGAGGAAAAAATGTTTGAAACAGAATCAAATCAAATCTATGCTTGAGTGAATTGTTACATCCCTAACAAATACAGTTCTAAGACAGCTTTATCACAACTTTAAAGATAATAGTATCACAGAAAGATCTTATTCATATCTTTGGTTGAAATAAACCATGTCAAGCATATACAGTACACATTGCTTTAAAGCTGGAGCACCTTGAAACCACAACAAATTAACCATATAATGAAATCCATGGGACTTTGCATGTATTTTTGGCCTTTGACACATCTATAGGTCAGTATGAAAGATAAAACATTTTGCAATAAGATAAAGATAGCATGTTACAATGTAGGTAGCAACAACAAGGAGAAGTTAGGTCCTCCAGCTTTAACTGACTCAAATACAAAGTGTAGGGCTACAATCAAAGAATACAGAAATGGAGATAAAAACAATCATAATTTAGAGACCGGCTTCATTGATAATTTCTTGGTGAAAATTTGCATTAACCTGACCTTTATCACCTTCATGCTCAGACCATAAATGAGAGGATTCATTATTGGAGGAAAAATCAGAAAATACAGCGCTAAAAACAGCTTGGTTTTGTACGAGAAAGTGTTTTTGAACCGGCCTTGTGCGATCTCAAAAAAGCATCCAACAGAATAGTTACTCAAGGACACTAAATGAGGGATGCATGTTTTTAGCGCTTTCATTTTGGTCCTACTGAATGATTTGAGGCATATTCGAAGGATATGCCCGTATGAATATATTACCATTACTATCTGAGGGCCTGTGAACAGCACCACAGAGATCAGACCGGTTATATTTGCAGCAGTTGTATCCGAGCAGGAAAGCTGAACCAGCAAGTAGTTCAGACAATACACTTTATCAATAGTCTTCTTACAAATCTTTAGTCGAAGTGTAATTACAAATAAAAGAAAAAAGGCAACCAATGGGTAGATCCACGTAAGGATAATCAGCTTGAAGACTCTTTTTGGCATGATGGTGTGGTAAGTCAAAGGGGAGCAGATAGCCATGTATCTGTCATAACTCATAGCAGCTAAAATAGTGAACTCTGTGATGGCATAAGTGTGGATGACGTAAAGTTGCGTCTGACACAGGCTTAGTGAGATTGTTCTGGAGCGGGACAGCACATTACTGAGCAAACCTGGTAACAAAGCAGTGCCTCCATACAGACCGTTCACTGCAAGGTTACACAACAGAATATACATGGGCTCATGGAGAGACCTGTCAGAGCACACAATGGCTATCAAAGACACACTTTCTGCAATTATTACAAGGTATGTGATGAAGAACAGGAGGAAATACCATTCTTTCGTTTTGTCCATGCCATAATATCCAGCCAAGTAAATGGTTGTGACCTCAGATAAATTAAACATGTTGAAAGGCATTGGGCAACAAGTCTTTAGTATAGGCTTAACTCAATTAGCTCTGTGCCCTGAACCCGCCACTATCCCTGAATACACCCTCCATACGACCGCTTTTATACATTTCTTTTGAATTCCCTTGTGTCCAGCATTTGTTCTCATTCGCTAATGAGGCAGCTGCAGTCACACCATCATGACCTTTATATGAATACAATGTGTTACTAAGATTATGCTATATAAATATGAGGCTATTACATGTGATACATTGTTATAATAAAAATAATCAATGGCTTTTACTTATAGTATAATATTCTTGCACTAGAGTGTAGATTTGTCTCTGTGTCTAAGTATAAGTACATATTTCTTTGCACTAGAGTACACAGGTTTATACCTTATATGTGTATATGTATACTTTAACTTTGTTTATTTATTAAGATACAGATTTATTTTTATTTTCTAATAAGTATAGAGTGTGTGTGCTCCTCATTCCTACTGTTCTGTAACTGAAATACTGAAGTTTCCCAAATATTGGATCTTTTCATCTTAATCTTTATATTCCCAGCCTGGTGTCTACAGGTACCTGCCCTGGGCCTAATGACTTCTTCTGGGAATAAAAGGATGATTATGTTACGGTGCTGTGGTTTGAGAGTTCAGTGTAACAGAGCTGCTGACAGCGATGGTCAAAGGTCTGATTGTGAACAACAGTAAAGGAACAGTTTGGTAACAGGATCAGCCTCACAATAGAACTGGTCATTTTTACAATGTTTACAAACATGTTCTACTCATGCATCTGCCCTATATTAGGCCCACTGATTTTATGATAAATATATGTAATAAAAAAACATAATGCACTTACTGGTCACTGCACCTCAGTGGATAATGCGGGTCAAATTAACTATAATTTAACTCACAAGTTGACTGTAAAGATTAATAGATTCAGATTCAGATTCAGTTTATTTGCCATTTGCAGTAAAAACACCACATTGGATACATAATACAAGGCTAAATGTTTTGGCCTTTCATATATTTTAGATATTACATATACGTATAGACACAAAATGTTGACTGTCACACAAGGAGTCAATTTTATTCATATTTGACAATAAACCTTGGAAGGGCCATTGTGCTAAATATTTCATTTGAGTGGATTTATCCAACGATTGCAGTAACATGAAATACAAAACATCTGCACTTATGATTTTATGATAAACACAACATTATTTATTGTCACAATATTAGCAAGGTTTAACATATTTGGGAAATAACAATGTAAATGAATATGTTAAGTTTAGTGAAACACAAATGTTTAAAAACTGCCAAACAAGGGTGACTTTGTGGTAAAAACGGCATTATAGATCCCAGAATGCTGCACCAGAGTCTTTCAGTTCAGCAGTATCCTGGAGACATTGTCAAGCTCCAGTCATGGCCACAATGATTTTTGTCGGCACAATCTTATATTTGATGAAGAGTTTAAAGATTTGGATCCGCACCAGTTGAGTACCGAGCCCGTACAGCACTGGATTAGTTATTGTGGGGATGACAATAAGATACAAGGAGAGGAAAATCCGTGCCTCCAGTGCAAAGTAACTCATATTAAATCTGGTTTGGATAATCTCAAACAGAGATCCCACTGTGTAGTTCAAAATTGACAACAAATGCGGGACGCACGTCTTCAAAGCATTTTGTTGTGATTCTTTGGACAATTTCCGGCACACTCTTGCAATCTGGACATAAGAGAATACTAACATGACAACCTGAGGCACCATGGAAAAGAAAATAAGACAAAGACCAAAAATATTTATATGAGCCACATTTGAACAAGCATTTTTAACGAGCTCCATGTTCACGCAGTACAGTTTAGGTATAATATTACCACAAAATTTCAAATCTAGTGTCAGCGAGAAATATATAAGAAATAGGAGGAATGGGTAAAGTACTGTCAGGGCTATCAGCTTGCTTAGTCTGGAGTTCGACATGATGCTGTGGTAATGCAGTGGGTGACAGATTGCTGTGTATCTGTCGTAGCCCATTACAGCTAAAATACAAAACTCAGCTGCAGCGTATGTATGCAAGAAATATACCTGCGCCAAGCACCTTTGTATGGCAACTTCAAAACTTTCTGAAAGAAGTAAAACCATGATGTTTGGTATTAAAGCTGTGCTGCCATAGATCTCGTTAATGGCTAAAAGGCAGGCGAAAATGTTCATTGGCTGATGGAGGCTTTTGTTTTTGGAAATAATAGTGATTAGTGAAACATTTAAGACAATAGTAATGATGTAAATTGCAAAGAAGACCACAAACAGCTCGGTTTTGTGTGCCTTCAACTGAGCAAAGGCAGGCATGAAGAAAGTCGTCACTGTTGTGTTGGCCATATCTATAAAGACACAAAAGATAATAATGATATTGTTCCGACACATTGGCTTTCTTTGTTTAAACACTGGTAAAATGGCACGTATGCCACAGTTAGATTATAAACATGCAGTAATGAAAGTTGTTTTTACAGGCCAAACTCGGAAAATAAGAATATCATAA